CACCAAAGACACATTCAAAATGACGCGCGTCTCCGTCTTTGCATACATTATTCATCAAGTACAAAGCAATGAACAGCGTTAGTTAATTTGTAAGCTACCTTAACAACTAGATCTTATTGTTTTTGACATTGTTGTCTACTATCCTTACAAATTAAGTCCTGCTTCATTCTGCAAGCCAGTCGAGTGTTTTTTTTAACTTGAATGTATCAAGCGCACCATCCGGTCGTTTGGGACCTAAACGGTATAATAAAACGTATTAGCATGAGCAAGTCTCTAGATCCAGAGCCTTCATGTCCTCAATACTCTCGCGGGATCGTACGTCGGGCCAAAGCCTTACCTTCTCTTGTCACGTAATTTCCGACATCGAGATAGTACAGCACACAGGTAGACTCTATTGGTAAACAGCAAGTTTTGCGCGTGTGTACGACAGAGTAGAATGGGGAATAAAATGCATTAATGCAGTTAGAAAGAGACCTCGATCATGCACACGGCAACCTTCGCAGTAAATTAGTCTTGCTCCTGCGACCCTTCGCAGCAAATCAGTCACTGTCTCTGCACGGCGGCGGCTCATGTACACTTAATGCACATGATCTTCCAACACTACTTCCCGGCGCCTTGATGAACATCACTTTAGTCCAATGAGCAAACGCAATTCTTTAATTCTTGGAGCAGGCAGCACCTTCGTCAGTAAATCTGCGACCATCGTCTTCGTACCTTCAAAAGTTGGCTTGACCGTCTGCTTATTGGTTTAATCACGTAGATCCTTGAGCTTCACATCCTTATGCTTCGTGCTGGCTGAGCTCGCTTCATTTTCGATTTGCTTCATTACAGCTTGGTTATCAATCTCTAGTACCACAGGTTTCTTCAGTCGCTGCCCGAGCTCTTCATAAAGCTCCCTCAATCCTAGCGCCTCACGTCCGCCGACTGACGCAGCGACGAATTCCGCTTCCGTAGTTGCTAAGCCACAGCAGCTTGTTTCTTGCAGTGCCACCCTACAGTGATACCATTAAACATTTGCACACCTGCACACCTGCACTCACAGATTTTCGATCTTAAGTATCAGCCGCGACGTCCGCATCACTGAAACTGACAAACCTGATGGCGACTGGGGTTCGCTGTCTTCAGACAAATGCAGCTTTAAACCTTTCGTTCCCTTCAAGTACCTTGCAATCTTTTTTGCAAGCTTGTAATCCTGTAATGTCGGCGCGTGATTTCGCCCTGTCGCCCTGTGCACAGCAAATGAAATGTCTGGACGCACACACCGCGATATCCATAACAAGATCCCAACTAAAGACTTAAATTCTTTAATAGTCGGTACTTGATGCAATCCCAAAGCCTTTTTTTAACAGCTCGTTGTCTCCTTCAATTACGTGCACTTCAGACATCGGTAATCGTACCGGGTTTGCTTCAGCCAGACCATGTTTCTCGAGCAATCCTTCAATAATTTTCTCCTAATCGATCTCATATCCTCCTTCTTTTGTCCACGCAATTCTCCTTCCGAGAAACTTCTCATAATACCGAGATCCTTGAGCTCAAGAACATTCGTGTCAGCAAAGAATAGGTCGTTACGTTTCACTGTCGTACCTGTAATCGTCAATTCATCAACGTAGACCCCGACAATAGTCATTCCATCCTCGTAAACCTTGTAGAAAACGCACAGATATATTATGCACCGTTCGAAATCAATCTTGAGCATCGTGTCGCACAACTTTTGATGCCAAATTCTTCCTACCTGTTTAAATCCATAAAGGCTCCGTCCAAGGAGCAACACCAGTTCATCGGAATCCGTTGCACCAAGTCGGTCCATAGTTTCTTGTGTCACTGTCATTCCATCGGGAATTCTCAAGTGAATCTCTTACTCTGGCTCCGTGAAAGCCTTCGGGTCCGCGCTTACGACGTCTCCTTGCCTAGCCGGCACCCCCCACATCCGTGAAAGCATAAAAATGACAAATGCAGGTCCTACCGGCATCACCGTAGAGAATGGGAAGTTGTTATTTACGCCCAAAATTTGTTTGTCGCCTCGAATCACCAGCCTCGCCTTGTATCTTTCCATAATCCCATCTTCCCTCATCTTGGTTTTATAAACCCACTTAGTTGGAAGATGTTTCGAGGTCTTTGGACGTTCAATCACTGTCCATGTTTTGTTTTCATCGAGCGACGCAAGTTCCTCTTGCTTAGCAATCGCCCACCTGGCACTTTCAGGTCCACGATGCGCTGCCTTGTAATTTTCTGGGTCTGGCTTCGTTAATTTTTTGTTGATGTACTTGCTTCACAGGCAGCACTGCGAAAGCCTTAGGCAATGAATTCGACGATTGCATTTCTTTGGCACTCGTTGTCAGTTCTTCCACATTTGTGCATCTGCCTTGATATGAACAGTTAAGTGAACATGCCTTTTCTTGTGTTTACATTCTCCTTCCTTCACCATGATCGTCTGCTTCAGCTTGTTTACTTGACTTTGTACGGTTGCGCTGTGATCTCCTCGGAACTGACGGAAACGGCTCCTTCGGCACTGTGCTCTACCGACTGAGCTATACGACCGCCAAAGGGTCGTCACACCCATGGACATACAAAATCCATCTTTCTCGACCACGATGAACCATCTTGCCTCACCTACATCTTTGCAAAAAATTTCTTCTTCTGCAACTCGATGCTTACTTTTCACTTCTTTTCGCACTTGTTCAGTAGTTTTTCCTCTGTCATCATAAAGTACATGTTGAATCCTTTCATTCGCCGTACCATCAAGTGTTTCGATGTTGGTAATATGTCTTGTTTTCGTCACGATTTTGTCCTTGTGCAGCAACACATTGTATCCCTTTGTTTCTTCGTTATACCCAGGATCAATGCTCGCTCCGCATGACGCGCCAGTGTCTTCTTTTTAGGGTCCCGCCAAATCACACACGGAGACACAAACACAACGATACCCTGCAAACTCGGTGCCCGCCCGGTGAGTACTTCAATCGGCGACGCACGCCCTAAATTTTCTCGAGTCGGACTCCGGCTAAGTATGTATGCAGCATATTCTGCAGCTTCACTACAATGCGTCAGCCTTAAACCTGAACCAAAAATTATTGAGCGCACCATGTTGACGATGTGCGGTTCATGCGTTCAGCTTTTCCGCTAAATTGTGGAGTACCTGCTTCTGTTACTTGACGTCGAACTCCTGTCTGTTTGCAGAAGAGACTGACCACTTCATATTCTCTTCCGCCGTCAGTGCGCAGGACATAGATGGGCAATTGAACTCGTTTTTAAACCATGCTAGAAAATGCTCAAACATCTTGGCCGCAGCATTTTTCTGCCGTGCCTAAAATCCGCGCACGTAATTTGACTTGAAGTCATTGAACACGACCAAATATCAATTTCCACGACGGTCCCTTGGGGTGATCGGTCCTTTTAGATCGCTACAGATCCCCCCCCCCCGATGCGATCCGTTCGTGCATTTGTACCCGAGTCGTTCTTGGGCTGTATATTTCTAGTGCTCTTCGCTTCAGCGCACGTACGACAGTTTGCACGCACGTGATCAGTAAGATCAATGCCGTATTCAGGATCTTTGGCCATACGCTCCACCGTATAGTAAGCTATGTGTCCAAGACGAAGATGAAAATGGTGCAGCGATCCTTTCTGTACATCAAGTTTGGATCCTGTATCTTAAACTGCCGTCATCACAATTTATTCAGTCGTTTTGGTGTCAATTTCAACCGACTTGGAGTCATTCTGCCACAAACACTCCATACTCATTTCGCAAATCGAAGAGAGGATCTTCGCCTAGCTGCATGCACATCACATCGCCTTCCATAGTTAATTAATACCCGTTTTCAAACAACTTGCCCATAGAGATGAGGTTCCTAGCCAACTTTGGTGCATGGTATACCTCAGTAAGTGTGATCTGGGTCTTGATACCATTAGCAGTACCGTGTAATACCACAGATCCTCGTTTAGTCACCTTAAGTACACATCCGTCAGGAAACAGGAGTCCACCATTTTCATCACAATCCGTGGCATCGTGGAGCAAGTCAGGGTCGTAAACGAGGTGTCTACTTGCCCCACTTTCAACCACCCACATGTTTGGGCTCCCTTCTGTGACGTCAAAAACGCAGCCAGGTGCTGACTACTTTGGTTGGTGGTGCTTCGGATTCTCGCATGCAGCTAATACAAAATTAGCTTTCCCGCGTCCATCTTCCTTCACCGGTTGGTGGCATTTTATCGCCAAATGCCCTCGCTTGCCGCAATTAAACACTTTAGATCTTCACCATAAGAGTGACCTTGAACTTTGCCATGGCCGACTGCACTGACTATGCCCTTGGCTTAACCACTTTTCCATCGTCCCCAACCTCTTGCACCCATGCGATGAGCTCTTGAGCGTGTGTGAGGTAGTCCGTGCGACTCGGTTGGTATCGCACCATTATCGCAATTTTGAGGTGCGGCGCAGCGTACTTAACGATATTCTCCACGACGAGTCGTTCGTGTGACTCGCCTTCTTGACAAAATGCGATCAGGTATAAGAGATGCTGGTTCCACGAACGCGACTTGTCCTTTTCACTCGCGAAAAATGCGGCGTCCTGTTGGTGCGTGATCGTCACCTTTAACGCTTGGCATAATTGGTCGAGTGCGTGGTACAACGTCGGGTTGACCGCCCACCATGTTCTTACGTTGGCTTAAAAATACGCTGCAGCCACACTGTTTGGTGCCATGTATTCTCCCAGCTTGTTCACTATGAGGTGTTCTCCCCACGCAAATTGACTCTGAAACTCGGCCATCTCGATCGCCTCGAGGAATGTATACCCCGCTGCTTGAATCCTGTGCCGAGGCCTGTGTACTGCTCTTCTCCCGTAAACTTATTTTTCATAAGCTTGGAAATTTTGATCGTTCCTGGTGGTGCCATGTTTGGAGATTTATAGACCAAGTGTCTTCCAACAGGCGTGTTCTCTGCCCGACCCTTAAAGACAATTTTTGCTCCAAATCCACTGTCACCAAGCTCATTTAGTGTGAGTCCTCCAACAAGTTCAGATATTGCACGACCAATCGTGGCCGCGCCCTTGACCTCGCGGTGCTGTGTGAGGGACCTCCGTTGACAAAGGATGAGACTTTGGAGCGCTTCCAAAATAGCTGCTCCCATTTTGACGAGCCTCGATTTGACTAACACGGCTCTCCATCTTCTCCAGCATTTTGAGCATTTTTGCTAGAGCTGCCGCCTGGTCCACTGGCGGCGCTTTATCTTCACCCTTTTCTTCGGCATACCCCTCCTGTGCTGTGCCTCGCCCTTCCATCTTGATCCCCCTTGTTAATCCCTTTCGTGAGCCGTTCTACTTGCGTGGACTAGGTGCTGTCATGCTTTCGTCACGATCTCTTAACAAGTCCTTAAACTTGGTTTCATAACCTGTTTGTAAGGGGTGAATCGTTACATAACAATTTATAAGAAATTGTTAATAGAATGTAACTACTAAAGTTATATTCTCAGATATTGTCATAAGGACAAATATTATGCAGCACTTACGAGTAGTTCCTAATTGGTTGATATAGGCCATTATATCAACCAACGAAGACGCGCCACGACAGACGCACGCAATGAGTGGTGAGCAGATAGTTGATATGCACATTTGTATTTAGACATAGTTAGATGCAGTGGTTTATTAACAGACATTAACTATGATAAATACAGTTGTACTTTTTACTTTAACCAAGTACTCGCTTCTTCTTACCGTCTTCCTCTGCACGTACGAGTGTACGTGAAGTACCGAGGCACCGCCTTATTCTGTCATCAGAATAAGTAGCTTGTACTGTCACCAGTACAAGCTTCAGGGTGCCCCGTTACACCTGGTAGTACTTTGTAGTCCGTCCAAGGACCACGTTCACATCTAACATGAATATGTTGGCTGATGAAGATGACCAAAGCTTTCACGCTACGCGTGAAGGCTACTCCCATTTGAGCGATTTCGAATGGGATGCGGTTGAAAGGATGGGTTCAACCATGGGCATCCATGCGGTTAGCGTCATGCTAGAGGCTCTCAATAGAGACGCCCAACATGCTACTATCGCCAAGTTCATTCAAAATGAACTTGACGCAGAACGCGAGAAAGTAGCCTTGCTTCACCAACAAGGTTCTCAACAAGCAGAGTTGTTGAGAGAACAGGGTGCTCAACAGTTTGAACTGTTGAGACAGCAGCAGGCTGCTGCTGGTGGGTCGATGCACTCGCAACGACCCGACCTTGAAGATTGACATCTCCAAGTATAGGGGAGTCGAAGAGGACTCCCTCTTGAGATGGTTCGTCGAATTAGACGACGCCATAAGGGCGCGTCGCATCGACGACGGGGAAATGCAAGTTGTATTTGCCCAATAAAATCTGGCAGGACGTGCCAAGACTTTGCACTGGGGCTCAAGTTGCACGACCCATACGCGTTTGGGTCGTTGGAAGTCTCCAAGTCGCGGCTCAGACAAACGTTTGAACCGCCTAGAGCTGAGTTCAGAGCTCGAACCGAACCATTGAAGCTCAAGCACGGTAAGCGGGATGTGCACGCTTACGCGCAACATATACGACATCTCACGAGTTGTATAAGTTCCAACCCGGTTGATGAACACACGTTTGTTTCGGTGTTCATGCAGGGTCTTGCGGATGGTCCCGTCAAGACTCACCTGTTCCGACTTGAACTAGATTCACTAGAACAAGCCATTTCCATTGCGGAACAGGAAGACTTCAGTCTGAGACAGGCTCGCGCCAGCTCGACATAATATCGTCAACCGAGACGATATGACAACGGAGGTCCAGAGCCGATGGAACTCTGTTATGTAGAGAGCGAGAAGGCTCGCTCTATAGACTACAAGAAGTTGCAGAAATGCAACATATGTCAGAAGACAGGACACTACGCTTACAAGTGTAGTGCCCCTCGTCCAGTGTCTCGCAACACTGGGCGTAGTGACCGTCCACCCATAAGAAAGGGGCAGGGACGCGGGTCCGCTGTTGGTGCAAAGACGCAACAACGAGATGGAACGTCAAAAAACGGTCAGGATCAATAGGTGCGGAGCACCCTACTGGTCCAGCAACGTCAAGAGAATTCGCAGGCCTCTTGACGAAGGTTGCTCCCAACACACAAACTTTGTGCGTTGCTGCTCTAGGTAATGAGATCTCACTCATTACCTTGAAACTCGAAGTGGCAAATAAGTTGTCCCTCCGAGCTCTAGTCGATTGTGGGGCGTCCAACAATTTTGTGCGACGCCAATCGCTAAAAGATGGTCATTTTAAGTTCAGTGAATGTGACACACCTCCTACGAGGATGACGGTACGTCTTGCGACAGGCGCATCCGTAACCGTCACGAAGCGTATAGTGAAGATCCACTATACGCTAGAAGATACCCAATATGACGATGACTTTATCGTATTGGATTTGGATGACAAATTTGATGTCATCCTTGGAATACCGTGGCTCAGAAGGTACGAACCACGAGTAAACTGGCAACATCGAACAGGAACGATGCCTGCCGCTTGTTCTTCAGATGGCCATCTGATGAACGTTTTGGAGCGTCCACAAGCGTTCAAGCGTGTGGATGTACTACGAGTGAGTGCGATGGCCTCACTTGTGGTACGGCCGTTAGTACGACTGCACAAAACCTTAGTGTAACAAACTGTCGGAGCAAAGTTCCGGCGTATGTGAGGAATTACAGGCCACGCCGAAGGTCCACCACTCGAATAAGTCGAGTAGACCGGGACAAAGATGTATCCCTAGCGGGGAACAGAGAAACAACCCGATCGCTCAGGTTAAGCGAAACGATAATCCCAGATCGACTGGAGAGTCTTTCATAGAGGATCTCGCTGTGGTTGCGCAACCACAGCTAGAGGAAGTTAAGGGGATAAGTCCCGATAGTACAGATACTGCGGAAATAAGTTCCCGAAACCCGAGGGGATAAGTCCCCGGGAAGCCGAAGGAATAAGCCCTTCGAGGACTGAGGGAATAAGTCCCCAGGAAATGACAGAGACATTGAATGTCATATTCAATGATGGATCAAGTGTGGGCGCTTACACACTTGATCTGATTGCGCCTCCGAAGTTGACTTCGGAGATCACTCAGTTGCCAACGCTCGAACATAAAAGGTTCTTGCGTGATCTGCGTAGTGGCAAAGTCAAGCAGATCTACGTACTCGTCGCTGACGACGAGTGTGTAGCCGACATAAGGTCAGCAACAGTGTTCACAGTGAACAAGAGAGTTCTCAGTAATTCATCTATGGACGAGAGTGTCCTGGATGAAAAGACACGCGTTGAGCGATATGACTCCCAATCGTGGGAATCGCTCAAGACAAATCCTCTCTATGAAGATTTCGTTAAATTCAAGAATGTATTCCCTGAAACTGTTCCGTGCGAATTACCTAAGAATAAAGGTATTCGACACGAGGTCGAGCTTAAACCAGGCTCGAAGTACTGTGTCATGAAGCAGTGGCCACTGCCTCGTGAACAAGTACTTGCGATCGACAAGTTCTTTGCCGATCCTTTAGCTGCGGGCCATGTAAGGGAATCAACTTCCCCACATAGCTCTCCGACCTTCTGTGTGCGAAAAGCAACAGGAGGGTGGCGGATAGTGCATGCATTTAACAAGTTGAATGCTGCAACGGTACCGGCTCAGATGCCGATACCAAGGAAGGACGTAATCATTGATGGTATGTCAAAGAGTACCATCTTTTTGTCCATGAATTTGATGGATGGCTTCTATCAAATCCTTATGCGAGAACGGAATATACCCTATACCGCAGTTAGCACGCCTAGCGGCATGCTCTGGGAATGGCTGGTAATGCCACAAGGGCTTAGTAATGCCCCTGCCACGTTCAACAGATGTGTATCACATCTGTTTAGACCAGTACGAGAATTCGCGCCGAGTTATTTTGATGACGTGTTCATCCATAGTCGGGCTATGGATGGAAAGTCGGACGTTGAGGTTCACAGGTAACACGTCCGACAGGTTCTTACAATCATGCGAAAGCATCAATTGTATGCAAACCTCAAGAAGTGTATATTTGCAGCAAGCGAAATACCACTTCTTGGGTGCATCGTTGGTACGAACGGCGTACGTCCTGATCCCAAAAAGATCAAGGCGATCACCGACTGGCCTGTGCCGGTTGACGTCAAAGGTCTTCTAAAATTCCTTGGGATAGCGGCGTATTTGCACAAGTATTCACGCAATTACGCCGAGATGACTGTACACCTCTCTCGTTTGTTGAAAAGAACGATAGGTGGTTATGGAACGCTGAATGTCAGCGCTCCTTTGGTGGTATCAAGCAGAGCTTGATACAATCCCTAGTCCTAGCAATTGCCGATAAGGACAGGCCATTTCATGTGGTCTGTGATGCCAGCGACTTTGCAATCGGCTGTGCATTAATGCAGTACGATCTTGAAGGCGTTGAGCGCGTCGTCTGCTATCAGTCGGGTCAGCTGCAACCAGCTGAGCGGAACTATCCAGTGCATGACAAGGAACTCCTTGCCATGAAGTATGCACTCGCGAAGTTCAGAGTCTATCTATTAGGAGATAGACCCTTCGTTGTTTACACTTACCATGCGTCATTACGCACGGCAGTGAACAGCCCTCACCTTTCACAACGAATGGCGCGGTGGTTGTCATTCTTTGCAGAATACAACTTTACGGTAGAGTACAAACCAGGACGACTTAATGTCGTCGCTGATGCACTCTCACGTCGTCCCGACTTGGAACCAGTCGTGAGACCCAACAGTGAGACAGCCACTGTTGCGGTTATGAAGTCCTCAGTCCCATCTTCAACGTTTCATGATGATGTGAGGCGGGCATACGCCCAAGATGGTGAGATGGTGAAGTTGTTGACACATCTCTCACAGCCATCTCTAGAATCGTTGAAACGATTGTCGTCTGCGTATCGATCTGCATCAGATCGATACACTACTCGCAACGGTTTACTGTATTATACAGCCGTTTCTGGTGACACACCACGTGTTGTCATTCCAGATGATACTGATCTGCGTTTGCGGATCATGTTCGAGTATTACGATGCTCCTATAGGAGGACATCGTGGCCGTGAAAAAACATATCTCACGGTGTGTCGAGACTTTTACTGGCCCCGCCAGTATCAGTTTGTGCGAAAGTACATTAGCGCGTGCGAAGTCTGCCAACGAGTGAAGTCAAGTCCTTCACTGCGTGCACCCTTACAGCCTCTACCGGTTCCGGCTAAGTGCTGGGAATTCATCTCAATGGATTTCGTCTTCGGGTTGCCCAACGACGCACGCAAGTATTCGGGTATTCTCGTATTTGTTGACAGATTCAGCAAAATAGTACACCTTGTTGCTGTACCAGAGTCAATCACGGCAAGTGGCTGTGCTTTTGTCTCTATTGACACCATCTTCCGACTTCATGGGTTGCCCCGTGAACTCGTATCGGACAGAGATCCACGATTCACTGCTGATTTCTGGCGTTCCGTGTTCAAATCACTCGGAACGCGCTTGAAGATGTCTACATCTGATCATCCAGAGTCAGATGTTCAGACGGAACGTGCCAATCGTGTCCTCGAAGAGATACTTCGAGGATACGTACACTCCTTTTAAAGTTGGAGTGAGTTTTTGCCAATGGTAGAGTTTGCCATTAACAAGTTGGTGCATGCGTCCACGACCCATACACCGTTTTACGTGAATGGCTTACGCCATCCGCGTGTACCCACCTTACTAGAGCGTAACTCTGGTTTAAGGGGGGAAGGACTCGCGCGAGCAAAAACCGATTTGGTTCACGCTCATCACGCTCTGACGAAGAGGTCATTGCGTTTGATGCCGATATCGATAACATCGATATCGAAGAACATGATGTCAGTGAGAGTGCGGAAGCCCTCACTGAAGAAAAGATTGATGTTGCTGCAGTGCACTCACAGCGCACTGAAGCTAACGAGTCATCAGATGAGTTCATACTGGCTCGTGAAACGGTAGTCCGTTTTGTGCAAGACTCCATCGCCGAAGCGGTGGATAAGCAAAAGCAAAACGCTGACAAGAATGGAAGGGCAAACACTCTTTTATTCAATAAGGGTGACTTAGTCCTACTGCCTACGGTTAATCTACCAAAGCATGTAGTGACTAACTTGGGTAGTAGTAAACTTCTACCCAAGTACATCGGCCCATTTCGTGTATTGCACCGCCTAGGCAATGCATACACGATCGAGTTGCCACGTAAGATGCGAACGCATCCCACGTTTTACGTTGGTCGGCTTAAGCCGTACCATCAGTACGCTGTTTCTTCCGATGAAGAACGCCCTTGCGCTCAAGCATCTCGCAGAGAGCCTTGTGCTCCCGATGGTGGGCATCGACAAGGGTCTGAAGAGAAGCTATCTCAGCCCGGGACCGATCAACATGCCCACGAGCTACCCTTAGCTCGTCACGCAGAGACGTCAGAGCTCTCTCGTTCTCAAGCTGAGCAAAGGCAAACTCAGCTCGATGCCTCGAGACAGTGTCCGCCAGTTGGAGACGCCTGTCCCGCTCATGTTCGAGATCGCCGCGTAACCCTTGCGTTACGCGATCAAAGAAGCTCTCGAGAACACACGCTTCCCCACTATCGTGTGGAGAACGTCTTCCCTCCTCCTCCACCTCCATTAGAGGACTCTCGCGGTGGCCAGCGCTATCTAGTTGAGCAGCTGTTGAACCACCTCGACGTGAACGGACGTCGGACGAGTTATCTCGTCCGGTGGCGCGGCTATCCCCCGTCCTGGGATACTTGGGAGCCCCGCTCCCAACTGATGGTTGACGTACTGGGTCTGGTCGAGCAGTACGATGCGGCACATCCTGTGCCGCAGAAGGACCGCCGGAGAAAGTCTTCCCGGCACGTTCGTAAAGGGATTTCAGGTTATCAATCCCTTCGTGCATCTCAGTAGAGATACGTACGCGCCACCACGGGCTAGTAAGGAGGTAAGCCTCCTTAGGTGCTCGTGTAGAGTTGCTCACACAACATGGGCACGAGTCTCCCCAGGAGAGGCAGGGTAAGCATTTCTCCCTATGAAGACGATGCAGCTTGTAGCGTCCACCTGTCGGGGTTCTTTCTCAAACTTATCACGGGCTTTGATAAGTTTGTCATTCCAAGCGTCACGACCTACATCCTCAAGGTTATGGATGTAAGCGTTCCACACTTGAAGCAGTGAGGGACCATTACGTTTGTGATTCCCACTGTACCATCGATGCTTAGAGAAAGCATCGATAAAGAACTCATTCTCAGCGCGATAGTTTTTCGCACTGGGGTCAAGGTGACGGATCCTTGACGAATCGAACAATCGTGTTCGATAACGATCACTCGTCGTCGCCGACAAGTGATCCGTGACTGACTTTGGAGGCATCAGGCCTTCTTTTCAGAAGCGAGACGCAACACGTTGCGGTCCTGCTCTTCTTGCGACGTGCCGACAGAAGTACTGGCACCTCGTTGCGAAGTGGTGTCAATAGGAGAACCGACACCACTGTTAGCGCCCGAGTCTCGCGACCTCGAGCGCCTTCGCTTCGGCGATGGTTCATCTGATTCATCAGATGAACCAAAGATGCTGCGACGCATAGCATCATCCATGCCACGCTTGGCAGGCGGCTTGTATTCAATCGCCGTCGATACGGATCCGTCTTCCGTATCAGGAGAGTATGAGACACCGAGCTCGTACCTTGTGAAGACATGAGTGTCTTCATGACGAGCGCCTGCATCACCAGGTGACACAGGCTGAGTCGCTTCAGCAACCGATGAGACATCAGTTGCTGTAGTTTCTGCTTCGGCGTCCGCACAGAGACGTGCGGACGCGCTCTCGGCGGCCTTGCTCGCGCATCGCATGGGCTTGTTAACCATGCGATGAATTGTTGGAAAGTGGACTCGGACACACAAGTGCAAACCCTGTCCAAAATGATTTGGGACGAGTATCCATTTAGTCAATCAGTCACCAAAGTGACTGATGGTTAAGGGGGGGGTGATGTAACGGGGTGAATCGTTGCATAACAATTTATAAGAAACTGTTAATAGAATGTAACTACTAAAGTTATATTCTCAGATATTGTCATAAGGACAAATATTATGCAGCACTTACGAGTAGTTCCTAATTGGTTGATATAGGCCATTATATCAACCAACGAAGACGCGCCACGACAGACGCACGCAATGAGTGGTGAGCAGATAGTTGATATGCACATTTGTATTTAGACATAGTTAGATGCAGTGGTTTATTAACAGACATTAACTATGATAAATACAGTTGTACTTTTTACTTTAACCAAGTACTCGCTTCTTCTTACCGTCTTCCTCTGCACGTACGAGTGTACGTGAAGTACCGAGGCACCGCCTTATTCTGTCGTCAGAATAAGTAGCTTGTACTGTCATCAGTACAAGCTTCAGGGTGCCCCGTTACAGCAAGTCCTTAAACTTGGGTTCATAGCCTGTTGGCAACCAGCAAGATTTGCGCGTGTGTACAACAGAGTAGAATGGGGAATAAAATGTATTAATGCAGTTAAAAAGAGACCTCGATCATGCACACGGCAACCCTTCGCAGAAATTAGTCTTGCTCCTGCGACCCTTCGCAGTAAATTAGACACTGTCTCTTCACGGTGGCGGCTCATATACACTTAATGCACATGATCTTCCAACAGACCCTGCGTCAGTTCCTAGCCAAACCATGCGCAAAATCATGTAACGAACCGCACACGTTCCTGTCGTCACGCATATCTCGCTCACGCATCGCACGTCGCGTCGAATCGCAAAGCGCATTCCCCGACTATCTACCTTTTTTTAAAAAAAACGCGTTGGTCACAAGCTCATTTTATAATTAATTTAATGTGGTCTACACTAATATATTTATCGGCTGGTGCTACTTTTGGGACTGGTGCTGATAATGAGACTTTTGACCTAGGATGGTGCTGATAGTGAGATTTACTCACCGGAGAATCAGGAGAGTCGGCCCTACTGATTGGTCCGAAATACGGCCCCAGCGTATCACTATGTCGTTTTTTGCATTCGGGCAATTATGACAGTCCAACAGCAGGCGGCAGAGCCATGGGGACGCTTGACACTGGTGTCCAAAGATCCGGCAGAAGACAGCGATCACATTTACTTGACGAATGCAGTCACGACAATTGGCCGCAACAAACGGCGCTGTGACCACGTGATCAACCAGCTATTTATCAGCAGCGTGGTATGATAAATGAGGAATATGTACATGATAAACGAAACCAAGTGACGATAATCGACGGATAAGTCAATGGCTGAAAAGGGTCGAAGACTTAATAATGATGATTTTGTACTGTGTGTGTGCTGATTGGTGTTGTAATTTTCGAAAGCATTGCGTCGTGCAGCGGGACAACACGAACGCTACGGGTGAGCCCGTTATCAAGCTCCAGGACAACAGGTTTGTGGACTAGTCGGTGATTTCGTCACAATGCATTTTGGAACACTGATGGAAGACAATGCTTCAATTTGCAGTCGAAATGGCATTTGGGTCAATGCAGATCGCGTAGGCAAAGGAGTCTCGGTGCGGCTCGACAGGGGCTATACGGTGCACTTTACAAAGCCTGGCGCAACTCCAGCAGGTACTACATGATGGGTGTACACGATTGTCATACTATGCAGCTATGTTCTGTTCACGCGTGAAATGGTGGTAATTGATTGTTCGTTTTTGTTGTGCAGGGGTTACTCCAATGGCTTTCAAGCTGGAGTTTCTCAAGTACGCGCAGCGAGCATTGTGGCTCTTTTATCATCGAACACTGGAGGTGGTTTGTTGACGGATTGCTATCGTGTTTGGTGCTTGTTCTCTCGCATCAGTTTTGTTGGACGGCAGCCAGTAACTGCAGAGACCAAAGTGAACGAAGTGCCAGATGATGCCGAAATGACGGCTGTTGTCGGTGAGCCATTCGAAGCAGTAACGCAGTGTACTACACCAGCAGATTCACCGCACCTACGAGAAAAGAAGCGCAAACGAGCGCACGCGGAGGCCGGAGTCGTGCAAGCTGCAACGCAAGAGTTTGAGAGTAAACCTGAGACTGCAGGAAGTCAGATTGATGCAGTCGAAAGCCAGCTCAAGGCTGGAGAAGCTGTTGTAGTGATGGGAAAAGGGCTCGAGCAAAGTGTGGCGTCTCAAGTAGACAAACTGACGAAAGACAATCTGGACTTGATGGAAAAGCTGGAGGCAGCTTCGGTTGAGAATCTCCAATTAAAAGCAGATTTGGCCGCTATGGAGAGCGAAAGGGAAATGAAAATGAAGGAGGCCGCTTTGACAGCAACTACTAGACTACGAGAGGAGTTGGATACGAAACAGAGGGCCATAGATGCAAAGAACAAACAAGCTTCTACGAAAAGCCTTGAGTTAGATCGCAAGGCATTGTCACAGGAAATGGCGGGAAAGCTTATTGAAGAAACGAAGAAGTACCAGCAAAAGATTGAAGCAGAACATTACGAACAGCGAAGAGAAGCGAGCGAGAAAATGGCTGCACTGGTCAATGAGAACGAGAAACTACGGGCGTTGCAAAGTGCAAAGGACGAGGCGCTGGGTGAGTGCGAAGACAAACTCACAAGCTTGCGCGAGAAGGTCACTGCTATGGAAAAAACAATTGCCACAAAAGCGGATCAATTGGCCGAGTGCGAGAACAAGGTAGCTGATTTGGAGTCGAAGCTTGCAGTGTTGAAAGAAGAGAGTGCGGAGATTGTTGGCCTGCTGGCTATTGCAGAAGAAAAGGTTGTTGCCGCAGAAGACAAAGCTACCAAAGCAGATATCACTGCTGCAGCAGCAGCTCGTGCTAACGCCAACAGCAGCTTTGATGAAAACGAGCGACAGCAGTTACACGACTCGATTTCCTCCTTTCGATGCGAGCTCGAGACGTATCATGCCCAGCTTGCAAGTCGAGAAGAAGAGGTGCGTATATCATGTGATGTTTCGGACATATTTTCTCATCATGACTTACGACTTTTCGTTGTGCGTTGTCCTAAACGCCAGTGCAAAAAGAAAGAGGCGGCCGCCATGCGCGTGGCCATAACGTCACCAGCAGGTATCTCTGCAGAAGGGTACGTTTCAGCACAGCGGCAAGCCTCAAACAGAACTGACCGCTTTTCATTATCCAGCGTTACTCACGACAATAATGATCCGGAGGTTTTACGCGCGCGTCTGGTAGCTGCATCAGATCTGTTTCGTCATGTGGAAGCGCTTGGTCTCCAAGGAATGCGCGTGATCAACGGGGTCAACAGGTCCGAGCTCGAAGATCTTCATTCCTTTTCGACAGTGACAGTCGACACCAGCACAAGCATGTCAAATTCGTCCTCATTGTCGCCAGGAAAAGACGATCGACACCCTGCGGAAGATGGCACATCCGAAAGGAGATGTGTCATCCTGCCGCGACAAGCGTAAAGGACTGTGTACATCGAGACTGAGACGGACGCGGAAATTACCAATGGAACCGCAGAGCTGGAGCGTCACCGATCAAGTTGAAGCTAGAGAACGAGCCTCGAATTAGAGGTTACAAGCCTGTATCCGCAGCGATCGAAGCTGACTACATTTCAACGTTGCAACTAGAACATCTTATGAGGCAGTGGCTGTAGGTTTTTCCTCCTTGATGGTAGCAGTGCAGTTCGTTGTCAATGAAGATTGCAAGGACGACTAGGAAATGGTAGAGTAGGAAGTACCGCCGAGAAGTGCATGGTTAGCTGTACCGACCGTGCCGATGATTACGATGTTTAATGAGCGGGTGACCAATCAATCTCCAGTTCAGTCCCCTTGCGCTTGTCTTTGACACAAGCGGCATCCAAACAGCCAAGTCAACACACGAATAGACAGACTGGTGCTTGATTCAGGACGTGCTTCCTTGACCCATTGACGAGGCTTGTGCTTCTCTTTTCTCTCGCCATGCTTCGCACCGCCTTCCGCCTACGCCGCTCTATGGTCCAACGGCGTCCCGTCGCTCGTCTCGCACGCACCTTCGCTTCGTACCCTCCCCACGAGGTCATTGGACTGCCATGTACGTCGAGATAACTGTAATAGCGTGGTACATTTACAATATCATTGACCACGGAAGACTATGCCCGGTTCTTCCTCTGGTACTTGCAGCGCTATCACCGACAATGGAGACCGGCAACATGTCCAAGTGGAACATGAAGGAGGGCGACGCCATTTCTGCTGGGGACGTTGTGTGCGAAATTGAGACCGACAAGGCCGTGGTCGATTACGAGGCCACGGACGACATGTTTCTGGCCAAGATCCTCATCCCGGAGGGTACGGAGAACGTCCCTGTAGGGCAGCCCATGATGGTTGTGTGCGACGAGGTGGAGTCGATTGCTGCCTTCAAGGAGTTCAAGCTGGAGGAAGAGACAGCTATACCTGTAGGTGATGTGCTTTCGAAAGAGGATGATATGCCGAAGAAGGAGGAGGAAGTCATGAGCTCTACGATCAGCGAGCCCGTGGCAGCGACTTCGCCGAGCACGAACCAGATCAAGACTCAACCTGCCATCCCGTCAGCTCCAGTAACGCCTCTCCCGAAAGCAGTTGCACCCGCCCCGACTACTGCCGCCGTTTTTGAGGAAAAGTGGGGTCTTGGAATCAAGAAGAGCGCCATCTCCACGAGCATCATCAAGAGACAGCAAGCATACATTGCCCTGTACGGCATCACGGGTATGACGCCCGCGGAGCTGCCATCGAAGAAGTAAGAGAACATGAGAGGCATGCAAATACACTGGACTTGCAACACGCGACAGTTGAAAAGTGCCTTGCTATTCTGTTGATAAGGAGCGCGTAGTGACGTAGCCTGGTGTGAATCACAAGTTAGTTTCAACTCAGTGCTGAGGCACGGTGACGCTCATCGAGTGCACTTTCTCTAGGTGACTCAGTACGCCGAAAGCGTCCACTGTGAGGAAGTCAAACAGTCCCGGGTGCTTTGCATCGAGAGCCTGCAGAGCACAAGCACAGGTCAGTAAGTAAGTCATCCACACTGTTGATCTCTCGCACAACTTCTCAACAAAGTCACAGCGAGACGCACCTGGTACTCGTTCAAATCAATGACTCCATTGTGGTCCAAGTCGGCGTCCACAAACGTGTTGTCCACAATATGGGCCAGCTGGGTCTCCGAGAGCGAGATCTCCAACTCTACAGTCACAGTTCACACCGTCAGCAACGCAGTAAAGAAACGTACACAATCTTGCCACAGCGAGCCTTCATCGACCACGCAAAAATGAAAGAAAAGGTCCCTCACCGTTGCATTCATCGAGACACGAGCGCAGCAGTTCCGTCGTCATTTTCTTCGTAATGACTCCCGTGCCTTTGGGATCCAGCAGGTAAAAAGACAGCATCAGCTTCTGTTCACGAGTGGCCTTCTGACTCAGCAGCGATAACCCTTTCATGAGATTCTCAAAGGTTACCTACAGCGACACACAAGATATAGGTACATAACACATCCACAACGACCGTCAAACAACCAAGTAATCCACCATCACACTCTCCACACACACAACAGATAGAGACACAGCCAAGCCACCACCCTCTCTCTCTCTCTCTCAACCATCTCCTTACATGTCCCTTCTTTTCCATGTCAAAGATCGCGTACAAGCGATTCGCATAGAGACTCGACGTGCTGCCGTCTCCACCTGCCAAGAAGCGAAAGAATTCGTCCTTGGGAATCACCACTGCGTCCTTCTCGTGCTGTCCCAGAACCGCCGCCAAGTGCTTGCGGATTGAGCGCATTTCGTAGGGCGAAAAGATCGCAGACACGTCCACGTCGGCCAATTTGGTCTCGAGCAGCGACTGTGGAGGTGCTGACGAGGCTGTGGACGAGGGCGCAAGCGGAGCGCTGGAAGGGGCAGGCGCTAGTTCACAGACCGGAGAGGCTTCAATAGGAGCAGGACACGATGGTGTGGACGCGGGTGCCGAGGACGGCGCACTGCGTGAGGCACTCGCAGGCGGCGGCGTGGGTTTGGCTTGTTTGTTGCCCATGGCTACAAATGTGCTACTGGCGTCGCTGAAGTAAGATTGCAGCGCGACTCTTTAGGTGCGGTGGTTTTATTTTGGGGACGAGAGCGGGAAAAGGACTGAAGTAAGAGACTCGTTTGGGGATGTGGGAATATGTGTGTTTGTCACGTGATTTGTATCGACCTCCAGTGCACAAAACAGACAATTAGTGACGGAGTGGAAAAAACGAACAATAATGGTTGTCGCGGGTGGATCACCGAGTGAAGGTAAGCAGACTGGAAGTGGGGCCATACACCGCGATGTCGCCGAGGCCATTGTGATGGTGCACAGTGACTCTCCCCTTGTTGCTATTGAGGGGTTGGCGAAACTCGCACATGTCACATTCAACGATCGTAAGTTGCAGCTCTTGGTTTCAGCGACGTGAAACGGCAGGATATAAAATGATTTTTTTTTATTTGCTGTCCACGTGGGTCATCGAAGTGATGGGCAAAGAAGTGGCAGGCGAAGCTGGAGCGATCGAGGCTATTGTCGATGCCATGGAGCGCAATATTGCGAATGGAACTGTGCAGGAAGACGGCTGCCACGCCCTGCGTAATGTCGCATTCCATTGCTGTGCGTTTTGGCGCAGTTTTTGTTGCTGAGTAGGCTCTTCAGAGGGCATTCGTATGTAATGATACGGTGACATGTCGGAATGGTAGTGCCAAATCTAGTGCGAGTTCGCGAACAAGGTGCAATTGCCGCTGTGCTCAAGGCAATGGAGACACATCTGGAGAACGTGGCTGTACAAGCCGAAGGCTGCTGGGCGCTGCTGGTCTTTTGCTCCAATACGGGTTCGATTTGTTTTGCTGGCTAGAAGAGGATGAAAACAATAGTGTCGCTAACATGCCGATGGCTGCTCGGGACAGAGGAAAATGTGGTCGTAGCTAAGTCACAGGTGGCGCTGGTCCACAAGGCCATTGCGACGTACCCGACGAACGCCGATATCCAGAGCCGAGGTCGTTTCCTCAAGGCGCTTTTTGCGTGATGTGGTCATGATGGCTGTGGATCAAATCGAGGATTAAGACGGTAACGAAGTCCGGAGCTGCAAACGAAGCGCACGAACAACCAAAGGCAGACACAAGTATTTAAATCTGTCTCTGAGCTGTGCTCTGTATTGTGTGGACAGATCAGCTGCTTTAATCTACTACTTATACTTGCTGCTGCTGCTGCTTGAACGACCCGTAGCTTGCAGCAGTCCCATAACCAGCGGGACACGCGTACAGACCGTATTCCGGGTGCTTGTGACGTTTGTGGATCTTCTCCAGTTCCATGAGGCTGAGCACACTCGAAGCAAGGCCCAGCACACAGCCTGATGCAAAAGGCATGACGCACGCCTGGAACGAAAACAGCGCCGAAAACGGGTCCATGAATTGCAGCGTTGACGACAGGAAAAACCCGACCATTGCCAGCATGTTCAAACCTGCAGAAAGAGCAAAGGAAGGAAACGAGTCAGTAAGTGCTCTCCTGACAGCAAGTCAGCGTGGCAAAGAAGCAGTCTGAACGTACCAGTGATCCAAGTCTCGAGTGTCGTGAGTCGGCATGAAAACCATTGGTGCACAACCTCGACATGCGCCAAGTAGGCGCTAAGTAGCAGCAGAAACGATCCGGCAAAGAAGGGCACCCAATATCCAACAATGAGGCTCAAGTCATCGCGCTTGACGTTGACAATGCCGAAATTCTCCATGTCGCCTTTTACCCACACATAAGCTCGAGCAAAGACGTAGAGCATGGAGCCAAACATACCCAAGATGGTCGTCCAAAAGTCAATGCGACTGGGAAAGAAGCCGACGTACTGACGTTCAAGAACGGGCTCCGTACCGTGAAAATACTCCTCGAGCCAAATCTCGAGGTTGTGGCAGCAGTTAATGACTTCCAAGTACGTGATGGCGTGGTACGCCAGAAAGAACACAGCAGCCAGCAGCAATGGCAAGTCCACGGACGAATGCACCTGTCGCTCGAGTGTCTGTGTAGTGATCGCGTCGCCCGAGTCACTGGCACTGAAAGCCACGGCCTCGCCTGCTGCACCTGCTAGAAAGAAGAGAAAGGCCACCATGGCACAGAGACCACCCCAGAAGCTGAGCGAGTAGACCTTCCAGTGTTTGCCGTGCCACGCGCGGTAGAGCGTCGTCATGATCTTGCGGTGAGCCCGTGAAGACCAGACAATGCGTTTCTGGTCCACTGTGTAGAAATCCACGAGCGTGGGCGAAAAGGCGTCGACGCCATAGTAGACCGAGTTGACGCTGTCGGGCGCAGGCACGATGAGCTCCTCCGAAGCCACGCGCGAGTAGGACGACGACACGGACGAAGCTGTGGGACTGGTGGCCGTGTAGCCATTGTGCTGGAGCAGCGGTAGCTCTTTCTTGGTCACGCCCATAGCTGATGCGTTCGAGACGGCAAATTCAAGACTCTGGATCGATAGAAGCAAAGGGACGCGGGAGCTCTCCTGGCTGGCTGTTTCTCACTTCAAGCGGTTGCGTTTGCAGACCGAGCGAAGGGATAACAACTTTCCGTGGGGGTTCCAAAAAGCTGTAGCTATTTCTTTATTTATAGCCTGGCTGACAGACGGGCTGACAGACGGAGCGCGAGACACGGCTGGCTGACGCCGGTGTCTCTTCTGAGCTGGGAGCTCCTCACCCGTCAGTGCGCACATGATTGGAAGGAAAGCGCAAGCGGTGGCGCCAGCTGGACGATGGGCGAGCGATCTTTTTCTCGGTGCGAGAGGGATTGGTGCGCATAGCCAGCCGTGCTTCGATATAATCTGCGGGCATAGAACATACGCCAAACCAGCAGCTGCAGCTGGTTCCTGCAGAGCTCGACCTGGTGCGACTGCTATCACCGCCTGTGTGTGTTTGCCCTTTCGACATCAATGGAGGTGTCCGTCATGGAGAACGAGCGGACGAAGCTTGGCCACGTGGTAGGTGTGACGTGGCTTCAAAAGCTTGTTGCAGGGGCGCAACCTTGTTTAATGTACTTGCGAGGAATAGGTGGCTTGCGCACATTGGAGTGAAAAGCAAACGCAGTGACCCAGCAGAGATTTGCATGATGTTCTCATCCCTGTCGTCACTGCACGACGACGGCGTTGAACAGAAGGCAACGTCTGTAAATAGGTTGAAAGATAATCGATGAGTCTTGGATGCGAGGGCACATCCTAGGAGTGAATCACAGATCACAGTCGCAGCCGACGGGAAGGTATCGTGCTCGCCTCAGTGACTCAGGTACATGCTTGCACGTATATCTGGAAGCTTGAGTGGGGTTTTACTATTGCCACCAAAGGTCGCTTGGCAAATAAGATCGAAAAAAGGAACGGTCGCCGAACCTGCTCGGACCAACAAATTTCGGGTTACGAGGTCGCTGATATTTCTGAACAGCTATCCAAATATTCTGATTGCGATGCACCGCAATTCGTCCAGCGACGATGATGAAGGGGATACTCCCGAGCTTCCAAGTGTCTACAGTTTCGGTCAGGTGCGTGCTTTTGCTGAAAGCGGCTACGACTTGTGCTTTGACGCTTGTCAATTTGGTGTAAATGTGGCATTTGATGTGCTGGATAGAATGCGTTCGGGGAGCTAGCGCTGGGCGACACTATCGACCGTAACAAGCCGACACGCATTGATTGTTGCAGTATCAATGACCAGAGCAGCGTCACGGACGTCGCTTGTGGCAATGAGCTAACGGCGTTGTTGTTCGGTACATCTGCGTCAGTGCGAGATCTAGTGTATTTGCATGAAAACGCTGACAAGTGCTACTGTGTATGTGCGCTCGAATCGCGTCTCGTTGCCATGTTTGCAGAGAGTGGGGACGTATTTACATGCGGTTACAACGATAGGTGCGCCGGCTCGTTTTTCAGGGATTGGTAGCCACGTGTGGTTTCGTTACGGTCGCTGTGATTTTTGTGGTATCGTCGGTAGCGGTCAGTGTGCTGTTGGATCGACGGACCGGGTGCCGGCGCTCCAGCTCTCGCCAGGATTGAGTTCTCTTGGCACTTCGAGGCTTTTCTCTGGCAATGGTAGTGAGCACCTTGCAGCTCTGAGCGGTAAGGATCTGTACAAAGCAGAAAGGCTGGACGGATGTCGTTGCGTGGGAATTTCTCACTTGTGAGATGTTGCACTGTGGCGCCTCTTTTGCAGCAAATGGACAATTGTACACTGTCGGGTTTAACGCGAATGGGCAGCTAGGCATCGGCTCTGCAAAAAATGTAGAAGAGCCTACGCTTGTGGGTGAATTGGTGAGCAAACGCGTCGTTGTGGCTGCCTGCAGCTACTTTCACACGACAGTTGTGACGGACAGTGGTGAGCTGTACGCATGCGGTTGCAATGAGTACGGGCAGCTTGGATCGAGTGATAGCGATGGTCAGCTTGTACCTCGATCTGTTGGATACTTTTCACGGCATCCGGTTCTAGCAGTTGCGTGCGGCCAGCATTTTACAGTCGCGTCACTAAGTGTGTGCTTTGGATTGAAAATGCTGGCGCTTCTGGTTGAGCTAACACTGCTTGTATCGTTGGCGTAGAAGAAGGAGGTGTCGTAGCGTTTGGAAAAAACGACCACGGCCAACTCGGTATTGGTCGTACATCCGAGCCGGTATTTCACCCGACACGCTTAGCTTCGCCCCTGGATAAAGCAATGGTACCCCAAATTTCGTGTGGGTATCATCATACCGCTGTTATCACGGAGGACGGTGCTGTGTATACTTTTGGCCGTAACGACTACGGTCAGCTCGGTCTTGGGCACAAACTACACATGGCCCGACCAACAGTACGTCTTGAGTTTTGTTGTGCTCTTGTCGTAGCTCAGTGGATACAATGTGCACTGTCGGGATGATGATTGGTACGATTTTGATTTTACTTTAGGTTGTGGAAAGCTTGTCACGCGTCAGGGTAGTCCAGGTTGCCTGTGGCTGCTATCATACATTGGTGCTTTCGGACGCCGGCAAAGTATTCCCGTTTGGTCGTAACAATCATGGTCAGCTTGGATTGGAAACATCAATGGATTGTCTAAGCCCTCAGCTTATCTCGTCCTTGCAGAACAAAGTGGTCGTTAAGGTATTCGTTGCAGTTGATGACGACTTCCGACTTGTGAAGATGCAAGCTCAAGCGGCTTATTGATGTGTGCAATAGATCGCTGCTGGGTTTTACCATTCAGTTTGTCTAGTGAAGACATCTGAAGGGGCGAAGTCATTGGGAAAAGGCACCGAAACACTGAGCGCAGACTTGAGCAAGATGCTGAACAATCCAACTCGAAGCGACGTCGTTTTCGTGGTAGAAGATCGTCGCTTTTTCGCACATGGCTGCATTCTGGCAGCTCGTTGTGAGCCACTCGAGAAAATGCTAGACGGTCGAACAAAGGACGGGCTGCAGCCGGCGATTGTTATCCCCGAGTATTCGGTGCGTTGTAACAGGATCTGATCAGTCTACTCGCTTTCACGTAACACGATCGCCGAGTGTCTTCGCAACTTGTTGGTTGGTGGCACAGTTTGATGTTTTCGCTGCTCTGATGGAGTTTTTGTACACTGACCAAGTAGCTGCTCTGGCTGCACGGGATCTGACGGCAGGTAAGAGCTTTTGCATGCCAGCTGACCGTAAAGCGCCTGTTGTCCACTTCATATTAATTTCGCTGCCCGTTTTGTTGGATGCAACCAGAATTTGCGCTAGAGCTGCATGGTTTAGCCGATCAGTACCTGGTTGCCAACCTTCGAAGGTGCGACTTTTTCCGCTCACCTTATTCACAGCCGATGTGATCGATAACACACGATTCACTAACTCCCTGCGTTTCTGTTTCTGATGGCAGCTTGTGTGAGAACGCATTGCTAAGGATTTTATCAGTGGAGAACGTTGTCATTGTGATGGAGGTGCTTGCGACGTCTATGGCCTTTTTTCTGTGGTGTACGCTAACGTCGTTGTATTCCACTCACGTTGCGTCATTCAGTCAGCGCATTTTCGTAGTGCTTTCACCTTGAAAAAGCGTTGCGCACGCTTCATTGTGGACCATTATAATCGCATCTGTGCAACGGAGGTGGTATTTTGTACGGTGGTATTCAGACTCGTGAAATCTTCTCATCGACACGTCTGATGAACAGGCTTTCGCTGGACTTCCACAAGCCTTGCTAGACGAGGTGCTGCTTCTAGCATCTCACCAAGGTGTAGCAAAGTCCAATCAAGCTGATGATGGCAGTAAGTGAGTGATTATCTGGGCGACCCCACTGGTCGGTCAATGCTGAACATCCGCTTGCCATGTCATGCATTAGCTTGCAAAAGATGATGAGTCTACCGCACATAAAATTGACAAGCATACCGCTCCTGCCTAACGGGACAGCACCGGATGGCGGCACGAATACCTTCGTTGTTCGTTGTAGCAACAAGTGCGTCCACCGTCTATTCGCCAGTCAACTCATTTCTGTGAGCATACTTACTGGCGTTTCTAAGTACCCCTTCCACTCATTCGAAAAGCGTGCCATCGTTGCTCCGTCAATCACGCGGTGATCGCCGCTCCAAGACACATTCATCACGCGCATAGGTCGAACTTCTCCCTCTTCGTCATAACGAGGAAGCTGCTGGATCCGGCCAACAGCTCCTATTGCCACCTGAGGAACCATGAGGACGGGACTCATATACGTGCCGCCAATGCTGCCGATGTTGGAAATTCTGCACGAAACAAGCCATGCTCAGCAAACGAATCCTAGTTAAGAAGACAATTAATTTGTGGCAAGTACGTACGAGAATGTACCCCCGCATAGATCGGTAGGTGTCAGCTTGCCCGCGACAGCAAGCCGTTGTAGACGATTGAGATCTTCGCCTATCTCTATGATACTTTTCATCTACGAAGCAAGATCAAACATCTGGTAAGTTCGCGTGCGTCGACCCACACCATAATCCAATCAACAACAACGTACCTGAACGTTTTTGACATTCGGTACAATTAGACCCGTCGGCGTGTCCATAGCGACCGATATATTGTGCGAAGCGATCAGCGTGAGCTCCGTCTCGCTTTCGTTCACAGACGAGTTCAGTATCGGATACTGCTTCAACGCCAACGACGCAGCCTTGATAATGAAAGGCATAAACGAAAGCTTTACGCCGCGCAACTCGGCAAGCGGATTCAACTCTTTCCGCAACTCATACAGCGCGTCCATCTGAACCTATCGTCGCATCGCCAAGAGCCACACCAGTCATGTCACGCTCGCATGACACAGACAGCTGCTATGCGTCACGTACCTCGTCCCCGTATCCAAAGTGAGGGATCCGCAGTGCTGCGTTCATTGACTTGGTCATCATTTTCTGCATCACTGCACGTATCCACACACGACACATAGCAAGTACTTCTTCAGCGCACGTTCCAAACCGATCAACGCGGATATGTACCAACAGATCCACGAAATCCTCAACTCACTTGACAGTGGCACGACCGTGTCTTGTTGCATGTACGTTGCACGTCCTCCGTCCTCTATAGGCGACGGTACAGCAGCGTCTGGCTCGTAGGCCAGCGTCTCAGCTCCTTGAGACTGCGTTGCCTGCAATCGAATGTAGTCCAGTAAATCTCCCTTGAGGATACGACCTTCTGGTCCCGTGCCATCCACGTCGTGCAAGTCAATACTGTGCTCCATAGCCAGCCGACGCACGGATGGCGACGTCAGCAACTTCTCGTTGCTTTGACCTCCACGAGGGACAACAGAGCTCCCCGATAGTACTGGCACCGCCGTCATCTCCACCAAGGCTTCTGAAGGAGCGACAGTAGTAGCAGCAGCCGAAACAGTAGAATCTACTACTGGAGCAGGCGCCGCACGGGGAACAGGAGCCCCCGACAGGACCTTCTTCTTCTTGCCACCTGCTTGCTTGGCAGCTGTAGCGTCGTCCACGTCAATGTCCACGAGCGTAGAGCCCACCTTGGCCATGTCGCCCACTTCGTAATGGACTTTTGCAACGACGCCGTCATAGCGACTTGTGATCTCCACTGTCGCCTTGTCGCTCTGCACCTCACAGACGTTCTGGAACTGCTTCACCTCGTCCCCCCGCTTGACAAACCACTGCAGCACTTCCACTTCGGCGATGCCTTCGCCAATGTCGGCCAGTTTGAACGGGATCTCGGGGAGCGCTGCCACGACGCCCGCGTGGAACCCGCGGCGGCCGGTCGCTCGTCGCATCCGTAAGCACAACGAGCTCATCGAGTGCGCACTTGAGTGCGGATTGGAAAGTGACTGCGTTGAAGTTGCAGTGCAAAAGAAAGAGAGGATGTCGGCGGGGTAGGGGAATCTGATTCCACTGCAAAAGCAAAAACAAGGCGAGGCGAGGCGACATGGAGGAACGACCGCTACCACTGTGAGGTAGGTCAAACGGTAGCACCCGCAACAAGCACTGCCTGGTATCTATTTATTCCAAACGGACGTCGCTACCTTCTTGGATGTCACCTTCAAATATCGACAGCGACGATGCGCTCTTTTTAGGCCTCGATTGCTCCACGCAGAGCATGTCCGCTGTTGTTATCGACGCTGTCGGTCATCTTGTCCACGAGTGCTCGTTCCGCTTCGATGACCGTTTCCCGCAGTATGACACGGACAATGGAGTGCTGCGTCCGACAACGGACGAGGTGGTTGTCCCGTCGCTTCTCTTTGTCGAGTCGCTGGATGCCATTTTGGATGAACTGAAGAAGAGCACTTCAGTTGATGTTGCAAAGATCAAGAGCGTCAGTGGCAGTGCACAACAGCACGCGTCCGTGTATTGGCACAAAGACTTTTCGTTGCGTACGTGCTTGGACGTCGCCGCAGAGTCAAATACCCTCTCACTTTTAGAGGCGATGAAACAGCAGACGCATCCGGCTTTCTGTCTACCCAATGGGCCCAGCTGGATGGACAGCTCGACAACACGATATTGCACCGAGTTGGAAGCTGCTCTTGGTGGACCTGATCGAGTCGCTGAGATCAGCGGATCTCGAGCGTACCCGCGCTTCACTGGCAACCAAATTGCCAAGAGGATACACGAGGACCCAGCGCTGTTGGAAAGGTGCGGACGTATTGCATTGATTTCGTCAATGCTGACGTCGCTCTTGTACGGCAACTACGCCCCAATCGATGACAGCGATGGATCGGGTATGAACCTCCTAGATGTGCGAAAGCGAGTATGGTCCCCAGAGCTTCTTCGGGCCACTACCAGGCACAGCAATGATGCCAATGCTGCGGCACAATTGGAGACGGCATTGGGCCCGCAGGTTTCGCGAGCGTATTCGCCAGTGGGTGTGATTCACACATACTTTCAAAAGAAGTACGGCTTTGCTGCCGATTGCAAGGTGGTTCCATTCTCCGGTGACAATCCGTGCACGCTCGCTGGCATTGGTCTGTCCCAGCCAGGTGACGTTGGGGTCTCGCTGGGCACATCCACCACGCTCTTTGCTGTAGTGCCTACAAGTGCCGCGCGTTTCTCGGGCAAAGAAGGGCATTTCTTCTGCAACCCGATTGACCCCAGCACTTTTATGGCCATGATCTGCTTTAAGAACGGATCGCTTGCACGCCAAGAAGTCCGAGACCGTTGTGCAGGTGGATCATGGGAGAAGTTCGAGGAGCTAATGCAAGCCACGAGGACGGGCAACGACGGCATCACCGTGTTCTACTACCAGGACTCTGAAATCACGCCATCTACTCGCAAGGCTGGTGTCGTTGGCTTTGATGCCAGCAGTTCCCAGGTCGACCCTTCAATGCTGCCACCTGAAGTGGAAATTCGTGCCGTGGTCGAAAGCCAATTCCTGTCGCTGCGTCTGCACGCAGAACGACTAGGAGTCAACAAGCCGCGGCGTCTTGTCGTTGTTGGTGGGGCGTCAACGAATAAGTGCATGCTGCAGGTTCTTGCGAATGTGTTTGACACGCAAGTGTATCGCCTCGCCTGCACCTCCCACCCAGCAGCTCTTGGTGGGGCCTTTCGTGCCTGTCATGGAGTTGCCTGTGCTAACAGCGCGTCCGGGTACGTTCCGTTCGACGTGAGCAACAGCTTGGACTTTTCACTGAGTGCTAGTCCCATCGCTGACGCTACCAAGATCTATACCCACGAGATCCCTCGGTTCGAGTCGCTGGAGGGTCAAGCTGCGAGTCTACTCAGCTAAGCAGCATCAATACACCTGCAATCTACTGCTCGATAAAATGAATCTAACTTGCGAAAAAAACTCTATTCTTTCAGTCCCTAAATGTTTGTCAAGACAGGTCATCCCTCCCAGTGGTACACTTCTGAGTCTGTGTGACGCCGTGCCGATCAACGACGTTGAAGTTACCGATTTGTTTGCCAATCATGTTGTGTTCCTTGTTTCAGGCGATCGTATCGACGAAACTGCCGCATGCTAGACTATCTATGCAGCGGACCTGACCCAACTATTCCAAACATCATCAAAACAATTTCCGTGATGCACACGAAAGGTCACAGCACATAAAAAAGCCGATCCCCATTGCAGTAAGTCGCAGCTATCTACCTACTTCACCAACTCCACCACAGTCCAATACGACGCGAGGTCGTCCCTCCCAGTCCCGGAACAGCCAGAGACAAGACCGTCCGAAGCTACTGCTCACATGTCACTGCTACTACCATCGTCGATCCACCGCGTGGTGTCCCAACCCTATCGGCGTTCTCGCTTCCTTCTGCAGCGCGCTCTACACGTCGCTCGACCGCTTTCCCAAGCACAAGAAGAAGAAGAAGAAGACGGTGCTCTACCTGTGCTGGAAACCGCCCAAATGAACATGTTTACAGCCATTAACGACGCCATGCGCGTCGCGATGGCAACCGACGCCTCGGCGATTCTCTTTGGGGAAGACGTGGCGTTCGGTGGCGTCTTTCGCTGCTCCGTGGACCTCCGCGAGACCTTTGGCAGCGACCGGGTCTTTAACTCCCCTCTCTGTGAACAGGGGATTGCTGGCTTTGCTATTGGCTATGCCTCTACCGGACGAACGGCGATTGCCGAGATCCAATTCGCAGACTACATTTTCCCAGCCTTTGACCAGATTGTGAACGAAGCTGCGAAGTTCCGCTATCGCTCGGGCAACGAATTTGACTGCGGGAAACTCACGTTCCGGGCTCCGTACGGAGCTGTTGGTCATGGTGGCCACTACCACTCGCAGTCACCGGAGGCGTACTTTGCCCATACACCCGGACTGAAGGTTGTGATGCCGCGCAACCCCGTGACAGCAAAGGGGTTACTGCTTGCATCGATTCGGGATCCGAACCCGGTACTGTTTCTGGAGCCCAAGGCGCTGTATCGAGCATCGGTTGCTGAGGTGAGGACCAGTTGGAGCAGATGGCGATGAGATATAGCTACACTTGTGTGTGGTCTTCGGTCTGATTGCGTTTTTTTGAACTGGTCGGATGCTTCATGTGTCTATTGATGGACAATAGGTGCCAGTGGGTGAGTACGTGCGGAGTTTGAGTGAGGCTGAGATTGTGCGGCAAGGCACCGATGTTACAGTTGTCGGGTGGGGCGCACAGATGAGGGTGCTAGAAGAAGCTTGTGGTTACGCTGAGGGTGTCGGCATCAGCTGCGAGCTCATTGATTTGCAGACGATTTTTCCATGGGACGCCGACACTATTGAGCACTCGGTTCGCAAGACCGGTCGACTTGTTATCAGCCACGAAGCTCCGGTAAGAGTATGCGCATGTGTGATATTTGGCAAGTACTGGTGAATAGTAACAATTGTGCGTGTACGTAGAAATCCGGTGGATTTGCAGGCGAGATATCGTCAAGTATTCAAGAGCGGTGCTTTTTGAGCTTAGAAGCTCCCATTCAGCGGGTATGCGGTTACGATACGCCCTTCCCGCTAGCGTATGAATCGGTGAGACGGAAGTTTGCATTGCTGTTTTAGTCAATCACTTACGTCTTGTCATGTTTGTTAGCACTACCTTCCGGACGCATTGCGGAATTTTGAGGCGATCAAGAAAGTGGTGAATTACTAGCTGCTTTCCTTCTCTTGGTCATCAGCGATCGTTCGTTCATTTATCTAGCCTTTTTATTCAGACTATTTTTGCGTCCCTGGCTGTAGTAGGCTTTCGTAATACTCGCAGAATAACTGAGTTTGTGTAAATTCGTCCAGGTAGTCCTCGAAACCGCTTTTCTGCACTTCCTTGGCCACCTCTTCTTGTAAGCGGTCATAGAAGCTTTGGTCACCTGGAAATGTACGTGCGATTAGGCATGACAACGAAACCACCGCACAGCATCATTCAAGAATCGAGCTGCTCACCTGAAATTGACGCTGCCAAATCATGGGAAGATATGTCGAAACCAAGGTCCCGCAAGAAAATTTCGGCTTCCTGCAGTGTCAGCGTGATGATTGTGTCTTGCTCGTCCGACAGTTCATACCATGGCTTCCCTGATGGATGCAAAGCGTTGAATCGCTCTCTGGCTTTCCATAGCAAATGACAAAGCTCTACGCCATGAGGTAGGGACGATGGACCCAGGTGTCTCGTCATGGCCGGCACAGCAACGTGGTCTCTGTCGATATTGTAAAAGCAAACGTCAGGCCACTGGGATGTTTCTGTGAGAGAATGACAGCCCACGAGGAAAGGAACGGGGGAATGCAAGAAGTCCAGCAACCCCGATGGCAACAGGGGGATATATGTCGACTGCCACTGGAAAGGAGAGAGCAGCAGGACGAATGCCGTGCATACGGCTGATACCTTGGCAGGACTATCGCTCATGATCACAACTTGCTTCTCAAGCAGCAAGTGTGCCATTATTTCAACCATGTTGTCTGGCGTCAAAAAGCGTAAAACAACACCAACTGTCCATCGATCGGGGTGGCGTCTCGGGAACTGATAGCTGAAGTCAAAGGTAGGAAACCGGGTCGTAGACCAGTGTCCTGGATCATTCATCCTCATCTGCCGTGCCCGGTGTAAAATCTGCGACGTTCAATAGCAGCAGACATGTCAGTGCACAGAACGTTTTGCTTGGTTAAGCCACACAGCAACTAACGTACATCGATCGAAGTAGCCGATAAATACCGGCGACGTTTTGACAGTTTTACACGCGATGGGACTATCGAATGCGGCCTACGGAAGCGTAAACGCATTGGCCGATTCCCCTTTTCCAGCAATGCCATCGTTTGATCAAAACTCATGGAGGCTAGAGGGGGAAGAAACCCAAAGTTTATCGTGAGAACGAACGTAGATCACCAAAGAGAGTAATCCGTCGTACCTGTCGCAATGCCGTCCACCGCCTCCAACATATCGCCAACCTTCACGTGCTCATACTCCTTAGGTCGACGCGAGCCAACGATCTTCGCCACTGGTCGATTCATCATCAACTCATTGGTAGCATTGTAAGAGTCAATATCGTCGGTGCTTAGGCTTTTGCGAACTCGGTTTGGTCGCCGTTTTGGTGCTGCTTTCGATCGACTACTGTCTTCACGCTCGTCGACCCTTACCCTTGCATCTTCGCTCAGAATAACACGTTTATCTGCAAAAGTAGTGCTCTGCTTTGTTGCAATCGAGGTCAAATTGCTCCGTCGCGGCACTTCCAAACCACTGGGTCGCTCTTCGACCAAAGGGTGTTCTTCATTTGAGTTTGCAAATTCTATCGCAAGATCAAGTAGCGGTCTCAGGATGATCTCAAACTGCTCATCCTCTCCGACTCCCCTATCCAGTTCATCCTCACAAGCTGTGGATGAAAGTCGGTGTTGTTCCAACTCGTTCTCGATAATCATCCGTAAAACCTGTCCGGTTGTAATTTCATAGACGACAGTCATCACACCATGTTAGCCGCTGAGTGAGAAAAGCGTATACAGCTCGACAGCCAAAGTGTCCGCACCGCAAAGTGAAAGCGATAGAATGGGAACTTAGTCGTGAAACAGTAGCATCTTGGTGCAACTGCAGTCGTTCTAACCACCCGATTGTCGTTGCCAGAAGGTGATCCAGAATTTTCACCTGGCAAGCCTGACGCCACGCTACTCAGAGGGCTCTGTGAACCACTGCTCGCCAGAGTGTCTCGTACGGCTACCTCTTCCCACATTGTGGCAGCACAAAATCCATACAATACCTCTCCCTTTCCACCTGTAAGACGAAAAGTATAACCAGTTGTCTCCGGCGCATGTTTCAAAAGCGACGCGATTTCAGTGAACCATTCTGACACTGCCATGCCCCTCACGGATGCTGCTTGAGCAGGTGTGCATACTGTCAGCGGTACACCTCTCGGAAAGCAAAAGTCGGCAATGAATTCATCAGGTGGGGCATTTGATCTCTATAAAGCACAACAATCGCATAATCCACGGCAAAAATGAATAAATGTCGCAATGATAAGGCCAATGAGCTTACGCACATTCGGAAAGTCGTAGAGGAGCTCGGGCTTCCAATATCCAGCAAGGTCCGAAGACCGGTGTTGTTGCCCAGCGTCGGTCAAAGCCATTCCTGTGACGAAAAAGTGCTCGAACATGTGCTCCTTCTTGAACTGCATGGAGAACTTGATTGAACGGACTGCATTTTGCACCTGTTTCGGATGCGTTCGTGCGTACCAAAGATCCCGTGAGGATGGTTTTACATGCATAATGCGGTGCATGAGGTGTTGCTGCTGTGAGTGCTTGGCGCCATCACTTTTCTTTCCGTCCATAGACCGTTTTGACGACCGTCCTTCGAGAGCCTCGAAAGCCGAACCCGTAGTTGATGATCGATGCAGCCGTCCGGTAGACGCAGTAGTTGCATCCGAGTGATGCACCAGTGATTGTTGATCTCGTAGCTTCTGGTCGATCAAAAAGTTTAACGGATCATTGCAATCACCTGTCGTGTCAGGCTGTTTCTCATCTCCATCTACAGCAGCTTCAGATGCGTGTCGTGTTTGCCCTACTAGGGATGTCAAAGATAGCATCCCCCTACTTTCATTATCATCACCCAGAGCATCACCGCCATCTTCACTTGAGTCATCATCAAAGTCGAACGACGACAACGTCGGACTCAGAAGGTTCGCTGTCTGGTCCGGATAACTGCTCCAGGTTCCCAAAACGTGACACAAGAAGCCCTCAATCTTCACCTCTCCAGCCCTTCTTAACAGCATATTACGACTTACCATTGTCGAGAGGAAGAGCCTTCTACGCCCCTAACATCAATCGAATCATCAATCATTCCATTCGATTGACTTCGCTCCGTGCGCACGATAAGGTCCAGCAGATCCTTCGTCGTCTTCTGTCGTCGTCGCTTCTCCACAAAATACTTTTCGCGCCATTTCTGGGCCTCATACTTTGCCAGCACCAGCTCGTTCTACAACGATCATTTGCATGGACGAATCAGACGAATCAGACAAAACCGACATCAAGCGCCAGCAGCTACGACCTCTCTGCTAGAGCGTTGAGACACACGATGGTAATCCACACCAGGAAAGCGTTGCGTAGATAACACTGGACTTGCTCATACGGACCTGTAGCTGTTCGAGCGTCTTTGGCCATGCGTCGTCTGCGCCGCTTCCTTGAGAGCTCATAAAGACTCGACGGAGGAGAGATAAAAAACGCTTTTTATAAAAAACGCTTTTTATCAGAAATCTGGGTCTGATTCCTCGACTGCTACAGATCCCCAATGCACTTCAAGTGCGTTACTCACACATGCACATTACCAAGCGGTGTAGCTGTTATTATCGTCCAGACTCTTCACCGCGTACGTCGTGAAAAGCATCTTCAGACTACATCATGACACAACCACCAGTGCTCGGTTTCTGCTCGACGTCTTCCATCTCAGCATCGTGATCAAGCGCTGTCGATCTTTGGTCCATCTACATGTGCACAATTGCAAATACAAAGGCCGATCAGCGCCAATCTACTGCTACAAAAGCAAAATCGTTACGACGGACGTACCGGGTCCTTTGTATACAGATACGAGCTCTTCACCGTGAACTTCTCACCATTATCGTACTGCATCTCGTACATGTCATTGTCCAGCTGACGTAAAACAATTCCACGGAAAAACTGCGCACAATCTTCGCCTACATTGACCTTGAAGTACAGGACAGATCCCACGGCAAACCTGTGGCGCAAATTGTGCGCTTTGGATCCCCGCGGCACCAAAGCAGCCACCTCTCCGTCGTTCCTGGTTTCCATTGTGCTCTCGGTCAACGTGTTGCTGTTTGAAATCGAAAAGTCCACGCTGTCGCGTTTCTTGTCAATCACTTGGACAACCACACTGCCCGCAGTCTCATCTGGAGCAACGATCGCTGAGATCGCTCGTTGGTATGGTGTCACGACTTCGGCGTGGCTCTCTGGAAAAGTCGGTACTTTAAATGCCGGAATCATCTGCTCATCCAACACGTCAGACGTGGCAAATCGAGGAGTAGCAGCCTGACAATTTGAGACGAAGCGAGGCTCAACAGCCACATCCTCGCCTGCAATTTCTTCAATCGTCGTCAGACACTGCCTCATAACATCTTGAATCGGTCGACTGAGATGTAGCCAAAAGGCCTGAAACTGGCGCATGAGTACACTGCGTACTGACTTCGAGAGGACCGCGTTCTTGTTTTTCCAGAGCTCCTGCTGACCATCGGCAATATCCATGAGCGCTTGTATCGAGCTTTGGTGCACTCCGATGAACTCACGAATACGCTGCTCGATGTCGCTCTTCTTGATAGGTGCAGAGTCGCCGAAGTACTCGTTGTGGGCAGCAAGTGCCTTCTCTTGCTCTTCAACTTCTCCATTTGCCTTGGACTGCTGAACGGCGTGAAATTCACAATAACGACCCAGCGCACGCGTCAGCATTGGAATGATCGCTTCAAGTGCCGTTGTTGCACGAGCCTCTGACCTCGAACGCGCGTCCTTCAAGCTTCTACGAGAAGTTGAAAGGGCTTTCTCACGCTGCTCGCGAACTTTGCTGAAGAAAACGGATAAAGTCTCGTGGAATGCCAAAGCGTGCTGAGCGACCAGCAGGGCACGAGTAGACTCCTCCACTTGGTTTTCACTTTCCTCGCGAGAGCTCCACAGCATCTGCACCTCGACGTCCTTTTGCTTCCAGACGTCAACGACAGCCTGAAGACTAGCTGAAGCTTCCGTTTCACCTGCAGATACGAGTTCTTGGTGTTGTTTGCGCACAAACTCTACAATTTGCGCTGATCGGGTCTCCTTTTTTTCTTTCGCCTCCGACAGCGCACGTTCAGCTTTCTCCACCTCAGCAATACGCTCAGTCACAAACATAGCCAGTCTTTGGCCCAAGGCTTCTAGTGCAGCTTCCACTTGAGCCTTCTCTTTACCGCTCACTTCGTCCGTTTCTGTATATTGACTCAACCAATCCATATAAGCCTTGCAGGCAGAAGAGAGACGCTCAATAGCGTGCTTTGCAGCTTTGGCGCGAGCATACGCACTGGATGCCGTCACGTCGTTTTCAGCTTGCACAATTGCTGCCACTTCTTTGTCTTTTGCCGCGAGTGCACTCTCCGTCAGTACCCCATCCGTCATCTCATCTGTATCCACTAAGTGAGGTGGTAACCTTGCTGCTACTTCGACGGTCAAGACCACTCCATGTCTTTGAATATCTTGTGCATCCTCTTGCCTCTCCACGTCTTTCACCCACTTGACCAATGCATCCATCGTCTCCTTCACACACTTTTCCATCTCCGGCAACGCTCTCACCTCGAAACACTTCCACAATCCCTCTATCTGTTCAGGAGTGAAGACGCCCTCTCGAGCAGCTACACAATCGTCCACGATATGAAGCAGTCGTTCTTGTGCTATCACGCATTGGTCAGCCACCAACAGCCACCGTTTCTCCTCCTCACTTGGCTGTGTTGTTACTTCGTCTTCGTCTTCGCTCACATCCTCCAGACCCATGATCATTGCAAAGCGTTCGTCCTTTTGTCGCTTATTGGGCGTGTCATTGCTTGCAATCGACGCACTCATGCGCCGCTTTTCCCGTTCCCGTTCCGGTGCTCCCAAGATGCTGAGGCTGCTGCTGCTGCTATTAGCAGTAGAGAGAGACGCTGGGATCACCATCGAGCGTTGATAGCATTGACTGGCTTCAGGACACTGGTAGGCGTCCTCTGAACAATTATGCCACGTGCGACGCGCACGCACCGACTCTTGCTTGCTCCGTGGCGGACCGTCCTTGGGTCTTGTCCAGAAGCAAAGCTGCTCGAGCTCTTGCGATCCGTGCGGATCTTCCGACTCCTGCCGTGACTCGTCCGTTCCCATATTCTTCATTAGCTGAAGTTCGTTGATTGCTGAGATAGAAAGACGATAATTGAGACCGGATTGGTTGGCGCTAGTTTTGCGATTTGTGCTCCCAAGTGTCAAGGGATATATGTGCTGTATCTACTGCGAGCCTGCAAACTCTTTTCTCGTCTTCGTCCGTCTACACTGTGCCGGTGATCAAGCGACGTCTTCGTCGTCCTCAAGCTGATGAGATATCACGGCTGACACACACCACTTGTCCTCGAGAGGATCTTTCTCCAGCTGCAGAATCGTATACTGGCCCAGTCGCAATGAACCTGCTGACACCACACCATCTCTTAGTCGTTATGAGGCATGCATTCCGGTAGATCCAACAAGTGGTAGCACCAAACGTACCTGGATAGATCAATGGAAGCTGCGCATGTGGATGCTGATCGCTGCCGCCAATGATCTCGAGCGCTCGCTGCTCGTCTGGTTTGTGAGACTGCAGCATGGGCAGCAGACCAGCGAAGAAAGAGCTCTCCACCTCAGGTAGACGCGTCTTGACCATCGAGTCCCGCAGTACGAGCACCATGTCACGATCCTGCATCGGGTTCTTCCCATCGTTCACTAGTCTACCACCAAGAAAAGCATGAGTAACGCAACAACCTTTTCGCCGCTCTCGCCTCACTGTCCAATCAGTCACTTCATTTACTTGTAATATCGAGCTTCGCCCATAACTGTCACGCCCTCAACCAATTGATCGTCTCGGTAGTATACATTCGAAGAGTACTGCGTCAGTGATGGCGCCGGTACGACAATGCTGCGTGTAGTAGGCGGATCGTTCTACCATTCACAAGCAATACTCATGATCCACAGTGAAACCACAAACAATCAGTCTTTGCTTCGTACTTGGCGCTAGGCTAGTGACCAGTCCACACTCTTGCTGGACGCACCTCATCTGAAATGTATAGAACACGGCAAATAATCATCTCAAGCCGAGAGATCAGTGCCATCATATCTCCTTCGGCAGCTGCTACCGTCTCGAGTACTGCATACTCGTGTGGCCCTCGTTTGGCCACTAGACCGCCAGAGAGCAGCACAGCATCAACGTCGCAGTCGTCCGAGCTGACTATCTCCTCACACAGCTGGTTCACACGCGCGATTTGGCCTTCTAAGTCGCTCAGCAGCAACAGCTTGAGCTTCGTGGCGTCATCGCTTTGCATGATTGACATCCTATTTGGTCTTTTCAAACCACGGTGGACTGGAGCAACATCGTGATAATTTGAGTAGGACCAAAACGACATACGACTCGCGAAGCAATGTGACACGAAAGTCTTCCGAGACGCGTCTGACTCTGCGAACAAAAGACCTTGCGCTGGGTCCTACGTCGATCACGTGTATAATACATGTGTCGACCTTCTCTATATCAACAGCTTGATGTGCCTTCGTAGTCAGAGTTCTACCGATCGATCTGCCCATGACTACACAATGTCTTGCGTGTGCTCATTCGGGTGGACGATTGACAACGGTGGCAATCGTTGATGTTATAGTCCTACCACCTTTTGAGCGACAAAACGCGGCCTTTTCGCGTGACTGACTGAAACCCTCATCAGAACATGCGGGAAGTACGAAACAGGACGTCGGACGGTATATTCCGGATAATGCAAGGTGACAACATAGTTATGGGAAGGGTCGGTGTAACGTATAAATCTGAATGAAAAGCCTTTCTTGATGACCATCGTGTCAGACATTAATTCATGGAAAGGCGAGTGCAAGCAGGGGTCACAGCACGGTGAAATGAAGGTGCAAGCACCTCGGCCACGGAATTTGCTGCTATTCGCAAGACAAGGAACTTCTTGCAGTGATCGATCATCCTGCATGTGAATTGCAAGAAGTTTTTGTGCTGCGTAGAAAAGGGTGCACCTCAACTCTTCCTTTCGTCTTGAAAAGCTTCCTGCGCAAGACTGGTACATTTCGTAGATTTTAGCCTCATGAGTTGACGCACGAGACCCCACTACAAATTCTGCATTGTTGACGTTTCGGTTCAAATCGCAAGCTTTGACTTATCTAATCACATCTCATAGTTCGTCATGGTAGCACCCTCGCTACGATGCACAGGTGCGCTGAGCTTGTCAAAGTGAGCACCGTGCCGATGTGTATCGTTTGAAGCAGCAATTGAGCAATGTAGTTGCCTCCGATACTATTTTGGTAGAAACGCATACAATGGTCACGGCGAGGCCGGTTGAACGCATTTTCCTGCGAACGGTTGACGAATTTGACGCGTTTCATACTCTTACTCAAATTCGTCATACCACTGCCCGATTCAGTACGCCCACTGAGCTCAGAAGGTGAGATAGCCAGATTCATTCGACGGCCTCTCAGAGACGCTACAGTACAAGTCACGCATTTGAGATGCCGAATATTATGCATGATTTGTCTCTTACCCACTTTCCACCGCGCGACCGTGCATGGAAACGGATCAGCTCTAACACAAGCTGCTTGGTTTGCGAGTAACACTCTTGAGATGAACTGAGCACATTGGCTGAGTCCAGCTCATTTCTCGGTGCACTACCGAGCTGCTCTTTTTTGATGGTGTGATGGTTTTATAATGGGGGGGAAGTGCGACAAGCACAACTGCCATCTTGGAGACAAAGCAGAACATATTGGATGTACGAAGTCGGGTGCATTGTGAACGTGCCAGTCTTGTGCCATAAATGTCAATCCGTCTCAACTTAACGTGTGTTTGACAATCCATTCTGTACGAAAGTGCTCTAGAATCAATCATAGAAAACAAGGTAGCGCGTGTACATTTTTATTGAACGTTGGGATGAGGGGGAGTACTGGAGATATAAACCCTAGGACAATGAAGAACCCATAGTTTCTGCGATTACTCGATCACCATTAGATCATTTCTTCATTCGGACACAAGCTATTCCACATATCCATGCTGGATGTGTCCGCTTGACAGGAATTATGCAGCCAAATCTGTCAAGAGATCCAGAGACCCTCGCGCAAAGACCGTTGTGTATGAAGTTAGCTCGCGAGACATGCACTACAAGTTTGTTCGGGGACAGGCGCTTGGCAGATGCCAGTTTGTGGCTCAATATCTTGTGTACAGAAACGGCGTCGATGTTTGTCACGATGGCGACTGCATCAAGATTTGCACGTGGCGTGTAACAACGATATGGGTAACAGAGAGCATGTACCACATCCCTACGAAAAGGCATCACTGGCACTGAGGCTGGAGGCGGTCTTGTAAAGTCGTACTCGATTACTTTGGTCCTAATTTGTAAAAAGAGAGTGCATGCTCTAATCAGATACCAAATCCCGATAATTACAACCATTACTAAAAAAACTAAGCGCTTTTCTGCTCACGATGCTGCTTTACGTGGCTCACCAGATCTATCGACCTTTTACCTGGCTTCTCACTCCCATCTGACATTCAAGAAATTCGTACAAAAAAACCGTCACTGAATCAATGCCATCGCACGCGCGGGAGCTTTTCTTACAAAAACGAGGCTTATTCAGCCACCCAATCCGCACAGTGACTACTGCGGCCCTCAGGTCGCCCGGTGTTTTGCAGTCTCTGCTAAATACAGGGTCCAAATCGCTGCCATCTGTCGTCCGGATACAAAGGTGTGTAACAATTACTGGCCACTTTCAAGTATACGTCGTTGACCGTTGCCAAATGGGATGGGGGTCACGTCGCCCAAGAGACCGTTGTGTGCTCAGTTCTACTTCGCGCGTGCTCGTTCAAGTGCCGCCACCATCACGACGAGCCATGAACGCTGCGCAGTACCTCTTGGACCGCGTACGCACGTGCAAGGCGCTGCATGAGATGAGCGAGAAGAAGACGCGTAGCTGCTTCTCGTCCGTTGGCAGCGCCACGCACTCGTTCCATGGCGACGACGCCGTGGGCTTTGGACCCAGTTACATGGTCGTTGCCGACGGCGTCTCGGGCACGATGAAGGCGTCTGGTGTGCTGGCTCGCATGCTCGTGGACGAGACGCTGGCGTCATTGGCCAAGCTGCACAAACGGACCCGCGAGAAGGTGTTGAGTGCCTCGGACGTCAGTCAGAGCATGGAGGTGGCGATCAAGAGTGCCCGCAAGTTGGCCAAGAACAAGGGACGCCTCGATTCGACCATTTCGACAGCTTTTTTCGACAAGACGTTGCGTCGGATGTTTGTGTATACAATTGGTGACTGTAAATGTGTGGTCTTTCGCGGGAGGGACGTCGTGTTCGAGAGTGACTCGATCATCTACGACTTTAATGTACCCGCTGTTGTGTCGAGCAATGAGTCGATTAACTATGAAGAAGACGTGCAGATCCAGACTTTTGACTACGAAGCAGGGGACGTGTGCTTCATGTTCTCGGACGGCGTACACGACAATCTGTACGTGGACGACATTGCGTCGATTGTCACCTCGGTAGTCGACCGTTCGCCGCCGACTCGATGCAGACGTGGAGCAGCTGACGAACTGGCACGACGGACAGTCCAACGTGCCAAGGACACTTTTACATGCACGTCGGTGTACATTCCCTTTGCTGTTTCGGCTGCAGGGTTTGCCTGTGAAGCGTTGAACGAGTTGAAGACGAGCAACACTGTGGATGCAGAGGAGTTTGAGCGCTTTCGACTGCAGTGCGAGACCATTCCGTCCTTGAGCGTGACCCGCGCGGCGTTTGGCAAGGAACGCCGCGTCCGTCGATTGGCTTTCTACAGTGCGTCGAACTTGCTGGCCTTTGCGCACAAGAAGCAAGGCAAGCGCGACGACATTTCCGTATGCGCAGCAGTGCTCGCATGATTATGCTCCATCGACAGGCATATATTCAGCATGTGCGGTATTGTTTTCCGACGGCTAAGCGGCAGCAGGTTGGGAAAATGATTATGAGAAATTAATACAACACGGCACCGTCCTAGCACGTTCGTGTTTGTTTACGCCAGCGCCGATGTTTTCGGCCGTCTCGCAATTGTGTTTCTGAAGTCGCACTGTGAAGTAGTTGTACCAATACAAGGGTACGATCGCTCTCGTCCAGTGATCGAAACGTTGTCAGTGTCAAAGAGCGAAACTATGGGCAAGAGAGCGCGTCCCGGACGACGAGGTGGCGGCCGCGGCGATTACCGCAGCGAAAAGAAACAGCGCGGTGATGGCAAAGCAGAAGAGTGGCCAGCGGACAGGTTTGCAGATTGGGTGTACGAGAACAAACACTTTGACGCGTACTACAAGGCGCAGAACATTGTGGCGGACGCTGATTGGGACGCGTTCAAGAAAGCGCTGGCGACGCCGCTGCCCACGACTTTCCGTATCAATAGCTCATGTCCATTTGCTGAACGGTAAGCTTTTCCATGGTTTTGTCGAGTATGTCATCGGTTGCGCGGAAGTTGAAGCTCGAGACTAATTTTACAGCCTTGGTGCAGTATTCGCGAGCACGTGGAGCAGGATTTCAAGTTTGATGGACTCGTGGTAGACGACGAGCCGGTGGAGCCCATTAGTCTCATGCCCTGGTATCCGGATAACCGCGGCTTCACGTGGTCGGTTGAGCGCCGTCGTGTGCGCAAACTACCGATTTTGAAGAAGTTTCAGGCTTGGCTTGTTGAGCTCTCGGATAGTGGCAGTATCACTCGTCAAGAAGCTGTGAGCATGATCCCACCTCTTGTTCTAGGTGTAGAGCCGCACCACAAGGTGCTGGATATGTGTGCTGCCCCTGGCTCCAAGACGTCCCAGCTGCTGGAATCGCTGCATTCTCAAGAACTTGCAACGGGCAAGACCCCTACCGGAGTCGTTGTGGCAAATGACGTGGATCTCAAGCGTGCATACATGCTGGTGCATCAATCCAAGCGCATTAACTCACCCGCGCTGCTTGTCACTTGCCATGAAGCTCAGCACTTCCCGTTTCTTGGTAAAGATGGAACTGAAAGTAAAGGCGTGTTCGACCGTATTTTATGCGACGTGCCATGCAGTGGTGATGGCACCATACGCAAGAACCCGTTGATCTGGAAGAGTTGGAGTGCCAAGAATGGTATTGCATTGCACCCGCTGCAGCTGCAAATTGCCAAGCGCGGTGCGTCACTGCTGAAGGTTGGTGGCAATCTTTGCTACTCAACGTGCACGTTTAACCCACTGGAGAACGAAGCAGTGGTATCTGAGTTGTTGCGATGGAGCAAAGGCTCGCTCGAACTTGTCGATGTGTCAAACACGTTGCCGCTGTTGAAGCGTCGTCCCGGTATCAGTACGTGGAAGGTGCTGGACTCACAGTTACAGGAGCACTCGTCATGCGACATTCATGGTGACGAGAACAAGGAGGACAAAGTCAAGGACAAAATCCGTGCTACGATGTTCCCGCCTACGGAGGAGGAGGCAGCAAATTATCACCTCGAGCGTTGTATGCGCTGTCTGCCTCAAGATGAAAACACTGGTGGCTTCTTTGTCTGCTTGTTGAGGAAGGTGAAGCCAACGCCTGATGATAAGGAGAAGGTTGTTTTGGACGAGACCGAGAACCCAAGCAGCAAAACAGGAGTGGCAACTGTGAAGTCTGACAACGGTGACATTATTGACAAAGCAACTGTATCGAGCGATGTTGCAGTTGGTGAGGTCGATGTTGAGGTGGAGGCACAAGCACCTATAGACGATGAAGCGGGCACAGCTGTGAAGAATTTGCGGAGAAATCGCCGCGACGATCGCCGCAACAAGAAGGCCGAGGTGTACTTGGCTTTCGGCACTGAAAACTGGGCTGACGTGCGCGAATATTACGGCTTAGCTGCTGACTTTCCGGCAGCGCAGCTCATCACGCGCTCAGAGGATGCGAAGTCTGTCACGTTCGTGACGGAGAGCATTACTATGGCTTTGCTTGAGGAGATGAAGCGCAAGAAGTTGAAGGTTGTGTTTGCTGGGCTCAAGATGTTTGAGCGCAATGAGACTGTTGAGGGTGGTAAGGTCTACCGAGTGTGCCAAGCCGGTCTAGCGCACATTCTGCCATTCATGAATAAGCGCACAGCGAAAGTGTCGACAAGGGATTTCCAGATGATGCTGGATCGGTTGGGAGACTTGCTGGATTTTGATGAGTTTGAACCTACTACCCGGCAGTATTTTACAGATGCTCCGATCGGTAGTGTCGTATGCATGCTTGACCAGTCAGACCAGTCGAATACTGGGTGCGTGTCCCTGTTACTACGACTCTTTTGGCACTTTGTACACAGCTGACGCTATGTTATTGTGACCATGTAGGTTGAAGGTGATGAATCTGGTCGCGTGGCGAGGTCGTAACTCGGTAAATGTAATGGCGACTAAGGCTGATGTAGCTGCACTACTAGGAACGATGAAGGAAATGAAGATGTATAGCCCGGCTGTGCTCGAAGCTGTGTTGGAAGCCAAGAAAGTCAAGGATCAGAAGCGTGCTGTTCGTGATGAGGAAAAGCAGGAGGTACACGAAGCAGTCGCGACGACTGACGAGACTAATGCTGCGTCAGATGTTCAAAACAAGGAAGATCCAGGGCCGCGCTTGTCTTCTTAGCGAAGGACAGTTGTGGACTTCGGGACATTCGTTGCATTAGAACACCTGTGCATGTGCTCATCTTGACATGTTCCTTTCTGGAGCCACTTCTAATGAATGTGCATATGCTCTGCTTCCGCGGCCGGTTGTTTTTCTGCAAGTGTTCTCGCTTCCAAAGGCTTTCCCATGCCGGGCAGTCCATACCCACTGACACTACGAATCCTGACCAGTTGTGAAGAAGAAAGTAGCAACCGCGTCTTGGCGAAACTTGGACGAAGAGTGCATTAAGCGTACTTGCCACTGACAAGTGGACCATGCTAGTGGTCTGCTGCTTGTCATATCAAAACCACTCCACATACCGCAGCTTTTATTCATTATTCACTTCTTCGACTGATTCCTGATTGTCGATCACTTGTCGTACGTGGTCGAGAAGTGCTGCTACATATACAGGACCCTGGGTCACTCGGCGCAGAAGTTCATGGATCACGTGCTCTTATTCCTCGTCACCCAAGCTTCACTTGCCAGCCATGGGCAAAAAGGTCGACAGATGAAGAGTCAACACACAGGACAAATGTGCTGATCACTGTGCACTGTGACTAAACTGTCCGGCGTTTCAATGGCATTAAATCGATGCATCTTCGAGGATAGTCAGAAAAATGCATTACTGTCGAGCCCTCCATACGATTGCGACCTCTTCAGACAACCGCTAGTAGGAAAGTCCAGTTGCTGTACACCGTGCCACCACTGGGTATGGACTCGAGCTTATTGCATCGAATCTGGTAGGGAGAGAGCGGCAAACAATGAGGCAAAATCAAACCATCGGGTTCGCTGAAGCGTACACAACCGTCATCGACTGGTGTGCTTGCAGGCAGCCGCCGACGTGACGAATGAAACTCCTCCAAGGACATTTAGGGAGAAAATTAAGTGTAGCTGACCATTCATGCACATTTTCTTCTGGTGTCCATATCCAGCATCCCAGATGCCTGCGCCTTCGATAAGCACACAAATGTTTCGAGCCGCTTCGAAGCTCCATCTATTCTGCATAATCTGCTCGTCAGTTGGTCTTTGTAGCAGCGACGTTCGCCATTCGCCATTCCACATTCATTTCATACCGTCACGAGCTCAACGCCATCACATCCTCAACAGCACTACAATAATTTTCCATGTGATGCGACATATCGATGCCGAGCATGACCGTTACTTCTTCTGACGTGCCCCTCTCGACGATCTTTTCCTGGCCTCGCATGTCCGAAAGTAAAGTGACGGCCAAAACTGACGATAATAAATCCCGATAGAAATCACAGTGCAATTATTTCTCGTGCAAGCGGTGCATCAATGCCTTGTGCGCCTTGCTGTTGTCGCCAAACTTCATTGCACTGCTGCTGTTTAATTGAACATGTCGTCTAGAACTTGTTGCACGCGCTCGTTGGGCTCTTTCCACTCATTTCCACTCGCAGCGACACTTTTGCGTCGTTTCTGCCCACTCATCTGCAGCACCCTCAACCTCTTTTTCATACTCCACCATAGAGGTGCAGCCTCGTTCCGTATCACTTGAGCATTTGATACTCATCGTCTCCAAACGAGACAGAGTTCCACGCCCAAGACTGGCTGTCATGACCTCCGGTGAACACGAATAGCTCTTCGAGCCTATCACCCCTAAGTTGAAGTGCACACTGCACATCGGTCAATGGCGAAAAGCCCAAGTCTCGCAATGTCGTTGCAACAACTTCGTCGTCAGTTCTGAAGAGGCGGCGGTGATTAACAAGGAGCGGCAAGGGATTCTGCATGTCGGTCTAATGAATGGGCGTACATACATCCCGTGTATCAAACATCTTCGCATCGCTGTTTTCGTCGTCCTTGTCCCTGTCACTTCTGATAATTAACTCGGCCACGGACGGTTTCCGCGATTCCTGTCAATCTATGATTAGATGTTCCTTTTATGCACGATCCACTGAAGTAGCTCGATCAATCAGAGATCCGTCACTCTTTCGCGGGAACCGAACCGTTCGCAGACTCGCCCGGTCCGATGTGATGAACCGTCGAGTCAGTGGGCTGCGTCTCGTCCCTCCCTTTGTTCTCCCCCCGTTCCTCATTACGAAAAACGCCCTCCCCGAGCCAGTTCTCTAAAGAAGAAGAAGAGGACGAAAGCAACTCGTCGCCACACAAACCGATCACGTAGTTAAAAGAAAGCAGTTAGGGCGGTACTTCTCCCGTTGCGATTGCTGTGTGTCAGTCCTCCTCTCTGCCTTTTTCCACGGGCGAGTGTTTCCTTTACCAAACCGACTCGCGGTCTCCCGAGAGTTAGTCGCACCACCTTCGAGCACTTGATCGTTTGTCTGTACGCATCGCTCTCCTCGCCGATTGTCCGTCGCTGGTGAGCGCCTTTCTATTCGCTTCTGGCGCACGTTTCCGTGGTTACTTGCGTCTTGTCTCGTCTCCCGTTTGGGATTTGAACTTGACTGTTATCCACCCAATTGTCACCAGCAACAGCCACAAGGTAAAGATTCTAGTCCAATGCATCTAGGAGTAGTCTTAACACCTGTGCCAAGGCTTGCCTTGTACGGTGCCGTGTAATGGCGCCTACTCGATCGTGAGCACACGAAATGTCTCCTCCCGGCTCCATACACGCTGTCTGTAGTTGTCCTCCCTCTCTTCCTGAAGGGGCGTGATGCTGGTATTGGTTAATGTCCATACAAAGATGAGTCTTAGAGCTCGGACGGAAATTGATTGATGATCTACTGAGGTCGGGCAACGATAGCGAGACCTCTGCGTCTCGAGTTTGATATCTGTTCCAATGATGGCAGTCACTAGCGCAACCGAACTAAGGAGGCTACTAGTGTCAGAGCTGGGATGGTAGTGGAGAGAGATGGTAGTGGCGAGCGAGATGGCAGCTAATTGAACGGAACATTGAAATGACGGAGAGAACTCACTCTGTTGCATGTGTGCAAACTTGTAGACGATGAACATCGACATGGAGCAGACCAGCTTCACTAGCATGCTGGAGAGCACCCAATTCGGCGGAGCGTTGCAAGTGCCACAGCAGTCACTGATGCATCCACCGGCTTTTGGGCTCCAAGACATGCTGTTAATGGGAGGAGCACCGCAATTCATGAAGCAACAGCAGGTACAATCGCGGGTTGAAGCTTTATCGCCAGCTTCTGTGCAGCGCTCAGCGGACCAACAACCAGTGAGTGTATGCTGCGGTTGTCTATTTTCTAGGACTTCGATCTAACTCATTTGCCGTGTGCTGGTTTCCACGTGCTCTCAGGTTCCGAACGTACTTCAGAACATGATGAGTCGCAGCAAATGCTCCAAGCTGATCCCATCGAGTGTCGAAGCGTCATTGTTGTCCCTTGTGGACGGGGAACTCCGCGTGTCTTTGATTTCTAATCTCCCAGTCTTTCTGAAGATTCTGCCCCGGTGTAAGACGGAGCCGGAGCAGACACTGGCGCTTGTGGTACTTCGTGCTACTTCAACTGCAACAGATACCAAGCTATCCCGTGCCTGTGCTTGCGCTTTTGAGAAGGCTGGTGGCTTGCGTCTGGCACGGACTTGGGTCGACTCAGCTGTGACCTGGCAGCACGATGACATGCTCGTCCTCCTCTTAGAAGTGCTGCAGACCCTTCCATTGCAATTAAGTAGTATTACGGAGGCTCGAATCAATGAGCCTATCGTCAAGTTGCGCAAGAACGCTCGCGAAGAACGCGTGAAGCGCGCCGCTCAGGACCTCCTAAAGTTTTGGCGTGGCAAGTTCACAGAGAAAGAAAAGTCATCGGCGTCATCCCCGGTGGCTAAGGAAAAGGGACACGACGTCAAGCCACCCTCATCAGCGACTTCTTATGTAAAGCAATCACCGTCGACAGCAGCTAAGTCTGGTGCTAGCAGTCTATTGCTAGCAAAGCAAGCAAAGGCCTTGAAAAAGCGTACAATTAAGCGATTAGAACGGCTACCTTTTGGTGGCGGCAGCGCAGTGTCGAAGTCAAGCGACTTGATTGGAAACCTAATGCAGCGCAAGTCAGCAAAGGACGCTGCGGCTGCAGCTGAGGTGGAGAAAAAGGTGACTAATAGTACCGACGATAGTAGTAGTACCAAACCGGATGATGCGAAGAAGGAGCAACCGAGGATGTCAAGCAGTACAAGCGAGGTCACCACCAACGTTGACGACGCGTTACCTATGTCGCTCCCGACAATCCAAAGCTTCAAGGCAGCTTCATCCTGCGTTGACACGGCAAAAGAGAGCAAGTGTATTCGCTGGGCAGACGAGAGTGGCGAAGAACTCGTTCAGGTTAAACTTATTGAGTCATGGCGCGACCTTGTGCCGTACGACCCACGCCACGATGACCAGTCCTTTAAAGATGCCAAGCTTCGTGAGCATGCCAACGAGCGGCATGCGCTACATTCGCAACACCACCGAATGCCTCCTGCCGTATCAGCTTCTCAGTTGCGTGAATGGACCACACCAGCGTTCATGCGACTACCGGAAGCTGTGGCAGCACGTGTGGAGAGCAAGGCTGTCACTGACGAGATGCACGTCCAAGACAGTCGTCGTCGCCATGTGGACGAGTATGAAGTGTTGATGGGCGAGATGCCTATTCCAAGCCCAAAGGAGTGGGAACGTGGCAACGAGCCTCAACGTGGACCGCCTTTGGAGATACCGTTAAGTGACGTGGTCGAGAGTGAGCCTACCAGCCAACCTCCATCAGGGTCTGCGCTCACGATGGCTCCGGTATCCTCGTCCTCATTACCCAACTTTTATCAAGAACCATATCCATCCGGAGGTTACAGCCAGGCACCGCCGAGTTATGACCACTGTGGCGTAAGCGATCGTAGTGAGTATAATGGCCAAGACCCTGAGGCGGACCGCAAGCTGCGAGAAGCTTTGGGTCCACTGCAAGGGAATACGATTTCGCTTCTGCTGGACAATCCCGACGTGGTGCCGCAGGTATACGAAGAGGCGCAGCGCAATGGCAACCGTATTCCAGATGTTCGTGTATTTGAAATTGTGGATCAGTATCGTCGCGCACGCTATCAAGCGCCGCCTAATGTTGGTGGTCCGCCCTCCTCGTTCAGTCCTTACGGTGGTCAACAGCAGCAGCAGCAGCACTATGGTAACATGGGTCCTGGTGCTGGCTATGGCCATCCGTATCAGCAGCCATACCTGCCGCCTGGAGGGTCCTTCATGCCTGGAAAGCGGAAAGCGATTGCCATGGGCGTTCCTCAGAATGGAGGGATGCTAGATGCGTCGTCCCTGAAACGGCCAGCAAAGAAGAACCGTGGCACGCTTCCGTGCAGGTATTTTGCCTCGCCGACAGGTTGTAAGCATGGCGGCAACTGCCATTATGCGCATGTGCAGTCGGTGCCGTCTAACGGCCCGGAGTACATGTATAATAACCGCGGTCCCATGATGGGAGGCAGAGGTGGCGGCCATATGGAGCAGCGATACGGCCCTGCTGGCATACCGCTAGGAGCCCCCGGCCATCACATGCGAGGAGGACGGTAGTGTCGAGTCAAATATGGGAATACAACGACACGATGAACAACGTCACGCCATTTGTAGTCTCGACGTAGTCTCAATTTAATGCAAGTTTATTCGGTTTATGTGGACTCGGTGCTTTCAAAGTGGACTCGGTGCTTTCAAAGTGGACTAAACATGGGCAGCCATGCATAGCCCCTGCAGGTCGAAATAGATGCACTGAAAAGAACGTCTCAGTAGTCAAATCAAGCTTTCGTCAAGTGGAGCCATTGTATTGTCTTTTGTCCTAATTGTTTGTTATTCGAACCCGTTCACTACCAGGACGTTTAGCGTCAAGCTATGGCACAGGGAACAACATGTCTTGCAGAAAAACAGCGTGCACCGAGACCGTTCACTGTACACATGGGAGCAGAGCCTGGTCGCTAGCGTCTTGCTGCAGCTTACGCGTTGATCGACGAGACCTTGCGGCTGCTGCGACGCTTCGCGACCTCGCTGGCACGACGGTCCTTCTGCTCCTTCACGCGCTGCAGTGCCATAAGGCGAAAAAGGAGCAGGACATACGCCATCACACACACCAAAAGTCAGTCTCGTATCAGATGACACAAAGATACACATACACACAAACACACACGATAAACAATATCGAACGGGACGCACCTGAGCGTGGAGACGGTTGTACTCCGCGGCCTCACGCTGCACCTTCTCGCGCTGCTGCACCTTCTTGAGCGCAATCTGGCGCTTATGGTGGAGCGTACGCGGAGTCACAAGACGCTGGATCTTGGGTGCCTTGTCGTTCTTCTTGCCCGTCTTGGACTCGAATTTGCGACGGATCACGTACTTGCGCACGTCGTCTTCCTTGGTCAAGTTGAACAGCTTGCGAATGTTCGACGCACGCTTAGGACCGAGACGACGCGGGATCTGCACGTCAGTCAGACCTGGCACGTCCGCCTCACCGGCCTTGATGACCACCAGGTTCAGCACCGAAAGGTCGGGGCCAACAATGCAGCCACGCACTGACTTGCGCTTGCGCTCACCCTTGCGACGGGGACGGTAGCACGACTTGCCCTTGGAAAGCAGCAGACGGGCACGGCCATTAGACAGCACACCCTGCTTCATGGGAAACCCCTGCTTGTCGTTACCACCCGAGACACGGAAGATAAAGCCCTTGAACTCCTCGCCCAGCACGGCGCCATCAATCTCCTGCGAGATACGCTTGTCGTAGAACGCGCGGAGCTTGTGCTCGTCGTCGACTTCGAGCACCTTTTGAGCACCCGTGAGAGGGTTGGCAATGTTAAGCTTCATCGTGAAGGAATCTAGTATGAAAGTTTCAGCATATCGTTAGTCTCCACACGTTCGTAGCTGCTAGTATGCGCATCAGACACAGACGCCATCGTACCTCACAAGACAATAAGAAAGACAATGGTAAAAGAGCGTGCGCCACCAATGCACAAGTACGGGCGTTCACTACGAGCCAACCAAGTGGCGGTCCGAAAATGATGGTCGTGCTATGCTACAACGCCGAATTTGCCGCATCTTGGCAAATGTAGGACACTGCGATCGTGCTCTTAAGTTCGGTTGTGAATAAAACGCTTTTTTCACCACTGCAATCGATGGGCAACCAAGTGAGCTCCCCGGCTGGTGATGCAGCTGCTACTCAGCATGGCGGCTGTCCGGTGCAGCGTGAAGCTGCCAAAGCGGCGACTGCAGCATGCCCCGTAGAGAATGATGCGGAGAAGAAGGGGGGATGTCCCGTGCAGCACGACAAGGGGCCGTCGATGGCCGACGTCATGGCTAGTGGCTGCCCGGTTGGAAGCGAAAAGAAGGAGGACCACGAGGTTTACAATGTGTATGGTCAACGCATTGACCCGAGCAATATGATACCGCACAATCCAAATCAAGAACCCAACGAGGAGCAGCGCTATCCACTACCTCAGGATCGCGTGCAGTCCACTATTCCAAAGGGTGGCGCAGAAGGCACGTGGCTCTATCCATCCGAGCAAATGTTTTATAACGCACTGAAGCGAAAGGAAAAGGGAGATGATGTGCATGAAGGCAACGTACGAGCCATTGTGTCCATCCACAACAACATGAACGAGCGTGCTTGGGCTCAGGTGGAACACTATGAGAAGGTGTGCCACCCCGACCTTGATGGCTCCAAGCTGCTCAAGTTCTGCGGTCGCCCGGACACGCTCACGCCTATTGCGTGGGTCAAGTGCATGCTGGGATTTGGAACGCCGTTTGACCGGCATGACTGGACTGTGCTACGTAGTGACGACACACGGGTGCGTTATGTGATCGATTACTACTTCGATGACGACAAATCAGCACATGATGAAGTTCCTGAGCTGCACTCTGCGGACAAGGTCAAGAGTATCTCGATGTATGCCCGTCCTGCTGTGGACTCGGTGGGTGCACTGGCTGACAGAATCAAGTATCCTGTTGCAAGCTTTTTGAACGGCCTCAAGGGCCCTGATATCTCTGCTCGCTCTGCACTGGTGGAGCGTGCTCAAGAGAAAAAGCAAGTTTCGGATGCGCTGTCTGTGAAAGAGGTGGAGCAGACATTTGCTAAGGTTAAGGACGCGTGCAAAGGCTGTATGCAAGAGGTCAGGACTTGCAGCAGCGAAGTGCAATGCTCACAAGCGGCTATGGCTCTCCAACTCTGCTTGGGCCGCATTATCTGCCCGGCAGAGGCAGCAGCTTTCACCAAGGCACTTGATGGTGGTGACGAGGTAGCAGTCGAGGCAGCATTCGGCGCAATGACCAATGGCTTGGAGCAGTTTCAGGAGCGCGGAGCTGGTGCTATGCACGAGCAAGCTGTGCGCGAGTCGCTTGCCAAGAAGTAAACGTAGCGCGAAGAATCGTGGGATCAATGCGACGCTACGTAATAAAGCAGCCCCAGGCAATTGTATGCTACTTGGCATTAATGGACCCGTCTCAAGCCTTTGACGGATCGATTCGTTCCCGCATAGTCATTCGACTGCTTCGTATCTGCAGTCATGAGGTGCAAAAGCTGTTTAGTTCAGTCAGTTATCAAACTTCAACGCAGAACATTTGCAGCGTGTCCGCATGTAATCGTAATACACGTGCGTACTGTACAGTCGATTCCCTCCGTTCGTTATCGCGTACAATAGCATTGGTATCATCCACAATCAGAAATGTCACACCGTCATGTAAGTCACGCTACCCACAGAAATACGACGTCGTTCAACGGATACAATGTTCAATATTCGCTGTCTCACGAAGCTATAAATCTATTCGCTGTTCGTTCCTTTGCCTGAGCATCAACATTCGTCTTTTGCGCCAATAAAGTATAGAAAACATGTTGGACGAGTTGGCTCGCTTGATATGCTTCGTGTTTAAGACCTCGATCGCATAGATGATCCCATTGTCGCTTCTCGAGTTTATCCTACAGTGCTTCTGCCATCCGCTGTAGGTGGAGCTGTGGCAAAGTATAGGCTGAAAGCTACAAACGCTACCACTCGAGATCGTCGCGTTTCTACCCGTCCGGATGCACACCGTGGCAAGTTGAACTTGGCATCGCCCAAAATAGACCAGTGACCAGCACTCTTTGACACATAAGTGACACACCATTTGTAATCACGACACGAGCTGCTTCAAAAGCGACGTTGACAAGCTCAGAGCGACGGCGGATGGTGTCGTCTACCAAGTCGCTCGACGATGAGGTAGCGGCACGACTGGAACTGCTGCGCGACCCGAAGCGCATGACGGCACTGCTTATGCGTGTCTTCTCCTCGTCCATGCTGCGCGATGGTTTGGATGAAAACGCTGCGAGACGCGCGAGTACAGAGCGCGAGGAAGAAGAGGACAACGAGGTGACTGAGGAGACGCGAGAAGAGGCATTACGAGAGAGAAAGAGACGGTCGAGTGCTGGCACAGCGTCGGAAAACGCGCGTCTTCGCGTGGTGATTGACCCCGTTACTAAAGACGTCGACAGTGATGGCGACGATGATGACGACGCAGAAGAAGAGGAAGAAGAAGAAGACGATGAAGACAACACGAGCAAGCCTCTGGACGAAGAGGAGCTGGAGGTTGTGGTAACGACGTTACAGGCTGCTACGCGCATAGCTGAAGATCTGCGGCTCAGAAGACTGCTGAAAGCGAGACAGGAGATGGATCAGCCGCAACAGGACGACACTTTTTGTAACGATCGTTCTATTTCTTGCTCGACCGGGAAGACCCTGCCGCGATTATCACGGTCGGAAAGTCGTTCTTGCACCGCAGGAGTGCCCGGTCGACCTATGCCACGTGCGCGCGTACAATGCAACTCGGCTTGCACCGGATGTGGAAAATCATTTTATCCGTTTCATCGCAGTAAAAACTGCGCTGCGTGTGGATTTGCATTCTGTCCAAAGTGCTCGTCAAAGAACGTGGTGTTGCCATCTTGTTTCGAGTATCGTGATGAGTCCGTGCGCGCGTGTGATCTCTGCGCGCGCTGGCTGCAGACAGCAATGGACCACTACTTTGACGTGATGGAGATGACTAGCAGCTACGATCAAGGTAGTACAGTTCTCGATGGCAGTGGTCTAGACGAGGGTGCTTTTGAGGAAAATTTGCGTGCAGCGTCTGACTTCAGCAGTAGCTCAGTGCCAGCGTCGAGCTTACGAGACGGAGCATTTTCGTTGCTGACGCGTCCTCGATCGTCTATTTCTTCCCCCAAAGTCAGTGTTACCGATTGTAGTGACGACGTGACGAACGAGATTCGTGACAGCGATGAAATTGAAGTTGCTTCCAGTGCTACGATGTCAAGGCGACGTCATCGGCAAGTGGCAATGACTTCTGCTACCACCCCATCGATGAATAAAAACAAGCCTTGGTTTAGTGGTCACTTACGCGCGATCCACGTAAACGATCGATTGCCTAGAAAAAAGAAAGCAAGAGGGGACAGTGAAGGCGATGCTGAAGGCAACAGATTAGACCGAAGATCTGCACGAAAGGGTCGCACAAGTAGTAGCGGTTCAGCTCCTATGAAGAGAAGGCATACGAACGAAGAAATTGACGACGAATCCGGTGTGCAGCACGATGAGGATGCGAAAAGGAATTGGTCGAACACTGAAAGTGCAAAAACAAGTGGTGAGCCGATTTTAAATGTCTTGCCGGTACAAAACGCTAACAGTCTTGAAAGCGATGTTTTGGCACGGCCTGGAAGGAAAGCACGGAGATCCAAGTTTTTACGGTCAGCTAGCTTTGATTTGACCAATCTGCTCACGACCTTGTCTCCTGACTCGTCGTCGAGTCCTCTAGAAATGAAGCACTGCCATCCATCTGGGCCGGGCGAAATTGGGGTCGATACTGTCGAAGGTAACAGCGGTAGTGCCAACAGTGCGCGATCAAAAAAAGCTTTTGATGACAGCGACATCGTGGATGCGCGTGCCCAGCTTGACTCACCGGAAGTGAAGATGAAAAGTGAGGCGCAGCTTGCAGCAGCAGTACTGCGCTTTGCTGTTTACGAAATGGGTGGAAAAGAAGGGACGGGACTACGCCGAACATTTGGATTTTCTAAAGCAAACCCTGTGCTGGATCGGTACACTTTGGAGCTTGATTGTCGCCAACGGGTCGTTCAAGTGAAATCTGTGTTCATGCATCGTTTTTGGTCGTTTCATTGTGATTCTGTCCGATCGTTCGTGTTTGGTTCATCTGAAGGAATGGCCCGCCTCATCACATCTAATTCTGGTCAAGGAAGCCAGTCTCTCGAGCTGAAATTCGCGAACGATGACGAAAGAGAGCAATTCAAGCAAGCGATTGATAGCTGTCGACCTGCCAACCTCTATCGTATGCGTGGACTTGCCTCTCAAGCTGCAATGTCAATCTCTGTACAGACTGAGCTTTCAACGTCCTCTGTTCCGGAAACCTTTCGTTTGCCCATGCTCCAGGAAACAAACACATTTTTTTCAAGAGACTCATCAACATCCGTTGAGTCGGAGTTAGCACTTATTCATGATACTGGCGGTAGCAATGGAATTGATCGTTCAATTCCGCAGTCGATATGTGTTCCACTGTTGCCAGGGGAAGTAGTGGTGAAGGACTCGGAGCTTCAAGCGACTTTGCTTATTGGACCTGTTAGTGATACGTGTGAACCTACCCTAGTTTGGGGACGTCTGCGCGGTAAAGTAGCTGTGACGAATTACCGCGTGATTTTTCTACCATTTGATCGTGTGGACGTCCAGCCGCGACGTGGAGGACAAGGTGGTATTGCGTACATTCCGTTGTTCGCAATTACCCATGTCCAGCTCCTTTATCCTGGTGGTCGTCGAACGAAATCTGGTCGCATAAATTACGTGGGGACAGCAGGCTCTGCATCCATCATTCTGATTAGTTGCAAGGACATCCGCGTGATGCGATTCCAGTTGGACACTGTCTCCTCCGGTTCAGAGGACTATGCGCTCAAACTGCATATGACGATATCAAAACTAGCGGATGCTTCTCAGAGGTATTCGGTTGTTGATCGGTGCAGTCCTACAAGCACGGCTTCTCTTGTGTCCCTTGCGCTACCAAGTTTTATAGATGATGCTGGTCAAGGATCAGATAGAGGTCCTGATGGTGAAGAAGCAGTGCTTCAAATGAACAAGGAGTCCACCTTGTATTCAACGCCTGGTGGTTCGCGAAACCCAGCCTATGCTGCGTCACCTGTGCTGCGTCCTGGTCGAATTTTGACGCCTCCTCGAGAAGTTAGCGGCTCGTTTGCCTTTACCTATTCCATTGGGGATATTCGTATGGATCAGGATGGATGGAGTGTGTTTGTTGACGAGCGAGAGTTCAAGCGACAAATTGGTGGAGACCCTGCCGTGTCTCCATTTTTGAAGGTACACCTCTCGATATTATGTATGGCTGATTGTGCACATATGAACTAACTGGAATTGGTCTTCAATGATTTCACTTTTCTTCTTAGTACTACAAAAACGACAGGGGCAATATTTGCAAGTCGTATCCGTCGAAATTGCTTCTACCCGCTTCTATGAATTCGACAACATTGGCTAAGGTTGCTGATTTTCGTGCGAAGAACCGCTTGCCTGTGATCACGTACTACCATCGCCGAAACAAGTGCGTGTTGACCCGGTCTAGCCAGCCCCTCCTGGGCAACTTACTATCCGGTACTTCGAATGTGTCTGATCAGCTGCTATTGGGAGTTTACCGTCGACTACCGGACATTATTGAAAACCAATCGCAGTCATCAGTATCATCTCGACCGATTTACATATTCGACGCCCGGAAGCCGAAGGCCTCGACAGGGAATCGACTCATGGGCAAAGGGGGTGTAGAGACTCCTCAAGATTATCCTGGTGCTGTCATCCACCATCTCAACATTGCCAACATGTACAGGATGCAGTCATCACTTATGGGGCTGATGAAGCTATTCCTTCCTGGCGGCACAGGAGATACCGATCGCACGTGGCTGTCCAGCGTGGAGTCTACAAGGTGGCTGGATCACGTGCGGTTGGTTTTGGATGGCGCATTGAAGATTGCGCGTGTGTTGGAACTAGAAGGAGCATCTGCGCTTGTGCATTGCAGTGACGGTTGGGATCGGACATCCCAGTTATGTGCTCTGGCACAGTTAATGATTGATCCTTATTACCGGACTATTCGAGGAATCATGTGCCTGATTGAGAAGGACTGGTGCGCGTTTGGTCATAAATTCTGCGAACGAACTGGAGGAGACCGTAATCGCGACCCACAGCGGAACAAATCCTCGCCCATTATGTTTCAGTTCATCGATGCCGTGTGGCAGATGCAACGTCAATTTCCGCTTTCATTTGAGTTTAACGAGCACTTTCTGATCCACTTGGCGAATGCGATGACTTCTGGGCTTTATGGAACATTCCTGTACGACACGCGACTTCAGCGAGATGTGAACGAGGTGAAGAACAATACAGTATCAGTTTGGACACCGGTGCTGATGAAACCGTCCCTGTACTCGAATAGCAATTACGAGATGTATGACGGACCTATCTGGCCTTGGGTCAGCTGCAAAACGATTCAGCTTTGGGAGAACTACTTTTTCCAGTGGCATCCAAAGTATTACAGGTGCCGGTGGGCATGCAGCTTGGTTCACCACGGCCCATCTAGATCGGATTGCGACGCAACAAGTAGGGCCGGAATTTGTGGCAACAGTGAAGAGATCGTTCAGCAGCACGATACTCTGCTTCGTGAAACCCCTGATGTTCACGATCCACCAGCTCTGGATCCATTGGCAACGCCTACGAATTCCGCTGTGACCGAAGATGGCAATGATCACGGTGGTTCCTCTTCTGAAGAAGGAAGTATGGACTATTTAAAAAGGGATCGAACTGCCAGTGAAACGTATACGCAGAAGGCATCAAAGCGAAATCTGTTTGGCCTCGGTGGATTAGGTCGTCAACGGGCTCAGAGCGAAGAGAATGGCAGTCAAGCAATATGCTAGAGCAAGTCGGCAGTAGGAGCTGGCATGCCCCGTAAGACTCCATGGGTGATCTCGTACATCGCATGGTGCGCTTTTTATGATGTGTATCATTTGTATAATCATGCTGTCTTCATGACCCGTGGACAAGTGGTCATTTGCTGTACTGTAGTCTTGTCAACAAGGGCGGGCAAACGAAAATTGGGCTCCTGCCGTCGTAGACCGTTTTGTCCACAAACGTACGACACCACACCACACCGCCAACGGCAACCTGTATACTTGGGTCCCTCAGCTGCCTGACGAACGCGTATTGAATACATGATCGCTCGTCCGCACTGCAAAAGTCCCTCGAGAACCAAAACGGTCGCTCGTTCTCGGTTTCCTTGGCGAGCTGAATAAGATGGGGCTGGGGTGGGTAATGAGCCGAGTAATCCTTTCGAAGCATCTTCACCACGCGCGACGCGTTGTCACATACCAAAGTGCTGTAAGACGCACTCGAGTTGATTGGTACTTTCTCGATTTCAAGTCACGTATGCGGCACTGATGATGACAAGTCAATGGTTGGTTTCCCGCAAAACGATTGCGCATCCTAACAACACATCTAGCACCTTTGGTAACGAGCTCGCAGCGATCGACCCGAGTGCCATACGCAAAGTCGTCTTGGTGTCGTTTCTTGAAATGCTTATTATATGTCGTTCGTAACAAAAGCCATCACGCACTTGTGACACAAGGAACAAAAGCGTCCTGGTACATATGCTGTCAGCATGTTTGTGCTCCACGATACCTTCGATCTCTTCACCCACGACTAGTTCGAAAGTGATGATTTGATCGGTGCAGTTGGTGATTATTTTCGGGAATGTAAACCAGTGTAACAGCTGGTGATATATGCAGGGCTCCAGCCCGGACGTTTTTTGGTCGACCCAGTGTTTAACCTGACTATTCCAGGTCCCGGGTCGGGGTCTGACCCGGACCAATGACCCATTGGTCCTTTAAATTATTGGAGAATAAAAAAAATACCCCGTTCAACCACGAAAATAAAAGGCTTTAGCTGATTAAAAAAATAATGTCCCACATAATCAGAAATAAAAATAATGCTTCAGACAATTCAAAAGTAAAAAAAGTGCCCCATCTAATTACAAATATAAATATACCCCACGTCCTTGTATACTCACAATATTCAAATCTAGTATTTTATTGTTTAAAAATGAGATTGTAAATAACGTCTCGAAACGGTGACATTTTGAATCCTACCGATCAGAAGGCGTAAATTGAGTAAAATACGGTAATATATAAGGGTGGTGAGTGGGTAGCGAAAACCTGGTGGGTGGTTAACATTTCCATTTTACGTGGAATTGATATAATCACACCCATTCTCCTTAAATTCACACCCTTCCTGTTGAAACCCACATTTTACATCCTAGTATCAATTCTTCTTTTGGCTATGTAGGATAGGAAAAGTAAAATCTGGAGCTCGTCCTTTGATATAAGTCATCCAGTTCAGAGAAATGAATCAATGTTGCTGTTGTTATACAACAGCAGCAGTATGATGCGGTTACTGCACGTATTAACCCAGTACAGTATACTCAAGCAACGCGATCAGCATTTTCCTCTGAGCGCCCAGCAGTTGCTAGTGTGATCATAATTACCTCTGATCAATTTGTAGCCATTGACAAGCGTGCGCCACAATGTTAACCAAGCTAAAGAGTGAATTTGTACATACCGATGAGAGGGGACAGACTATACCGCATTTAGTACGTGCAAGCTGCACCTAGCCCCGTACACAAGTACGATCTACAAAGCTCGGCATTCACCTTGCGCACAGTGTAACGGAGTATCCCGTTACACGATATGGACACCAAACGGTGTCAATAGGAATGTTGTCTAGCATGATAACATTCTACCAATATTATCCGAGATGGATAATATCGAAGTAATATTATCCCCCTTTGGATAATCTTCATGCGCTGCCCCAAGATTGGTTGATATAAGACATGTCAACCATAAATTGCCACCAATCGCTGCTAGACGCGCGCAATGAGTGGTGAGCAGGTTGTCGTCATACGACAAGGTAGATTAATACAGTTAGATAAAGAGTAAAGCTATCTTGATAGCTTAACAATATTAAATACAGTTCTCTTTTTACCTTTACTCAAACGAGTTGTTTGTTGAGGTTAGCTTTTTTTGCACGTGATAGCTTAGCTATATTAAATACAGTTCTCTTTTTACCTTTACTCAAACGAGTTGTTCAAGTAGATTAGCTTCCTCTGCACGTACTTGTGTACATGTAGTTTCGCGGCACACAAACAAAGGGTGCCCCATTACACATAGTCGCACTTCGTAGTCCGTCTAACGAGTACTTAGTGTCCGTCCAACATGAACATGTTGGACATAGAAGACGACAGCTTTCACGTCACACGTGAAGTCTACTCCCATCTGAGTGACTCAGAATGGGAGGTACTCGGCCGCATGAGTGTGCTCATGGGCGAACCCGCCATCAGTGGTATGTCGGAGTCTCTAAGCAGAGAACAGCAACATGCTGCTATCAACAAGTTACTAAAAGGGGAACTTGCCGTCAAAGTGCGGAAGATAGCCTTGCTACAACAGCAAGGCTCTCATCAGTCGATGGGCGGGCCGACGCACATGCGTCGACCCGAAACCTTGAAGATTGATATCTCAAGGTAAAAGGGAACCGATGAATATTACCTTTTGAGATGGCTCGTCGAGTTAGACGACGCCATCAGGGCCCATCACATCGAGGGTGACAAGATGCAAGTCACCTTCGCCCTGTCTAATTTGACGGGACGAGCAAACACTTGGGCCTTAGGGCTCAAGCTTCACGACCCAAACGTGTTTGAGTCGTTGGAGATCTTGAAGTCTCGGCTTAAAGAGACGTTTGAGCCGCGGAGAGCCAAGTTCAGATCACGCTCTGCACTCTTGAGGCTAAAGCAAGGTAACCGTGACGTGCACGCTTACGCACAGCACCTGCGCTACCTTGCGAGTAGCGTTACGGAAAACCCTGTTGATGAGCACACGCTCATCAACATGTTCATCTACGGCCTTGTAGATGGGCCGGTGAAGACCTACATGTTCCGAGAAGACTTCACACGCTGAAAAGGCGATAGCGTATGCGGAACAAGAAGACTTCAGCCTGAGACATTCTCAGGCTAACTCGTTAAACTATCGTCCGACGAGATGACAGGAAACAGGAGGTCCCGAGCCAATGGACCTCTGTTACATCGAGAGCGAGAACTCTCGCTCTCTGAGTCACAAGCGAACGGCAAGATGCCATCGCTTTCAGAAGATTGGACACTACGCTCATGAGTGTAGTGTCCCGAGCACCGCAACACATCCAAAGACAGGACGTGATGACCACCGTTGGCCAAGGAAAGGTCCGAGGCGTGGGTCCGACCATGTCGCTAAGCCGCGACAACAAGTCGGACCGTCAAAAAACGGACAACAACGGGCTGTGAGTTACTGCCCCTAGTGATGAGGAGTCCCTCATCATTTGAAGATAGAAGTGACAAGTGGAATGTCACTTCGCGCCCTAGTTGAATGTGGGGCGTCAAACAGGTTTATTCGACGCCAGTCACTAAAAGGTAGCAGGCTCAACTATGTTGAGCGAGAGTTCCCTCCAACGAGGATGACGATGTGCCTTGCTACAGGCGCATCCGTAACAGTGAACAAACAGGTACTGGAAATCCACTACACGCTAGAAGGAAAGCAGTACGCTTATGAATTCGTCGTACTAGATATTTGGATGAAAAATTTGACGTCATCCTTGGTCTGTCATGGCTTAGCAGATACCAGCCATGGGTTAGCTGGCAGCATCGATCCGTGAAGATGCCTGCCGTTTGTTCATCGGATGGCCATCTGATGAACGTCTTGGACCGTCCACAAGCGTGTGGATGTACTACGAGTGAGTGCGATGGCCTCACTTGTGGTACGGTCGTTAGTACGGCTGCACAAGATCACAGTGCAGGAGGCCACTACACTGTGGAACCAGCTTCCGGCACCTGTGTAGAGACACAGGCTGCGCCGAAGGTTCACCACTCGAAGAGATCGAGTGGACTGGAACACGGATGCACACCAAGAAGGGTGCATCCGAGAAGAGAGATTAGTGTCGTTCAGGATGAACAACACGTTGAAGCGAGATCGACTATCAGAGAGTCGGTCGTAGAGAAAGCCCGATCGACATAAAGAGAGTCGATTGAAGAGGACGTGACTGTGGTAGTATACCCACAGTCAGTACACGTATCGGAAGAAAGGTCCAGCGTTCCCGAGAGTGATAACTACCAAGAGAGTTGTGTTGAGGGTGTAAATCTCCAACCGCCTGCGGATGTGTTTTCCCAGGAAATCACCGAGACAGTGAATGTATTAGTGAATGACGGATCAAGTGTAGGCGCTTATACACTTGATCTGGTGACGCCCCCGAAGTCATCGTCGGAGGTGGTCAATTTTCCAGCGCTAGAATCTAAAAGATTCTTGTGAGATCTGCGTAGTGACAAGATCAAGCATATCTGCGTACTCGTCACAGAGGATGAGTACGTCGCCGATATTCGGTCGGCACAAGTGTTTGCTGAGAACTATCGGGTTCTCAGTAGCTCATCGATGGATGAGAGTGTCCTCGATGAGAAGACCCGGATTGAGCGATACATGGCTCAATCTTGGGAGTCTTTGAAGACAAATCCTTTGTATCAGTATTTGGTCAAATTCAGGGATGTTTTCCCGGAATCCGTGCCATGCGAGCTGCCCAAGGACAAACGCACTCGGCATGAGATCGAACTGAAACCTGGTTCGAAATTCTGTCATGAAGCAATGGACACTGCCTCGTGAACCTGTCACAGCGGTCGACAAATTATTTGCCCATCGTTTAGCGGCTAGTCATGTGAGGGAATCAACATCCCCACACAGCTTTCCGACCTTCTGTGTGCGAAAGGCCACAGGAGGGTGGCGGATAGTGCACGCGTTCAATAAATTGAACGCTGCAACGGTACCGAATCAAACGCCGATCCCAAGAAAGGACGTCATCATAGATGGTATGGCAAAGAGCACCATCTTTTCGCCCATGGATTTGATGAAGGGATTCTATCAGATCCTAATGCGTTAACGGGATATCCCGAACACAGCATTGAGCACCCTCAGTGGTATGCTCTGGGAGTGGCTGGTGATGCCACAGGGGATAAGTAACGCAACTCGGTGCGAAATCGCGCACCAAACGCAACAGGTTCGTAACACATCTGTTAATTAACGCAATGTTTAACAGATGTTTAACAGATGTGTTACAAACCTGTTGCGATCGGTGCGCGACTTCGCACCGAGTTACTTCGACGATGTCTTCGTCCATAGCCGGGCTATGGATGGAAAGACGGACGTGGAGGTTCATAGAATCCACGTCCGGCAGGTTCTTACTCTAATGCGAGAGCATAAGTTGTTCGCGAACCTCAAGAAGTGCATATTCGCAGCGAACGAAATACCACTTCTTGGCTGCATCGTGGATAAAAACGGTGTACGCCCTGATCCGAAAACGATCGAGGCGACTAGCGACTGGCCTGTGTCAGTCGACGTCAAGGGACTTCGAAAGTTCCTTGGCTTGGTGGCGTACTTGCACAAATACTCGCGCAACTGTGCCGAGATGACTGTACATCTCTCTCGTTTATTAAATAAAACGAGAGGTGTTCATGGAGCGCTAAGTGTCAGCACTCTTGTGAAGGCATCACGAAAAGCTTGGTGCAATCGCCTGTGTTGGCGATTGCAGATCAGGATAGGCCATTTCATGTGGTCTGTGACGCCAGCGATTTTGCAATCGGCTGCGCGTTAATGCAGTACGACTCAGTCGGCGTTGAGCGCGTCGTCTGTTATCAATCGCGTCAGCTGCAAGCAGCTGAGCAAAATTATCCGGTGCATGACAAGGAACTGTTTGCCATGAAATATGCACTGGATAAGTTTCGGGTGTATCTATTAGGAGATAGGCCCTTCATCGTTTATACCTACCATGCGTCGTTACGCACGGCCGTAAACAGTCCACACCTCTTGCAACGAATGACGAAGTGGCTGTCTTTCTCCGCGGAGCACAACTTCTTCGTCGAGTATAAACCAGGAAGACTTAATGTCGTCGCTGATGCCCTTTCGCGTCGGTCCAATTTTGAGCCGACTGCTCAAACCAACAGTATGTGTGATCCCACTGAAGCGACACTAACAATGAGTGTCCCGTCGTCGAATCTGCTAGACGACTTGCGGAAGGCGTACACAGAAGACGAGTATCTTCTGCGATTGGTGGATTACGTGTCGAATCCATGCAGTCAAGATTTAAAAAACTTGACGACTCAATACCGCTCTTCAACCGAACGATATTCGGTTCGTGATAGACTGCTGTACTATACAGCAGTCAACGGCGAAACACCTCGTGTCGTCGTTCCGGCTCATAATGATTTGCGATTGCGCATCATGTATGAGTGTCACGATGCCCCGACAAGTGGAAATCGCGGTAGAGAAAAGAATTACCTCATGGTGAGTCGTGACTTCTACTGGCCCCGCCAGTTTGAGTTTGTGCGGAAATACAATCGCGCTTGTGTGGTGAGTGAGATTCGCTCATTTACGTAGCGATTCTGACTACCCACTTGTGCCCGGACGACCGACTGACGGAGGGGGTACTCCGGACCGTGTGTCTTGTCTTGCTCCTTTCTACCTTGTGTACCCGTCGGCGGGCGTTTGCACTCTTCTAGGTGTCTTGAAGTCGATGTCTTGTCTTGACCGAGTTGAGGATAGGTGGGGTGTGGTCGCGTGGTAATTCTCCACACGACCAACGGTTACTGGTGGCACTCTCCTAGAGTTGTCTGACCTTCCTTGAGGTCGCCTCGCCCAAATGTGGATACTTGATCCCCCTTGTTCTTCTGACCACTTGAGCCGTCTGAAGACCTTGCCTTGTATGCTTGCCGCGTCAGATCGCGGGCTAACTTGAATGAGTATACTGTCCCTAGCCAAGCAATCTAGGGGCGAACCTTTAGCAAACACGCAGACAGTAAACCTTGTACATCGGGTGGCCACTAGTATTCCAGCCCGGAGGAATGCTGACGCGTGTCTTTTGTAGGAAAATCAATACTGTTCGTTATTAACCTGTTAGGGGCTAGAACTACGTTTACACTCCTCTTTATCTCAGTTTTATGTTACGTTGTTCGCCTGCCACCACCCATTCCCTGTGCTTGAAATAAACCACCTTAACTGCTAGCATGACCGCTGGTCACCCATCTTGACCGTGACCACTGATCACCCATCGTGACCATGACCACTGGTCACCCATCTTGACCGTGACCACTGGTCACCCATCGTGACCATGACCACTGGCCACCCATCTTGACCATGACCACTGGTCACCCATCTTGACCATGACTACTGGTCGCCCATAGTGACCATGACCGGTCAGTCAATTGTCGTGACCCTAACCGGTGGTCATAATCTGTGACCGCCACTGATGACTTGCAAACCGTCCAGCTTATCGTTGGGGATTTCTGTAGCGGTCAGTCCCAAGACCGTCATGACCGGTCCCACATGCACTTACGAGGTGATCAAGGCGATCGGTCAGGATTTCCTTTGACCACTTCGCCACAGTCGTCCCCTGCTCTGTTAGTCGGCAGCCGGTGCCGATCTGGCTGAGCGCTTTTTTCTGCCTTCCCCTGATCATTGCTGAAAATGTCACCTCCATCTCACCCGGCCGTTGAACAACCCCTGCCTTCGAATTTGACGTCTCCTTAGCTGATTCCTCTGCTCGGCCACTCCTGCTACTGATGACGAAAATCACACTGGCCTTGAACTAGACGCGACCGAGCATGACCAAGCCAGCCTCACTCCGGCTGACCACCTCGCCGACCCTTTTGGCTTTTCGGTCGGATGTGATGACGCCCCGGCGGACGATGCTTCTTCTGCCGATGATGATCCTGCCGATGATGACGTGGGTAGAGACCCAGTGCATAACTAGGACACGGCCGACCCTGACAGGGCCGGACCCGCTCCAGCTGACCACCTTGCCGACCCTGTTGGCGTTTTGGTCGGATCTGATGACGCTTCGGCGGACGATGCCTCTTCTGCTGACTCTGACGTGGATTGTGACCAAGTGCATGACGTGGACACGACCGAGGTTGACTAGTTATTTAAGGAGTGTGAAGACTTGAGCGGTAGTGGAAATTTAGCAGCGTGTTGCTCCACTGCGGATTGGTTTCGATGCGCTTGCTCTCAGCTTTGCACAACGTGGTCGGGAGCTTGACCAATTGAAAACGGAGCGCGCTATAAGCTACCAAGAGCTTCAATGTTTGCGCTCGTATCATGCTGCTCATGTCGAGGAACTAGCACTGTTGCGAGCTGAACGGGATCTGCTTTCTCGCGACCGCCAGGCCCAGCTCGACCATCTGGTCAACTTCGTTATGGGGCTTCTGCCGTCGGTGGGGCTCGCCTATGATAAGCGGCGGCGAGAGCAGTCAGCGGCCGATCCTGTCGTGCTCAGCTGATTATTGATGTCCTGGGTCTCATCGAGCAGTATGAAGAGACCCACCCGCTGCGTTCGAAGAAGGGCCGTCGGAAAACGACCTCCCCGAACGCGAGTACAGGGATTGCAAGGTGTCAACCCCTTCGGCCATTTCAGTAGATATGCGCGCACTCCAGTAGGGAGCATTAGGGAGGTAGGCCTCCCTAGGGGCACGATTCGATTTGTCCAGGCAACCTAGACACGAATCACCCCACGAGAGACAGGGTAATCCTGCCTCTATTGACAACCGGTGCAACTTGTACCGCACCCCAACTGGGTTACGCTTCTCAAACCTGATGCGAGCTGCATCAAGTTTACCGAGCCAGGGCTCACGGCCAATGCACTCGATGTTATGGATGAAGACATTACATCCTAGTATCAAGGCTTTGCCGTCTCGAACGCGGCTGCCATTGTACCACCGATGTTTGAAAAATGCATCGGTGAAGAATTCTTCCTCAGCACGGATAGTTTCCGTGCTGTAATCAGGTGGGCAAACCTTTCTACAATCGAACAATGGGATTCGATCCCGTTCGGTAGTCATGCCGGCCAGCCGGTCCAACTCTCTGGATGGCGGCATCCAAGAAGACTCCACTTGAGGAGCGTGGCGCAGGACATTGCGTTCCTTGGCCTCTTGAGTGGTGTCATCATGATCACTGAAACGAGTGGCAGCTCGATCTCTCGAGTTAATTTTCTCATGGTGATGCATAGGGGCATCACCACCATCCCCACGCGTCCTATCGTTGTATGGACTCGCGTGAGGCGAGGATTCGTCAGAAGAATCGCTCGGTCCGAAGATCTCGGACATGATGCCGCCACGTTCCCCAGAGCCAGTCAACCTGGATCTTGCAGTTTCCGCCCCGGATGATCCGGAGGCGTGAGGTGTCGCCTTCGATTCGGATGCATCATCCAACTCGCCTGAATAGATGAGATCAATTCCAGGCTTATCTACATTGCGATTCGCAGTACCCGCTGCAGACGTAGCGGATGTATCTGTCGCACGTGGTGACTCATCACGTGGACTGTTCGCAACAGCAGGCGAAGCATCACCTGCTGCTGAAGCAAAAGAATATCTCTCTTCGTCTGCACGCATGCGTGTAGCCGCTTTTCTTGCTGCTTCGGCAGCATATCGCATGGACTTTGACACCGAGCGATTAAAAAATGAATGGAATTTGACCAACAAGTGGTCCCCTTACTAGAGTGATCCAACAGAGGTCATCCTGTCCCAATTAGTTAAATTCAATCAACGGGTGATTGATGGTTGTACGGGGTTGTAACGGTGTAGCCCGTTTCATGAAATTGACACCAAACGATGTCAATTGGAATATTGTCTAGTATGACAATATTCTACCAATATTATCCGAGATGGATAGTATTGGAGGAATGTTATCCCCTTTTGGATAATATTCATGCGCTGTTCCAAGATTGGTTGATATAAGACAGGTCAACCATAAATTGCCACCAATCGCTGCTAGACGCGCGCAATGAGTGGTGAGCAGGTTGTCGTCATACGACAAGGTAGATTAATACAGTTAGATAAAGAGTAAAGCTATCTTGATAGCTTAACAATATTAAATACAGTTCTCTTTTTACCTTTACTCAAACGAGTTGTTTGTTGAGGTTAGCTTTTTTTGCACGTGATAGCTTAGCTATATTAAATACAGTTCTCTTTTTACCTTTACTCAAACGAGTTGTTCAAGTAGATTAGCTTCCTCTGCACGTACTTGTGTACATGTGGTTTCGCGGCACACAAACAAAGGGTGCCCCATTACACATAGTCGCACTTCGTAGTCCGTCTAACGAGTACTTAGTGCCCGTCCAACATGAACATGTTGGACATAGAAGACGACAGCTTTCACGTCACACGTGAAGTCTACTCCCATCTGAGTGACTCAGAATGGGAGGTACTCGGCCGCATGGGTGTGCTCATGGGCGAACCCGCCATCAGTGGTATGTCGGAGTCTCTAAGCAGAGAACAGCAACATGCTGCTATCAACAAGTTACTAAAAGGGGAACTTGCCGTCAAAGTGCGGAAGATAGCCTTGCTACAACAGCAAGGCTCTCATCAGTCGATGGGCGGGCCGACGCACATGCGTCGACCCGAAACCTTGAAGATTGATATCTCAAGGTAAAAGGGAACCGATGAATATTACCTTTTGAGATGGCTCGTCGAGTTAGACGACGCCATCAGCGCCCATCACATCGAGGGTGAAGAGATGCAAGCCACCTTCGCCCTGTCTAGTTTGACGGATAGAGCAAAGACTTGGGCCTTAGGGATCAAGCTTCACGACCCAAACGTGTTTGAGTCGTTGGAGATCTTGAAGTCTCGGCTTAAAGAGACGTTTGAGCCGCGGAGAGCCAAGTTCAGATCACGCTCTGCACTCTTGAGGCTAAAGCAAGGTAAGCGTGACGTGCACGCTTACGCACAGCACCTGCGCTACCTTGCGAGTAGCGTCACGGAAGACCCTGTTGATGAGCACACGCTCATCAACATGTTCATCTACGGCCTTGCAGATGGGCCGGTGAAGACCTACATGTTTCGAGAAGACTTCCACACGCTGAAAAGGCGATAGCGTATGCGGAACAAGAAGACTTCAGCCTGAGACATTCTCAGGCTAACTCGTTAAACTATAGTCCGACGAGATGACAGGAAACAGGAGGTCCCGAGCCAATGGACCTCTGTTACATCGAGAGCGAGAACTCTCGCTCTCTGAGTCACAAGCGAACGGCAAGATGCCATCGCTTTCAGAAGATTGGACACTACGCTCATGAGTGTAGTGTCCCGAGCACCGCAACACATCCAAAGACAGGACGTGATGACCACCGTTGGCCAAGGAAAGGTCCGAGGCGTGGGTCCGACCATGTCGCTAAGCCGCGACAACAAGTCGGACCGTCAAAAAACGGACAACAACGGGCTGTGAGTTACTGCCCCTAGTGATGAGGAGTCCCTCATCATTTGAAGATAGAAGTGACAAGTGGAATGTCACTTCGCGCCCTAGTTGAATGTGGGGCGTCGAACAGGTTTATTCGACGCCAGTCACTAAAAGGTAGCAGGCTCAACTATGTTGAGCGAGAGTTCCCTCCAACGAGGATGACGATGTGCCTTGCTACAGGCGCGTCCGTAACAGTGAACAAACAGGTACTGGAAATCCACTACACGCTAGAAGGAAAGCAGTACGTTTATGAATTCGTCGTACTAGATATTTGGATGAAAAATTTGACGTCATCCTTGGTCTGTCATGGCTTAGCAGATACCAGCCATGGGTTAGCTGGCAGCATCGATCCGTGAAGATGCCTGCCGTTTGTTCATCGGATGGCCATCTGATGAACGTCTTGGACCGTCCACAAGCGTGTGGATGTACTACGAGTGAGTGCGATGGCCTCACTTGTGGTACGGTCGTTAGTACGGCTGCACAAGATCACAGTGCAGGAGGCCACTACACTGTGGAACCAGCTTCCGGCACCTGTGTAGAGACACAGGCTGCGCCGAAGGTTCACCACTCGAAGAGATCGAGTGGACTGGAACACGGATGCACACCAAGAAGGGCGCATCCGAGAAGAGAGATTAGTGTCGTTCAGGATGAACAACACGTTGAAGCGAGATCGACTATCAGAGAGTCGGTCGTAGAGAAAGCCCGATCGACATAAAGAGAGTCGATTGAAGAGGACGTGACTGTGGTAGTATGCCCACAGTCAGTACACGTATCGGAAGAAAGGTCCAGCGTTCCCGAGAGTGATAACTACCAAGAGAGTTGTGTTGAGGGTGTAAATCTCCAACCGCCTGCGGATGTGTTTTCCCAGGAAATCACCGAGACAGTGAATGTATTAGTGAATGACGGGTCAAGTGTAGGCGCTTATACACTTGATCTGGTGACGCCCCCGAAGTCATCGTCGGAGGTGGTCAATTTTCCAGCGCTAGAATCTAAAAGATTCTTGCGAGATCTGCGTAGTGACAAGATCAAGCATATCTGCGTACTCGTCACAGAGGATGAGTACGTCGCCGATATTCGGTCGGCACAAGTGTTTGCTGAGAACTATCGGGTTCTCAGTAGCTCATCGATGGATGAGAGTGTCCTCGATGAGAAGACCCGGATTGAGCGATACATGGCTCAATCTTGGGAGTCTTTGAAGACAAATCCTTTGTATCAGTATTTGGTCAAATTCAGGGATGTTTTCCCGGAATCCGTGCCATGCGAGCTGCCCAAGGACAAACGCACTCGGCATGAGATCGAACTGAAACCTGGTTCGAAATTCTGTCATGAAGCAATGGACACTGCCTCGTGAACCTGTCACAGCGGTCGACAAATTATTTGCCCATCGTTTAGCGGCTAGTCATGTGAGGGAATCAACATCCCCACACAGCTTTCCGACCTTCTGTGTGCGAAAGGCCACAGGAGGGTGGCGGATAGTGCACGCGTTCAATAAATTGAACGCTGCAACGGTACCGAATCAAACGCCGATCCCAAGAAAGGACGTCATCATAGATGGTATGGCAAAGAGCACCATCTTTTCGCCCATGGATTTGATGAAGGGATTCTATCAGATCCTAATGCGTTAACGGGATATCTCTAACACAGCAGTGAGCACCCTCAGTGGTATGCTCTGGGAGTGGCTGGTGATGCCACGGGGGCTAAGTAACGCAACTCGGTGCGAAATCGCGCACCGAACGCAACAGGTTCGTAACACATCTGTTAATTAACGCAAGTTTTAACAGATGTTTAACAGATGTGTTACAAACCTGTTGCGATCGGTGCGCGACTTCGCACCGAGTTACTTCGACGATGTATTCGTCTATAGCCGGGCTATGGATGGAAAGACGGACGTGGAGGTTCGTAGAGTCCACTCCCGGAAGGTTCTTACTCTAATGCGAGAGCATAAGCTGTTCGCGGACCTCAAGAAGTGTATATTCGCAGCGAACGAAATACCACTTCTTGGCTGCATCGTGGGTAAAAACGGTGTACGCCCTGATCCGAAAACAATCAAGGCGACTAGCGACTGGCCTGTGTCAGTCGACGTCAAGGGACTTCGAAAGTTCCTTGGCTTGGTGGCGTACTTGCACAAATACTCGCGCAACTATGCCGAGATGAATGTACATCTCTCTCGTCTATTAAAGAAAAACGAGAGGTGGTCATGGAGCGCTGAGTGTCAGCACTCTTTTGAAGGCATCACGAAAAGCTTGGTGCAATCGCCTGTGTTGGCGGTTGCAGATCAGGATAGGCCATTTCATGTGGTCTGTGACGCCAGCGATTTTGCAATCGGCTGCGCGTTAATGCAGTACTACTTAGTCTGTCGGCGTTGAGCACGTCGTCTGTTATCAATCGCGTCAGCTGCAAGCAGCTGAGCAAAATTATCCGGTGCATGACAAGGAACTGTTTGCCATGAAATATGCACTGGATAAGTTTCGGGTGTATCTACTAGGTGATAGGCCCTTCATCGTTTATACCTACCATGCGTCGTTACGCACGGCCGTAAACAGTCCACACCTCTTGCAACGAATGACGAAGTGGCTGTCTTTCTCCGCGGAGCACAACTTCTCCGTCGAGTATAAACCAGGAAGACTTAATGTCGTCGCTGATGCCCTTTCGCGTCGGTCCGATTTTGAGCCGACTGCTCAAACCAACAGTAGGTGTGATCCCACTGAAGCGACACTAACAGTGAGTGTCCCGTCGTTGAAGCTGCTAGATGACGTGCGGAAGGCATACACAGAAGACGAGTATCTTCTGCGATTGATGGATTACGTGTCGAATCCATGTAGTCAAGATTTGAAAAGCTTGTCGTCTCAATACCACTCTTCAACCGAACGGTATTCGGTTCGTGATAGACTGCTGTACTATACAGCAGTCAACGGCGAAACACCTCGTGTCGTCGTTCCGGCTCATAATGATTTGCGATTGCGCACCATGTATGAGTGTCACGATGCCCCGACAAGTGGAAATCGCGGTAGAGAAAAGAATTACCTCATGGTGAGTCGTGACTTCTACTGGCCCCGCCAGTATGAGTTTGTGCGCAAATACAATCGCGCTTGCAAAGCTTGTCAACGGGTGAAGCCTAGTCCTTCATCCCGCGCACCCTTGCAGCCTCTTCCGATTACGGCAGATTGTTGGCAGTCCGTATCGATGGACTTCGTCTTCGGGATTTCCCAAAAAAGTTCACAAAAATACTGGTATTCTTGTGTTTGTTGATCGGTTCAGCAAGATGGTAAATCTTGTTGCTGTACCGGAGTCAATCACAGCTGCTAGGGATGTGCTCGTGTCTTCGTCGATACCATCTTCCGACTTCAGGGGCCCATGAGCTCGTTATTGATAGGGACCCCCTCTTCACGGCGGAGTTCTGGCAATCCGTGTTCCGTTCACTTGGAACACGTTTGACGATGTCGACTTCTGACCATCCAGAAACAGATGGTCAGACGGAAAGCGTCAACCGCGTCCTCGAAGAGATACTTCGAGGCTATGTCCAGTCGTTTACGAGTTGGAGTGAGTTCTTGCCGATGACGGAATTCGCCATCAACGACTTGGCGATGCGTCGACAATGCATACACCGTTCTTCGTAAATGGCCTACGCCATCCACGTTTACCCGCATTAATAAAGTGTGACTCTAGTTTAAGGGGGTGGACTCGCTCGAGCGAAAACCGATCTGGTTCTTGCTCATCACCCGTCGACGATGGCGTCGACGTGATGGATGCCAATGTCGATGCGATCGACATCGATGATGATGATGACGACGATGCTGATATATTCAGCATCGCCAATGAATGCCAAAGTGAGGACGATGACACCCTCACTGGTGAAGACAACGTTCTTTCAGCAGTGCACACGAGGCGTACTGCTGTTAACAAGGATGAATCAGCAGAGTAATTTCTGCTGAATCGCGAAGCAGTTGTCCGCTACGTTCAAGACTCCATTACAGATTCAGTAGATAAGCAAAAAAGAAACGCAGACAAACATGGAAGAGCAAATGTTCTTTCTTTTAATGAAAAAGACTTAGTTTTACTGTCAACAGTAAATATGCCAAAACACGCAGTGACAAACGTGGGCAGCATTAATTACTGCCCAAGTATGTCGGTCCATTTCGTGTGTTGCGCCGGATGGTCAACGCGTACACGATTGGACTGCCTTGTAGGATCGTACGCATCCTACGTCTTACGTTGGACGTCTCCGCCCGTACTATCAGTACGAGACCGTTTCGAGATGCGAAGAACACTTCCGCGGTCGAGAGCCGAGACCACCTTCGAGTGGTCCCGTTTCAACGAGCCAGTCTGGTCGACTAGCGCAGTGACCTGCTCACGCAGTTCAGCGATGTCTCGACGAGTTGCAGCCAGCTCGTCACGAATAGAACGAGTCGAGCGTTCGTTCTAATTACTACCGCTCCTAGAGTATAACAAAAATATTTTCTAAATTATAATTTTTATCTTGATTTTCAATTAAATTATTATTGTTAAGTTGACCAAGTTGCGCGAGCGCAAACGCGGCACGATCGTTCGAATGTCGTGCGCTAAGGAATTGTATTCATCCTTTACAAGATCACGGAGCTCATGACGCCAAGTCCGTTCGTGAGCCAGGTCATCTTGCAACTGTTTCGTTACACGGTTCAGCTCTTGAACATCAAGCTGATCCGACCCTCGAGCCGGATCGACTGTTCCCGCCGCCACCACATCTTTTGGTGGACTCTGGCGGTGGTCAACGCTTTCTGTTGGAGCGTATCTTGAACAAACGCGACGTGAACGGCGTCTGGACAAGTTACCTCGTCCACTGGAGTGTCTATCCACCAGCCTGGGACAGCTGGGAGTCTCGTGCTCAGCTGATTATTGATGTCCTGGGTCTCATCGAGCAGTATGAAGAGACCCACCCGCTGCGTTCGAAGAAGGGCCGTCGGAAAACGACCTCCCCGAACGCGAGTACAGGGATTGCAAGGTGTCAACCCCTTCGGCCATTTCAGTAGATATGCGCGCACTCCAGTAGGGAGCATTAGGGAGGTAGGCCTCCCTAGGGGCACGATTCGATTTGTCCAGGCAACCTAGACACGAATCACCCCACGAGAGACAGGGTAATCCTGCCTCTATTGACAACCGGTGCAACTTGTACCGCACCCCAACTGGGTTACGCTTCTCAAACCTGATGCGAGCTGCATCAAGTTTACCGAGCCAGGGCTCACGGCCAATGCACTCGATGTTATGGATGAAGACATTACATCCTAGTATCAAGGCTTTGCCGTCTCGAACGCGGCTGCCATTGTACCACCGATGTTTGAAAAATGCATCGGTGAAGAATTCTTCCTCAGCACGGATAGTTTCCGTGCTGTAATCAGGTGGGCAAACCTTTCTACAATCGAACAATGGGATTCGATCCCGTTCGGTAGTCATGCCGGCCAGCCGGTCCAACTCTCTGGATGGCGGCATCCAAGAAGACTCCACTTGAGGAGCGTGGCGCAGGACATTGCGTTCCTTGGCCTCTTGAGTGGTGTCATCATGATCACTGAAACGAGTGGCAGCTCGATCTCTCGAGTTAATTTTCTCATGGTGATGCATAGGGGCATCACCACCATCCCCACGCGTCCTATCGTTGTATGGACTCGCGTGAGGCGAGGATTCGTCAGAAGATCGCTCGGTCCGAAGATCTCGGACATGATGCCGCCACGTTCCCCAGAGCCAGTCAACCTGGATCTTGCAGTTTCCGCCCCGGATGATCCGGAGGCGTGAGGTGTCGCCTTCGATTCGGATGCATCATCCAACTCGCCTGAATAGATGAGATCAATTCCAGGCTTATCTACATTGCGATTCGCAGTACCCGCTGCAGACGTAGCGGATGTATCTGTCGCACGTGGTGACTCATCACGTGGACTGTTCGCAACAGCAGGCGAAGCATCACCTGCTGCTGAAGCAAAAGAATATCTCTCTTCGTCTGCACGCATGCGTGTAGCCGCTTTTCTTGCTGCTTCGGCAGCACATCGCATGGACTTTGACACCAAGCGATGAATTGGCAAATGAGTTGGTATTTTACCAACAAGTGGTCCCCTTACTAGAGTGATCCAACAGAGGTCATCCTGTCCCAATTAGTTAAATTCAATCAACGGGTGATTGATGGTTATAAGGGGGTGATGTAACGGTGTAGCCCGTTACATGAAATTGACACCAAACGATGTCAATTGGAATATTGTCTAGTATGACAATATTCTACCGATATTATCCGAGATGGATAGTATTGGAGGAATGTTATCCCCTTTTGGATAATATTCATGCGCTGCTCCAAGATTGGTTGATATAAGACATGTCAACCATAGATTGCCACCAATCGCTGTTAGACGCGTGCAATGAGTGGTGAGCAGGTTGTCGTCATACGACAAGGTAGATTAATACAGTTAGATAAAGAGTAAAGCTATATTGATAGCTTAACTGTATTAAATACAGTTCTCTTTTTACCTTTACTCAAGCGAGTTGTTGGAGTAGATTAGATTCATCTGCACGCACTAGTGGGCGTGAAGTTTCGCGGTACCCCAACAAAAGGTGTCCTGTTACAGCTAGCTCATTCTCACGAGGCACAATAAACTCGGCCACTTGAGAGGCCTTGCGGTTTAGCAGCACCTCGAGATGTTTATCATGTACCTGCTGCTCCTCTGTCGCCTTGCGCTCGAGTTCTTCTCCACAAATTAATTTTTCACCACTCTTTATCTTCGTGTCCACTGGATGGCCTCAGATGTTGGAAGCAATGTAATTTATTCTCTCTTATCACACATCCTGTTGGCTTTATCGGTTGCACATTCTACCTTCTAGACGCAGATAAGAAGCGTAAATATGATAAAGCGATGAAAAAACTGTAAATCCAATTCTGTCGAAGCCATATCTGTTTTGGGTAGCAGCGACCGAGTTTTTCCTTACTCGGCCTAATTTGTGATAATCGTTGCCTTTTTAGTAAAAACGACCGGCGACGGAACAACAAGATCGCGGCGATCGAGTGATTCCCTATGGAATCCTACAATATGGGCTGCATAATAACGTCACTGTTTATCGCGACTACAATTTTTTTGTGATCAGATGGTTTATTTACAGATTTAAACTACGTGCAAGATCCCTGGTAAATGCGGAGCCACGAGTTCAGTTCCGTATGTCCGGCGGTAGACTTTGGCTGTGCCCAGACAGGCCTGATGACCTTTCTGGACCCCGTTCAAGCAACTCGATGCGGGCAAACAGCACAGCGCCCACAATGCCAGATGACTCATTCGGTGTTCTCGGGTTGCTATTGCACGTAGCAAGTAACAGGGCACCCTTTGTGGGGTGCCCTGCTACTTCACGTCCACTAGTGCGTGCAGATGAATCTAATCTACTCCAACAACTCGCTTGAGTAAAGGTAAAAAGAGAACTGTATTTAATATAGTTAAGCTATCAGTGTAATCTTTATCTATCTATATTAAACTACGTCGTCGTATGACGACAACCTGCTCACCACTCATTGCGCGCGTCTAACAGCGATTGGTGGCAATCTATGGTTGACATGTCTTATATCAACCAATCTTGGAACAGCGAATGAATATTATCCTACAAAGGGGATAACATTCCTCCAATATTATCCATCTCGGATAATATTGGTAGAATATTGTCATACTAGACAAAATTTTAATTGACACCGTTTGGTGTCAATTTCATGTAACGGGCTACACCGTTACATCACCCCCCCCTTAACCATCAATCACCCGTTGATTGAATTTAACTAATTGGGACAGGATGACCTCTGTTGGATCACTCTAGTAAGGGGACCACTTGTTGGTAAAATACCAACTCATTTGCCAATTCATCGCTTGGTGTCAAAGTCCATGCGATGTGCTGCCGAAGCAGCAAGAAAAGCGGCTACACGCATGCGTGCAGACGAAGAGAGATATTCTTTTGCTTCAGCAGCAGGTGATGCTTCGCCTGCTGTTGCGAACAGTCCACGTGATGAGTCACCACGTGCGACAGATACATCCGCTACGTCTGCAGCGGGTACTGCGAATCGCAATGTAGATAAGCCTGGAATTGATCTCATCTATTCAGGCGAGTTGGATGATGCATCCGGAATCGAAGGCGACACCTCACGCCTCCGGATCATCCGGGGCGGAAACTGCAAGATCCAGGTTGACTGGCTCTGGGGAACGTGGCGGCATCATGTCCGAGATCTTCGGACCGAGCGATCTTCTGACGAATCCTCGCCTCACGCGAGTCCATACAACGATAGGACGCGTGGGGATGGTGGTGATGCCCCTATGCATCACCATGAGAAAAATTAACTCGAGAGATCGAGCTGCCACTCGTTTCAGTGATCATGATGACACCACTCAAGAGGCCAAGGAACGCAATGTCCTGCGCCACGCTCCTCAAGTGGAGTCTTCTTGGATGCCGCCATCCAGAGAGTTGGACCGGCTGGCCGGCATGACTACCGAACGGGATCGAATCCCATTGTTCGATTGTAGAAAGGTTTGCCCACCTGATTACAGCACGGAAACTATCCGTGCTGAGGAAGAATTCTTCACCGATGCATTTTTCAAACATCGGTGGTACAATGGCAGCTGCGTTCGAGACGGCAAAGCCTTGATACTAGGATGGAATGTCTTCATCCATAACATCGAGTGCATTGGCCGTGAGCCCTGGCTCGGTAAACTTGATGCAGCTCGCATCAGGTTTGAGAAGCGTAACCCAGTTGGGGTGCGGTACAAGTTGCACCGGTTGTCAATAGAGGCAGGATTACCCTGTCTCTCGTGGGGTGATTCGTGTCTAGGTTGCCTGGACAAATCGAATCGTGCCCCTAGGGAGGCCTACCTCCCTAATGCTCCCTAATGGAGTGCGCGCATATCTACTGAAATGGCCGAAGGGGTTGACACCTTGCAATCCCTGTACTCGCGTTCGGGGAGGTCGTTTTCCGACGGCCCCTCTTCGAACGCAGCGGGTGGGTCTCTTCATACTGCTCGATGAGACCCAGGACATCAATAATCAGCTGAGCACGAGACTCCCAGCTGTCCCAGGCTGGTGGATAGACACTCCAGTGGACGAGGTAACTCGTCCAGACGCCGTTCACGTCGCGTTTGTTCAAGATACGCTCCAACAGAAAGCGTTGACCACCGCCAGAGTCCACCAAAAGATGTGGTGGCGGCGGGAACAGTCGATCCGGCTCGAGGGTCGGATCAGCTTGATGTTCAAGAGCTGAACCGTGTAACGAAACAGTTGCAAGATGACCTGGCTCACGAACGGACTTGGCGTCATGAGCTCCGTGATCTTGTAAAGGATGAATACAATTCCTTAGCGCACGACATTCGAACGATCGTGCCGCGTTTGCGCTCGCGCAACTTGGTCAACTTAACAATAATAATATAATTGAAAATCAAGATAAAAATTATAATTTAGAAAATATTTTTTGTTATACTCTAGGAGCGGTAGTAATTAGAACGAACTCTCGACTCGTTCTCTTCGTGACGAGCTGGCTGCAACTCGTCGAGACATCGCTGAACTGCGTGAGCAGGTCACTGCGCTAGTCGACCAGACTGGCTCGTTGAAACGGGACCACTCGAAGGTGGTCTCGGCTCTCGACCGCGGAAGTGTTCTTCGCATCTCGAAACGGTCTCGTACTGATAGTACGGGCGGAGACGTCCAACGCAAAACGTCCGATGCGTACGCATCTTACGGGTCAGTTCAATCGTGTATGCGTTGCCCGTTTGGCGCAACACACGAAACGGACCGATATACTTGGGCAGTAATTAATGCTGCCCACGTTTGTCACTGCGTATTTTTGTAGATTTACTGTTGACAGTAAAACTAAGTCTTTTTCATCAAATGAAAGAGCATTTGCTCTTCCATGTTTGTCTGCGTTTCTCTTCTGTCTGTCTAGTGCATCTGCAATAGTCTTAAACGTAGCGGACAACTGCTTCGCGATTCAGCAGAAATTACTCTGCTGATTCATCCTTGTCAACAGCAGTGCGCTTCGTGTGCACTGCTGAAAGAACGTTGTCTTCACCAGTGAGGGTGTCATCGTCCTCACTTTGGCATTCATTGGCGATGCTGAATATATCAGCATCGTCGTCATCATCATCATCGATGTCGATCGCATCGACATTGGCATCCATCACGTCGACGCCATCGTCGACGGGTGATGAGCAAGAACCAGATCGGTTTTCGCTCGAGCGAGTCCACCCCCTTAAACTAGAGTCACACTTTATTAATGCGGGTAAACGTGGATGGCGTAGGCCATTTACGAAGAACGGTGTATGCATTGTCGACGCATCGCCAAGTCGTTGATGGCGAATTCCGTCATCGGCAAGAACTCACTCCAACTCGTAAACGACTGGACATAGCCTCGAAAGTATCTCTTCGAGGACGCGGTTGACGCTTTCCGTCTGACCATCTGTTTCTGGATGGTCAGAAGTCGACATCGTCAAACGTGTTCCAAGTGAACGGAACACGCATTGCCAGAACTTGGCTGTAAAGCGGTCGTCCCTATCAGACACGAGTTCACGGGGTAACCCGTGAAGTCGGAAGATGGTATCGACGAAGACACGCACACAGCCCTGGGCTGTGATTGACTCCGGCACAGAAACAAGATGTAATATCTTGCTGAACCGATCAACAAACACAAGAATGCCAGTATTCTTGTGAACGTCTTTGGGAAACCTAAGACGAAGTCCATCGATGCGGACTGCCAACACTCTGCCGGAATCGGAACAGGCTGCAAGGGTGCGCGGGATGAAGGACTAGGCTTCACCCGTTGACAAACTTCGCAAGCGCGATTGTATTTGCGCACAAACTCATACTGGCGGGGCCAGTAGAAGTCACGACTCACCATGAGGTAATTCTTTTCTCTACCGCGATTTCCACTTGTCGGGGCATCGTGACACTCATACATGATGCGCAATCGCAAATCATTATGAGCCGGAACGACGACGCGAGGTGTTTCGCCGTTGACTGCTGTATAGTACAGCAGTCTATCACGAACCGAATACCGTTCGGTTGAAGAGTGGTATTGAGACGACAAGCTTTTCAAATCTTGACTACATGGATTCGACACGTAATCCATCAATCGCAGAAGATACTCGTCTTCTGTGTATGCCTTCCGCACGTCATCTAGCAGCTTCAACGACGGGACACTCACTGTTAGTGTCGCTTCAGTGGGATCACACCTACTGTTGGTTTGAGCAGTCGGCTCAAAATCGGACCGACGCGAAAGGGCATCAGCGACGACATTAAGTCTTCCTGGTTTATACTCGACGGAGAAGTTGTGCTCCGCGGAGAAAGACAGCCACTTCGTCATTCGTTGCAAGAGGTGTGGACTGTTTACGGCTGTGCGTAACGACGCATGGTAGGTATAAACGATGAAGGGCCTATCTCCTAATAGATACACCCGAAACTTATCCAGTGCATATTTCATGGCAAACAGTTCCTTGTCATGCACCGGATAATTTTGCTCAGCTGCTTGCAGCCGACGCGATTGATAACAGACGACGTGCTCAACGCCGACAGACTAAGTAGTACTGCATTAACGCGCAGCCGATTGCAAAATCGCTGGCGTCACAGACCACATGAAATGGCCTATCCTGATCTGCAACCGCCAACACAGGCGATTGCACCAAGCTTTTCGTGATGCCTTCACAAGAGTGCTGACACTCAGCGCTCCATGACCACCTCTCGTTTTTCTTTAATAGACGAGAGAGATGTACAGTCATCTCGGCACAGTTGCGCGAGTATTTGTGCAAGTACGCCACCAAGCCAAGGAACTTTCGAAGTCCCTTGACGTCGACTGACACAGGCCAGTCGCTAATCGCCTTGATTGTTTTCGGATCAGGGCGTACACCGTTTTTACCCACGATGCAGCCAAGAAGTGGTATTTCGTTCGCTGCGAATATACACTTCTTGAGGTCCGCGAACAGCTTATGCTCTCGCATTAGAGTAAGAACCTTCCGGACGTGGACTCTACGAACCTCCACGTCCGTCTTTCCATCCATAGCCCGGCTATAGACGAATACATCGTCGAAGTAACTCGGTGCGAAGTCGCGCACCGATCGCAACAGGTTTGTAACACATCTGTTAAACATCTGTTAAAACTTGCGTTAATTAACAGATGTGTTACGAACCTGTTGCGTTCGGTGCGCGATTTCGCACCGAGTTGCGTTACTTAGCCCCCGTGGCATCACCAGCCACTCCCAGAGCATACCACTGAGGGTGCTCACTGCTGTGTTAGAGATATCCCGTTAACGCATTAGGATCTGATAGAATCCCTTCATCAAATCCATGGGCGAAAAGATGGTGCTCTTTGTCATACCATCTATGATGACGTCCTTTCTTGGGATCGGCGTTTGATTCGGTACCGTTGCAGCGTTCAATTTATTGAACGCGTGCACTATCCGCCACCCTCCTGTGGCCTTTCGCACACAGAAGGTCGGAAAGCTGTGTGGGGATGTTGATTCCCTCACATGACTAGCCGCTAAACGATGGGCAAATAATTTGTCGACCGCTGTGACAGGTTCACGAGGCAGTGTCCATTGCTTCATGACAGAATTTCGAACCAGGTTTCAGTTCGATCTCATGCCGAGTGCGTTTGTCCTTGGGCAGCTCGCATGGCACGGATTCCGGGAAAACATCCCTGAATTTGACCAAATACTGATACAAAGGATTTGTCTTCAAAGACTCCCAAGATTGAGCCATGTATCGCTCAATCCGGGTCTTCTCATCGAGGACACTCTCATCCATCGATGAGCTACTGAGAACCCGATAGTTCTCAGCAAACACTTGTGCCGACCGAAAATCGGCGACGTACTTATCCTCTGTGACGAGTACGCAGATATGCTTGATCTTGTCACTACGCAGATCTCGCAAGAATCTTTTAGATTCTAGCGCTGGAAAATTGACCACCTCCGACGATGACTTCGGGGGCGTCACCAGATCAAGTGTATAAGCGCCTACACTTGATCCGTCATTCACTAATACATTCACTGTCTCGGTGATTTCCTGGGAAAACACATCCGCAGGCGGTTGGAGATTTACACCCTCAACACAACTCTCTTGGTAGTTATCACTCTCGGGAACGCTGGACCTTTCTTCCGATATGTGTACTGACTGTGGGCATACTACCACAGTCACGTCCTCTTCAATCGACTCTCTTTATGTCGATCGGGCTTTCTCTACGACCGACTCTCTGATAGTTGATCTCGCTTCAACGTGTTGTTCATCCTGAACGACACTAATCTCTCTTCTCGGATGCGCCCTTCTTGGTGTGCATCCGTGTTCCAGTCTACTCGATCTCTTCGAGTGGTGAACCTTCGGCGCAGCCTGTGTCTCTACACAGGTGCCGGAAGCTGGTTCCACAGTGTAGTGGCCTCCTGCACTGTGATCTTGTGCAGCCGTACTAACGACCGTACCACAAGTGTGGCCATCGCACTCACTCGTAGTACATCCACACGCTTGTGGACGGTCCAAGACGTTCATCAGATGGCCATCCGATGAACAAACGGCAGGCATCTTCACGGATCGATGCTGCCAGCTAACCCATGGCTGGTATCTGCTAAGCCATGGCAGACCAAGGATGACGTCAAATTTTTCATCCAAATATCTAGTACGACGAATTCATAAACGTACTGCTTTCCTTCTAGCATGTAGTGGATTTCCAGTACCTGTTCGCTCACTGTTACGGATGCGCCTGTAGCAAGGCACATCGTCATCCTCGTTGGAGGGAACTCTCGCTCAACATAGTTGAGCCTGCTACCTTTAAGTGACTGGCGTCGAATAAACCTGTTCGACGCCCCACATTCAACTAGGGCGCGAAGTGACATTCCACTTGTCACTTCTATCTTCAAATGATGAGGGACTCCTCATCACTAGGGGCAGTAACTCACAGCCCGTTGTTGTCCGTTTTTTGACGGTCCGACTTGTTGTCGCGGCTTAGCGACATGGTCGGACCCACGCCTCGGACCTTTCCTTGGCCAACGGTGGTCATCACGCCCTGTCTTTGGATGTGTTGCGGTGCTCGGTACACTACACTCATGAGCGTAGTGTCCAATCTTCTGAAAGCGATGGCATCTTGCCGTTCGCTTGTGACTCAGAGAGCGAGAGTTCTCGCTCTCGATGTAACAGAGGTCCATTGGTTCGGGACCTCCTGTTTCCCGTCATCTCGTCGGACGATAGTTTAACGAGTTAGCCTGAGAATGTCTCAGGCTGAAGTCTTCTTGTTCCGCATACGCTATCGCCTTTTCAGCGTGTGAAGTCTTCTCGAAACATGTAGGTCTTCACCGGCCCATCTACAAGGCCGTAGATGAACACGTTGATGAGCGTGTGCTCATCAACAGGGTCTTCCGTGACGCTACTCGCAAGGTAGCGCAGGTGCTGTGCGTAAGCGTGCACGTCACGGTTACCTTGCTTTAGCCTCAAGAGTGCAGAGCGTGATCTGAACTTGGCTCTCCGCGGCTCAAACGTCTCTTTAAGCCGAGACTTCAAGATCTCCAACGACTCAAACACGTTTGGGTCGTGAAGCTTGAGCCCTAAGGCCCAAGTGTTTGCTCGTCCCGTCAAATTAGACAGGGCGAAGGTGACTTGCATCTTGTCACCCTCGATGTGATGGGCCCTGATGGCGTCGTCTAACTCGACGAGCCATCTCAAAAGGTAATATTCGTCGGTTCCCTTTTACCTTGAGATATCAATCTTCAAGGTTTCGGGTCGACGCATGTGCGTCGGCCCGCCCATCGACTGATGAGAGCCTTGCTGTTGTAGCAAGGCTATCTTCTGTATTTTGACGGCAAGTTCCCCTTTTAGGAACTTGTTGATAGCAGCATGTTGCTGGTCTCTGCTTAGAGACTCCGACATACCACTGATGGAGGGTTCGCCCATGAGCACACTCATGCGGCCGAGTACCTCCCATTCTGAGTCACTCAGATGGAAGTAGACTTCACGTTTGACGTGAAAGCTGTCGTCTTCTACGTCCAAAATGTTCATGTTGGGCGGACACTAAGTAGTCGTTGGACGGACTACGGAGTGCTACAAGGCGTAACGGGGCACCCTTTGTTTGTGTACCGCGAAACTACACGTACACAAGTACGTGCAGAGGAAGCTAATCTACTTAAACAACTCGTTTGAGTAAAGGTAAAAAGAAAATTGTTTTTAATATAGTTAAGCTATCAGTATAATCTTTATCCAGCTATATTAAACTACGTCGTCGTATGACGACAACCTGCTCACCACTCATTGCGCGCGTCTAGCAGAGCTATTGGTGGCAATCTATGGTTGACATGTCTTATATCAACCAATCTTGGAGCGGCGCATGAACATTATCCAAAAGGGGACAATGTTCCTCTAATATTATCCATCTCGGATAATATCGGTAGAATATTGTCATACTAGACAATATTCCAATCGACACCGTTTGGTGTCAACTTCATGTAACGGGCACCCCGTTACAGTTCAAGTCCCTTTTTTTGCTAAAGTGTAAATAAAAAAGACCCAATGGCAGTTTTTGGTATTTCCTTTTTTATATTAATGGGAAAATTAAAGTGTTGACATTCCTATTCGTGATTATAGATTGATAGGTAAATCCTTTATCTTCTAAGTAAATATTCAGTAGGGAACATTAGGGAGGTAGGCCTCCCTATGGAAACGATTCGAGTTGTCCAGGCAACCTGGACGTGGACCGCTCCACGAGAGACGGGGTAACTGCCTCTCTTGACAGTCGGCGCAACTTGTATCGTACGGCGACCGGGTTACACTTCTCAGACATGATGCAAGCTGCATCAAGTTTACCGAGCCAGGGCTCACGGCACACTCGATGTTATGGATGAAGGCATTCCATCCTTGCACTAAGGACTTACCGTCGCGACCACGGTTGCCATTGTACCATCGATGCTTGAAGAACACATCGGTGAAGAACTCTTCCTCAGCACGGACAGTTTCCGAGCTGGAATCAGGAGGACATATCCTAATACAGTCAAACAACCGGATTCGATCCCGTTTGTTGGTCATGCCGGCCACTCGATCTAACGCTTTGGAAGATGGCATCCAAGGAGACTCCAATTGAGGAGCGTGGCGCAGGACAGTTCGGTCCCTGGACTCTTGAGTGAAGTCGGCAGGCGCACTGATACCAGTGGCAGCTCGATCTCTCGACTCACTTCTCTCGTGGTGATGCATAGGGGCATTACCACCACCACCACGGGTCCTATCGTTGAATGGACTTGCGTGAGACAAAGATTTATCAGACGAATCGCTCGGTCCGAAGATCTCAGACATGATGCCGCCACGATCCCCGGAGCTAGCTCTCGCTCCAAGAGCTAGCTCTTGCAGTGTCCTTCCCGGATTATCCGGAGGCGTGAGGTGTCACCTTGGAGTCGAATGATCCATCCGACTCGCCTGAATCGATAATATCAATTCCGGGATCATCTGCTTTGAGAGTCGTAGCACCCGCTGCAGACGTAGCGGATGTATCTGTCACACGTGGTGACTCAGCACGTGGACTAGTTGCAATGAGCACTGCCTTTTGCTGAATTGCAACAACAGGCGAAGGATAACCTGATGCTTAAGATAGAAAAGAACTTACTTTGGCTGCACGCATGCGTCCATACCGCTTTTCTTGCTGCTTAGGCAGAACATTGCGTGGACTTTGACACCATGCGATGATATGGCAAATGAGTTGGTATTTTACCAACAAGTGTTCCCCTTACTAGAGTGATGCAACAGAGGTCATCCTGTCCCAATTAGTTAAATTCAATCAACGGGTGATTGATGGTTAAGGGGGGGGTGATGTAACGGTGTAGCCCGTTACATGAAATTGACACCAAACGGTGTCAATTAAAATTTTGTCTAGTATGACAATATTCTACCAATATTATCCGAGATGGATAACATTGGAGGAATATTATCCCCTTTGTAGGATAATATTCATTCGCTGTTCCAAGATTGGTTGATATAAGACAGGTCAACTATAAATTGCCACCAATCGCTGCTAGACGCGCGCAATGAGTGGTGAGCAGGTTGTCGTCATACGACAAGGTAGATTAATACAGTTAGATAAAGAGTAAAGCTATATTGATAGCTTAACTATATTAAATACAGTTCTCTTTTTACCTTTACTCAAGCGAGTTGTTGGAGTAGATTAGCTTCCTCTGCACGTACTAGTGTACGTGAAGTTTCGTGGCACCCAGACAAAGAGTGCTTCGTTGCAGAATAGAGGTACATGCAGTCATACGCGCAGTTTGTTTCAAATATGTATTCAGATAATCATGCTCGTATCGTCGGTATAAGGATCTACCAACTTAAGACTACAAATTGTAGATACATGGATGTCATCCATGCTTTAACAGAATGGTTGCTTCAGTATAGGGATATGCCTGGTTAAGAGCATAAAATGCTCTCACCTTATCTTTAGCAAGCTCATTCTCACGAGGCACAATATTCTCGGCCACTTGAGAGGTCTTGCGTTTTAGCAGCACCTCGAGATGCTTATCATGTACCTGCTGCTCCTCTATCGCCTTGCGCTTGTGTTCTTGTCCACAAATAACTTTTCGCCACTCTTTATCTTCGTGTCCACTGGATGGCCTCAGATGTTGGAAGCAATGTAATGTATTTTCACTTATCACACACCCTGTTGGCTTCATCGGTTGCACATTCTACCTTCTAGACGCAGATAAGAAGCGTAAATATGATATAACGATGAAAAACTGTAAATCCAATTCTGTCGAAGCCATATCTGTTTTGGGTAGCAGCGACCGAGTTTTTCCTTACTCGGCCTAATTTGTGATAATCGTTGCCTTTTTAGTAAAAACGACCGGCGACGGAACAACAAGATCGCGGCGATCGAATTATTCCCTATGGAACTGTAACGGGGCACCCTGAAGCTTGTACTGGTGACAGTACAAGCTACTTATTCTGATAACAGAATAAGGCGGTGCCTCGTAGCTTCACGTACACTCGTACGTGCAGAGGAAGACGGTAAGAAGAAGCGAGTACTTGGTTAGAGTAAAAAGTAGAACTGTATTTATAATAGTTAATGTCTGCAATAAATCACTATTTATCTTCATCTAACTATGTCTAAATACAAATGTGTAAATCAGTTATCTGCTCACCACTCATTGCGTGCGTCTGTCGTGGCGCGTCTTCGTTGGTTGATATAATGGCCTATATCAACCAATTAGGAACTACTTGGAAGTGCTACAGAATATTGTCCTTATGACAATATTCTGAGAATATAACTCTTATAGTTATATTCTATTAACTATTTCTTATAAATTGTTATGTAACGATTCACCCCGTTACATCACCCCCTTAACCATCAGTCACTTTAGTGACTGATTGACTAAATGGATACTCGTCCCAAATCATTTGGGACGGGGTTTGCACTTGTTGGTCCGCGTCCACTTTCCAACATCTCATCGCATGGTAAACAAGCCCATGCGATGCGCGAGCAAGGCCGCCGAGAGCGCGTCTGCACGTCTCTGTGCGGACGCCGAAGCAGAAACTACAGCAACTGATGTCCCATCGGTTGCTGAATCGACTCAGCCTGTATCACCTGGTGATGCAGGCGCTGGTCATGAAGACACTCGTGTCTTCACAGAGTACGAGCTCGGTGTCTCGTACTCTCCTGATACGGATGACGGATCCGTATCGACGGAAATTGAATCCAAGCCGCCTGCCAAGCGTGGCATGGACGATGCTTTGCGTCGCAGCATCTTTGGTTCATCTGATGAGTCAGATGAACCATCGCCGAAGCGAAGGCGCTCGAGGTCGCGAGACTCGGGCGCTAATAGTGGTGTCGTTTCTTCAATGGACACCACTTCACAGCGAGGTGCCAGTACTTCTGTCGGCACGTCGCAGGAAGAGCGGGACCGCAATGTGTTGCGTCTCGCTCCAGAAAAGAAGGCATGGATGCCTCCTAAATCTGTCATGGATCACTTGTCGGCGACGACGAGTGATCGTTATCGAACACGATTGTTCGATTCGTCAAGGATTCATCACCTTGACCCCAGCGCGAAAGACTATCGCGCTGAACATGAGTTCTTCATCGATGCTTTCTTCAGACATCGATGGTACAGTGGGAATCACAAACGTGATGGTCCCTCACTACTTCAGGCGTGGAACGCCTACATCCATAATCTCGAGGATGTAGGTCGTGACGCTTGGAACGACAAACTTATCAAAGCTCGTGATAAGTTTGAAAAGCGAACCCCGACAGGTGCACGCTACAAGCTGCATCGTCTGTCAAGGGAGAAAGGATTACCCTGCCTCTCTTGGGGAGACTCGTGCCCATGTTGTGTGAACAACTCTGCACGAGCACCTAAGGAGGCTTACCTCCTTACCAGCCCGTGGTGGCGCGTACGTGTCTCTACTGAGATGTACGAAGGGATTGACAACCTGAAATCCCTTTACGACCGTGCCGGGAAGACTTTCTCCGGCGGTCCTTCTGCGGCACAGGATGTGTCGCGTCGTACTGCTCGACCAGACCCAGTACGTCAACCATCAATTGGGAGCGGGGCTCCCAAGAATCCCAGGACGGGGGATAGCCGCGCCACCGGACGAGGTAACTCGTCCGACGTCCGTTCACGTCGCGGTGGTTCAACAGCTGCTCAACTAGATAGCGCTGGCCACCGCGAGAGTCCTCTAATGGAGGTGGAGGAGGAGGAAAGACGCTCTCCACACGATCATGTGGATCGGTGTGTTCCCGAGAGCTTCTTTGATCGCGTAACGCAAGGGTTACGCGACGATCTCGAGCATGAGCGGAATAGGCGTCTCCAGATGGTGGACACTGCCTCGAAGCATCGAGCTGAGTTTGCCTTTGCTCAGCTTGAGAACGAGAGATCTCTGACATCTCTTCGTGACGAGCTAAGGGTAGCTCGTGGGATTGTTGATCGGTCTCGGGCTGAGATAACTGCTCTTCAGACCCTTGTTGATGCCCACCATCGGGAGCACAAGGCTCTCTGCGAGATGCTTGAGCGCAAGGGCGTTCTTCATCGGAAGAAGCAGCGTACTGATGGTACGGCTTAAGCCGACCAACGTAAAACGTGGGATGCGTTCGCAACTTATGTGGCAGTTCGATCGTGTATGCATTGCCTAGGCGGTGCAATACACGAAATGGGCCAATGTACTTGGGTAGTAGTTTACTGCTACCCAAGTTAGTCACTACATGCTTTGGTAGATTAACCGTAGACAGTAGGACTAAGTCACCTTTATTAAATAAAAGAGTGTTTGCCCTTCCATTCTTGTCAGCGTTTTGCTTTTGCTTATCCACCGCTTCGGCGATGGAGTCTTGCACAAAACGGACTACCGTTTCACGAGCCAGTATGAACTCATCTGATGACTCGTTAGCTTCAGTGTGCTGTGAGCGCACTGCAGCGACAACAACCTTTTCTTCAGTGAGGGCTTCCGCACTCTCACTGGGATCATTGTCTTCAGTGAGGGCTTCCGCACTCTCACTGGCATCATCTTCTTCGATATCGATGTTATCGATATCGGCATCAAACGCAATGACTTCTTCGTCAGAGCGTGATGAGCGTGAACCAAATCGGTTTTTGCTCGCGCGAGTCCCTCCCCCCTTAAACCAGAGTTACACTCTAGTAAGGTGGGTACACGCGGATGGCGCAAGCCATTCACGTAAAACGGTGTATGTGTCGTGGACGCATGCACCGAGTTGTTGATGGCAAACTCTACCATCGGCAAAAACTCACTCCAACTCTTAAAGGAGTGTACGTATCCTCGAAGTATCTCTTCAAGGACACGATTGGCACGTTCCGTCTGACCATCTGACTCTGGATGATCAGATGTTGACATCTTCAAGCGCGTTCCGAGTGATTTGAACACGGAACGCCAGAAATCAGCAGTGAATCGTGGATCTCTGTCTGAAACGAGTTCACGGGGCAACCCATGAAGTCGGAAGATGGTGTCAATAAAGACACAAGCACAGCCACTTGCCGTGATTGTCTCTGGTACAGCCACAAGGTGTACCATTTTGCTGAATCTGTCAACAAATACGAGAATACCCGTATTCCCGCGTGCGTCTTTGGGTAAACCGAAGACGAAATCCATTGAGATGGATTCCCAGCACTCAGCCGGAACCGGTAGAGGCTGTAAAGGTGCACGCAGTGAAGGACTTGACTTCACTCGTTGACAGACTTCGCATGCGCGAACATACTTTCGCACAAACTGATACTGGCGGGGCCAGTAAAAGTCTCGACTTACCGTGAGATATGTTTTCTCTCGGCCACGATGTCCTCCTATAGGAGCATCGTGATACTCGAACATGATCCGCAAACGCAGATCAATATCATCTGGAATGACAACACGTGGTGTGTCACCAGAAACGGCTGTATAGTACAGTAAACCGTTACGAGTAGTGTATCGATCTGATGCAGATCGATACGCAGACGACAATCGTTTCAACGATTCTCGAGATGGTTGGGAGAGATGTGACAACAACTTCACTATCTCACCATCTTGGGCGTATGCCCGCCTCACATCATCATACAACGTTGTAGATGGAACTGAGGACGTCATAACCGCAACAGTGACTGTCTCACTGTTGGGTTTCGCGACTGTTTCAAAGTCGGGACGACGTGAGAGTGCATCAGCGACGACATTAAGTCGTCCTGGTTTGTACTCGACCGTAAAGTTGTATTCTGCAAAGAATGACAACCACCGCGCCATTCGTTGTGAAAGGTGCGGGCTGTTCACTGCCGTGCGTAAGGACGCATGGTCAGTGTAAACAACGAAGGGTCTATCTCCTAATAGATAGACTCTGAACTTCGCGAGTGCATACTTCATGGCAAGGAGTTCCTTGTCATGCACTGGATAGTTCCGCTCAGCTGGTTGCAGCTGACGCGACTGATAGCAGACGACGCGTTCAACGCCTTCAAGGTCGTACTGCATTAATGCACAGCCGATTGCGAAATCGCTGGCATCACAGACCACATGAAATGGCCTGTCCTGATCGGCTATTGCTAGGACTGGGGATTGTATCAAGCTCTGCTTGATACCCTCAAAGGAGCGTTGACATTCAGCGTTCCATAACCACCTCTCGTTCTTTTTCAACAAACGAGAGGTGTACAGTCATCTCGGCGTAATTGCGTGAATACTTATGCAAATACGCCGCTAGCCCAAGGAATTTTCGAAGACCTTTGACATCGACCGGCACGGGCCAGTCGGTGATCGCCTTGATCTTTTCGGGATCAGGACGTACACCGTTCTTACCAACGATGCACCCAAGAAGTGGTATTTCGCTTGCTGCAAATATACACTTCTTGAGGTTTGCATACAATTGATGCTTTCGCATGATTGTAAGAACTTGTCGGACGTGGTACTTGTGAACCTCAACGTCCGACTTTCCATCCATAGCTCGACTATGGATGAATACGTCATCGAAATAACTCGGCGCGAATTCTCGTACTGGCCTCAACAGATGTGATACACACCTGTTGAACGTGGCAGGGGCATTACTGAGCCCTTGTGGCATTACTAGCCATTCCCAGAGCATGCCGCTAGGCGTGCTAACTGCGGTATAAGGGTAGGTCCCGTTCCCGCATTAGGATTTGATAGAAGCCATCCATCAAATCCATGGACGAAAAGATGGTACTCTTTGACATACCATCAATGATTACGTCCTTCCTCGGTATCGGCGTCTGAGCCGGTACCGTTGCAGCGTTCAATTTGTTAAACGCGTGCACTATCCGCCACCCTCCTGTTGCTTTTCGCACACAGAAGGTCGGAGAGCTATGTGGGGAAGTTGATTCCCTCACATGGCCCGCTGCTAAACGATCGGCAAAGAACTTGTCGATCGCAAGTACTTGTTCACGAGGCAGTGGCCACTGCTTCATGACACAGTACTTCGAGCCTGGTTTAAGCTCGACTTCGTGTCGAATACCTTTATCCTTCGGTAATTCGCACGGAACAGTTTCAGGGAATACATCCTTGAATTCAACCAAATCTTCATAGAGAGGATTTTCCTTGAGCGATTCCCATGATTGGGACTCATATCGCTCAATTCGTGTCTTTTCATCTAGGACACTCTCGTCCATAGATGAACTACTGAGAACTCTCTCGTTCTCAGTAAACACTGTTGCTGACCTTATGTCGGTTACATACTCGTCTTCAGCGACGAGTATGCAGATCTGCTTGACTTTGCCACTACGCAGATCACGCAAGAATCTTTTATGTTCGAGCGTTGGCAACTGAGTGATCTCCGAAGTTAACTTCGGAGGCGCAATCAGATCAAGTGTATAAGCGCCTACACATGATCCGTTATTGACTATGACATTCAATGTCTCTGTCATTTCCTGGGGACTTATTCCCTCAGGCTTCGAAGGACTTATTCCTTCGTCTTCCCGGGGACTTATTCCCGCGGGTTTCGGGGAACTTATTTCCGCCGTATTTGTAATCTTGGGACTTATTCCCTTTACTTCCTCTAGCTGGGGTTGCGCAACCACAGCGAGATCCTCTACGAAAGACTCTCCAGTCGATCTAGGATTATCGTTTCGCTTAACCTGAGCGATCGATTGTTTCTCTTCTAGATGTTCCCCTCTAGGGATACATCTTTGTCCCAGTCCACCCGACTTATTCGAGTGGTGGACCTTCGGCGCAGCCTGTGTTTCCTCACAGCCGCCGGAACTTTGCTCCGAAGTGTAACCGTTTGGTACACTAAGGTTTTGTGCAGTCGTACTAACGACCGTACCACAAGTGAGGCCATCGCACTCACTCGTAGTACATCCACACGCTTGTGGACGCTCCAAAACGTTCATCAGATGGCCATCTGATGAACAAGCGGCAGGCATCGTTACTGTCCGATGTTGCCAGTTTACCCGTGGTTCGTACCTTCTGAGCCACGGTATTCCAAGGATGACATCAAATTTGTCATCCAAATCCAATACGATAAAGTCATCGTCGTATTGGGTATCTTCTAGCGTATAGTGAATCTTCACTATACGCTTCATGACGGTTACGGATGCGCCTGTCGCAAGACGTACCGTCATCCTCGTAGGAGGTGTGTCACATTCACTGAATTTAAAGTGACCATCTTCTAGCGATTGGCGTCGCACAAAATTTTGGACGCCCCACAATCGACTAGAGCTCGAAGGGACAACTTATTCGTCACTTCGAGTTTCAAGGTAATGAGTGAGATCTCATTACCTAGAGCAGCAACGCACAATGTCTGTGTGTTGGGAGCAACCTTCATCAAGAGGCCTGCAAATTCTCTTGACGTTGATGGACCAGTAGGGTGCTCCGCACCTACTGATCCTGTCCGTTTTTTTACAGTCCATCCCGTTGTTGCATCTTTGCACCAACAGCGGACCCGCGTCCCTTCCCCTTTCTCGGGGGTGGACGGTCATTACGACCAGTGTTGCGAGACACTAGACGAGGGGCACTACACTCGTAAGCGTAGTGTCCTGTCTTTTGACATCTGTTGCATTTCTGCAACTTCTTGTAGCCTGTAGAGCGAGCCTTCTCGCTCTCTACATAACAGAGTTCCATCGGCTCTGGACCTCCGTTGTCATATCGTCTCGGTTGACGATATGATGTCGAGCTGGCGCGAGCCTGTCTCAGACTGAAGTCTTCCTGTTCCGCAATGGAAATGGCTTGTTCTAGTGAATCTAGCTCAAGTCGGAACAGGTGAGTCTTGACGGGACCATTCGCAAGACCTTTCATGAACACCGAAACCAACGTGTGTTCATCCACCGGATTGGAACTTATACAACTCGTGAGATATCGTATTTGTTGCGCGTAAGCGTGCACATCACGCTTACCTTGTTTGAGCTTGAAGAGTTCAGTTCGAGCTCTGAACTCAGCTCTAGGCGGTTCAAACGTTTGTCTGAGCCGCGACTTGAAGACTTCCAACGACCCAAACGCATATGGGTCGTGCAGCTTGAGCCCCAGTGCCCAAGTCTTGGCACGTCCTGCCAGATTTGACTGGGCAAATGCAACTTGCATATCCCCGTCGTCGATGCGACGCGCCCTTATGGCGTCATCCAATTCGACGAACCATCTCAAGAGGGAGTCTTCTTCGACCCCCTATACTTTGAGATGTCAATCTTCAAAGTCTCGGGCCGACGCGAGTGCATCGACCCGCCAGCAGCAGCCTGCTGCTGTCTCAACAGTTCAAACTGTTGAGCACCTTGTTCTCTCAACAACTCTGCTTGTTGAGAACCTTGTTGGTGAAGCAAGGCTACTTTCTCGCGTTCTGCGTCAAGTTCATTTTGAATGAACTTGGCGATAGTAGCATGTTGGGCATCTCTATTGAGAGCCTCTAGCATGACGCTAACAGCATGGATGCCCATGGTCGAACCCATTCGTTCAACCGCATCCCATTCGACATCGCTCAAATGGGAGTAGCCGTCACGCGTAGCGTGAAAGCTTTGGTCATCTTCATCATCCAACATATTCATGTTGGATGTGAACGCGGTCCTTGGACGGACTACGAAGTGCTACCAGGTGTAACGGGGCACCCTGAAGCTTGTACTGGTGACAGTACAAGCTACTTATTCTGATAACAGAATAAGGCGGTGCCTCGTAACTTCACGTACACTCGTACGTGCAGAGGAAGACGGTAAGAAGAAGCGAGTACTTGGTTAGAGTAAAAAGTAGAACTGTATTTATAATAGTTAATGTCTGCAATAAATCACTATTTATCTTCATCTAACTATGTCTAAATACAAATGTGTAAATCAGTTATCTGCTCACCACTCATTGCGTGCGTCTGTCGTGGCGCGTCTTCGTTGGTTGATATAATGGCCTATATCAACCAATTAGGAACTACTTGGAAGTGCTACAGAATATTGTCCTTATGACAATATTCTGAGAATATAACTCTTATAGTTATATTCTATTAACAATTTCTTATAAATTGTTATGTAACGATTCACCCCGTTACAGGAACCCTACAATATAGGCTGCATGATAACGTCACTGTTTATCGCGACAATTGCTCGTGATGATCTACTAGAAATTAGCTTCTGCACAGATCTTCTCTTTCCGACTAATAAAGCACTCCCGCTCTCGCTTGAAAGCATAATTGAGCTTGGATGGTCGGCACTCCATTGCTAAAAAAATCATGATCGTAGTATGGATACTTCTCGTTCCCTCAATGTCCGCCACATTTTATGAAACTCAGCGGAGCGGATACTCATCGGAGTGGTAATGTCAGTACATGCAAGAGTGTTACATACAGCTCCCGGGGCACCTGTCCGTGACTTCGGCACGATAAAGTGTACTACATGCAAGCACACTTCGATTGATATACAGTGCACCTTTTGCATGGTGTTGCTAGTATGGCAAGTATTGCCCCCGCATCGCTTGTGACGACAACACACTATGATCAAGGTGTGAAACACATGATCGTAAATGGACTACGCACAGAGAGGACAGATGATGAATCCGTGTTCATAGCACTTTCATCACTACAAATGTCCTGCAATCAAGCGAGCGTATTCACATGTCAACAGGTGTTACGAACTTAGCTGTGACACCTCTTTCCACTCACAGGATTGGTCGAAACTTCGATCCACGATCGGCAGCATCCTTCACTGGAGCAGTCACTCTTTCACTTCAGTGCCATCTTCCCCCTCAGCGAGCTCTCCGCCACCCCCATTATCCCTCCACAAACGGACCAATCACTCGCTCTCGTCCGTCGTCGACCGTCTGAAGTGAACCACCAGAAGTAGCAGCAGCAGCAGCAGCAGTAGCAAGCGAACAGCTCTTAGCCAGCAAAGCAGCGCCTCGCCGTCGCCCTCCGCCCTGCATTTTCATTTTGTGCGTGTGTTGCATCCTACCGCTATGGCCGACCAAGTGGAGTCTGCCGCTGGCGTCGACACTCAAGGGCCGCCGTCGTCGTCGTCGTCCTCGCAATGGTCCGAGCATAATGCGCCCAATGGCCGCAAGTACTACTACAATAGCGTCACGGGCGAGTCCACGTGGGAGCGGTGCGTTCATCGCGCCACAAAATGTAGCCATGACACACATGCACCGATTGTTCATGCTTCTTTTCTTCTCCCCCCTCTGCTTTCTCGCTCTTTTTTTATTTCGACAGGCCAGCAGAACTGTCCGTGCCAGCTCTCCAAGCGGATTTGCCTCGCACTGGCGCTCCTCAGCAGCACCAGCTGCAGCAACAACAGCCGACTGCAGCTGGGTTCCCGCAGCCTCAGCAGCAGCTTGACGGTCAAGGACCACAGGGTATGTTCTACGAAGTTAGAGTCTTTTAGTGCCGCAGATTTGTTCATTACAGCACGATTCCTGGTATGGTTTGCAGGTGCAGCAGCAGCCTATGGAGGCTATCCGCAGCCGTACGGACAGCCGATGCAGTATCCGCCACCGTACGGAGGCAGCGGCTACATGTACCCATTCCCTCAGGCTTACGGTTAGTTGTTGATGTAGAGAATGTCAGTGTGTAGATGGTAATACGTACTGTGCTAAATTGGTGTCTTGATGAATAGGTTATCCGCCGCAGATTGTGGGTCCGGGTCCTCCGATCCAGACGACGGAGAGTGGCCAAGGTGCGCACCCTTGTGGACGAGTTGTCGTTTGTCTATCTATCTTTGTAGGTCTTTTGTATCGTGTATGTGGACTAAATGTTGAAATCACTGCACTATCACATGTGTGCGTGACTGGAAACATTGCGTGTTGTGTATTGCTGCGTTTAGGACCTCCTGGATGCAACTTGTTTGTCTTTCACATTCCGAACGACATGACTAACCAGGATCTCTTCAATTACTTTGCTACATTCGGCAATGTGATTAGTGCTCGTATCATGGTGGAGAAAGAGACTGGCAGAAGCCGTGGCTTTGGTACGCGATGGCAGCATTTTTACCGTTTCAGTTGACCGCAATAAAGGATGATTCCTGCATGAACTGACTTGCTGTTTCTTACAGGTTTCGTGAGCTACGACAATGCTCCGTCGGCGGATGCTGCCATTAAAGGTATGAATGGCTTCCAGGTTGGCCGCAAACGCCTGAAAGTGCAGCACAAGAAGGAGAAGTGCCAAGGTCCTATGTTTGGCGAAATGTCTGGACACATGGACAATAACGGCAATGACATGGCTGGTCAAGGCCCAGGAGCTGCTTCGCTGCCCCCGGGCAACTAGAGCGCTCGAGAAGAGAAGACCCGTAACTGCCATTTGGTAGAGCTTGTGTGGGGGAGGGGTCGAAAAGAGGCGGAAAGAAGAACAGGTCTGTTTACGCGGAAAGGAGCTGAGGAAAGTTTAGGTGGTCTGACAAAGGTTGTCTGTTTCCTTCAGTATGAAGCAAGCCCAAGCTTGGACGATGAGGAGGACGGAGACTGAAAGTGCAGCAGGAAAGACAAAGGTGTGGGGTATAGCGGAATCGGTCGGCCGGAAGTCGGGTTTTTATTCAGGCAGCAAAGAGGAGAGCGGGGATTGTGCTCGCGTTTTGTGTTCCCAAGATGCATATTCGGTGGCGTTTGACCCCGTTAAGGGTTGTAGGTACTTGGCACATATGAGCGTTAGCAAGCAGTGGCGTCGCCGACCTTGTAAAGCAATGATCTGTTGGACCGCTTTCGTGTCAAGGCCCGTTGTTGATTTGTCACGCAGTTGTACCGCGACCGCAGCACTACGATACTGTTGCCCTGCACTGTCGACGACTGAGTCGATCTGGTAGTGATGACATGCTCAAAGCTATACCATAGTCGATCTGATGGTTGTCACGTAGCCAGGGTTATAACGAAGCCGATCTGGTGGTTGTAACGCGACCAGAGTTATAACGGAGTCTGTCTGGTAGTTAGAACATGATGAACCCATTTGCGTTGCTTCGGCTTGCGGCAAAATGTTTTTACCGTAAGCAGCATGTGGTTGTGGTCAGCGCAGAGCTATTTATAGACATGTCGTCATCCTCTACCACAAGCTCCCGATCAAGTGGGACGGCTCCAGCATTTTCATCCGCCTTGTAGAAGAGGCACCACAGGATCTTCGTTGTGCGACACGTTGCCCGCGCAGGTGGGACGATCGTTTTCAAGATGCGGCAGCTGGCCATTGAAGTGCCAGCCAAGATTCGGGCATCAACATCAATGACGAGCCGTGTCACGCTTGTCGTCCTGCCGATTCGTGTTCGTTGATGGGACGACCACCACCAGCCATACTTGGCTCGCGCTTGCACGCTGTCAGCAGCCACAGAGACGACGTCGATGAGAGTCCTTCAAACATCTCACGTGAGCATGTGCATTGAGTACTACTGCAGAAGGGACTGTAGTGACCATTCGATTATTTGCCGTTATCGGCGACCAAGCGAGAGTACACAAAGCTGAGAGTGCAGCGTTGCGTGGCCAAGTGCTGATCGATGCATTGCATAGTTAAGTCGCGATAAATGGCTTGCTGCGAGTGGATCCACGACACATGCACGAAAACAAGGGATGGCAGGAAGCACAGAGCGTCCTAGACAGCGTCCAATAAGAGCTTGCTTTTGGCCACAGACTTTTTGCGTCGTCTCTGCTGTGTAGCCCTGACTTCATATGATGCGCGGTAGGAGCCAGGCGAGCATGATATATGTACCCCACAGCTGCGCAAATGAGATCATGATTTGACTCTTGCCGCGAGGAGCTTGTCGTCCTACAGTAATGTTTTGGTTCCTGTTATGAAATAGCAGTCGCAGCTGGCTCACACATTGTCGCTACAAATGCTATGCCAGCAATCCATCATGCTTGTTAACAGCCGCTGCGGGTGCAAACCGGACATCCTCAACCCCACGTGTCGAAGTCAATGCCCAGCCGTGCTACAGCGGCGCGCCGTACTCAGCGTAATGTCTCACTTGACGGCATCAAGTTGTCGTCACAGCGAACGGGCGACGATCGGCTGGTGGAAATGCGTCTGCTGGTACTACCGAGATTTCTAAGATGACACAATCTTACTTTTTCGGGCGTGGTAGTCTTGGCTTGACGCACACACGGACCGTCCATACTTGAGGTGCAGGAAAATGGCCACAAGAGGAACTGACTGACATGCACAAATCAACGAGGCCCGCATTCGCTGAAGCCTTGATGTCCAATTTGCACCACACAATTCTCCATCGCTGATTGTTTTCGAGAGGAAGATTTACACATCACTTATTAGTCATAATCGCAACATACGTGAGCAATGCTACATCCCACAACTTGCTGCGTGTTGGGTACGACCCTGCTGCTCTGTACATTACTTCGTCCTTGATCTATCCATGAGTAGAGTTCGGCGGAGCTTCCATCGAAGAAGCTCATGTTGTCACAAGCCGCACCACTGTCGATCGATTTTTGCCACGAATTAACAACCTTCTTAACAAATTGATTGATAGCTTTGTGGCTCTGCCGGCAAATGCGTCAAACATAGTGCATTCGGCCTGCCGCGCGGCCTCGACCTTACGTCGCTCGGCGTGTAAGGATGCTAGCTGATCTTAGGACAGGAAATAGATCCGGATGCCATGAAACCGTGCCGATCGTAGTAAAGTCGTAGGCAGCTGGCCTCGTGATCGTTGCCTGAGCACCAAGCGGATTCAACAGGTAACGCCATTTATGACTTTGGTCAAAGTGCATGAAGGCTCGTAACGTTGCCTAGTCCTGTTATACTCCAAGAGCTGCAAATGGCAAAACTGACGTTGTCCTTCGCAACTGCGTAGCTTGAGATAGGTGATTTATGCCTATCTGGGACTTGGCTTGCACGCAGTCCCACTCGCCGGTTCCGCTGTGCGGAAACCGAAAAAGCGTTGGCATCTTGTTCTTCACCAGCTCGAGCTTGATACTAGGAATCTGGTTCCGTGATAGTGAACTGAAAGCAGACTTATGCAGCTGTGCGGGTAGAACAGCGCTGCTCGAGCGTTCAGTTTAGGCTACAAGGCGTCGCTCGAGATTAAGAGTGACATGGGCATCCTTTACAAGTAGAGCCAACCTTTTCTTTTGTGCTTGTAAAGTGCTTGAGAAACCGAGTGCAGATGCTGGCGAGAAGGCTAGCAAGCCATACCGCACCGCAGCATAAAGTAAGTATATAAAGAGTCACAAGAAGCAGAGAATTGAGCTGAATAGCTATCTTCAGATCACAATGGAGCAGACGACGTAGGAACAGTTACTCAGCTCCGATCAGCCTCATGACAGAGATTCAAAGTCGAGCAAATGTGCTCCGAATAGAGCCCGCGCGAAATTGCTGACGGATTGGGAGCCTCGCGCATTCTTCAGCTTGCCATGCGAGATGGCTTTCTTTGTGTCCTGACTCGCTTCCTGGAGAAAGGATCAGGAAACAATCGATATGCGAGTACATTTCAACAAGCATGCAAAGAGATGCTACAACATCCTCGGCATGCTGAGAATTGATAAGAAGAAACGCAACCACCAGCGGATGCAAGCTGCCGGATTCACGCGCAAATGTCGCAACATGTTACAATCGAACCTGCTCCAATGCAGCTGCAGTTGCAATAAGATGTGACAGTGCATTCGGTCCAAGAGCATCTCCTTCCAACACAATGCTATAAATTATGTGAAGCTGTAGTATTACATTTCGAAATATATTAAAGCAACAGGTGACCGCTTTGACCTGTGACAGTGGTCTCAAACTTCCTGCACACCGCGTGACCATACTGTAGCAAAAGCATGGATCAGCTACCAGTTCATCAAATGGACTCATCGATGCCTGCAAACTGACGCGAGTGCCTACCTGGTCGAGTCTTTCGTGGCACCCTCGAAAGTCCACTCGGTTTATCCACCAAGCTTTGCAGTGGGGTCCACACCATCCTTTGTGCCTCGTGGGGACAAACTAGATTGCAACAGGCATCATCTTCATCGCCAGCGTCAGTTGAGCTAAACGAGCTGTGACGCCGCTCTTCACTTCGTAAACATGTCTCGCTGCACCAAGTGGTGTTCTCGATGCGTATCCTCCATTTACACACTGCGTATAACACCGCAGCAATCACTCTATAGCATTACTTCTCGCACAACACAATGCAGAAATTTCCGTCAAAGCCCAGTGATATCGTACGCTGTAGCGATGTGGTCGTAACATGCTAGAGCAGGTGCGAAAACTGAGTCTCAGGGAGGAACTTGCACCGGCTTCAGCTGTCGCTCCAAAACAACACCACATTAGAGCTCCCGAATCGCTCACTGTGTTTAGGGCGGAAACACGGGCGTCTTTTCTCTCGTTCTCGATCCGGCTTTGACTTCCTTAGTCCCAGTTCCGATCGCTGGTGCTCTTGTCCAGCTGCGGGCAAGGGAGGCAGCTCGGACAGGCAGGTTAGATGAGCCGGAGGGGAGATGCGCTGATAATCCTGCAAGACTTGGTATCGACGATTGCTTGTACCACCGTCGCTCGTAGAAAAAGGGGAACTGATCCAGAGGGCCAGATAGATAGATGCCCAGTCGCTCACTCGCTCAGTCGCTTTCTCCGTCAGTCATTCCAGCTTTTGCCTCACCTCGGACAAGTGCCTCCTCCTTCCGCTTACCGTACCACTATCCGACAATGGACGCGTTCTTCCAGAAGCTCGCCAGCAGCCTACTCTTCTCATTTGAACCGACGAAGCAGCCCAAGCCCGTGCTGCTCGCATCCGGGAGCCCTCCTCTGCACCAGAAAAACGTCCAGCCTCAAGAACCTCAAGAGCCTCGTGACCTCCCGCGTCGTCGCATCGCCCACTGGGACAAGAAGCGCGAGAAGTGTGCCAACTGCAGCCACATCTACCTCAAGACGCTGAGCCAGCATCCGGGCTTCTGCTCCGTGGACTGCAAGTCCAACATGGTCTACCTCAAGAAAGTGAATCGCACGATCCTCGCGATGAAGGACGCTCTGCACGAGCAGCGTCTTCAGCAGCAAGACGAGGAGAGGACGTCGCTACCGCAGCAGCAGCACTCCTTGGAGCAGCGAAAACGTGAGGCGCTGCTGGACGACGAGCGGACCGTCCAGTGCCAAACGTACGCCGAGTTCGGGCTCGACTCTCGTATTCTCGATGCCAGCCACGTCGAGTGGGCGTTTAGCGCCATGTATTAAAGTGCGGACGCCGGGAAATGGGCACACGCTATAGACGCTACAGTCGCTGTAAATTGATGTATACTAGAGCCATGGAGCAAAGTAAAATTGGCTAATGTTAAAATGCAAATCATGTTCATGACCAAGTACGTTGTGCCGCTTATACGATGGATGTGAACTGGACGAACAGGAGGAGGATGACAATGACAAGAGGCAGCACATAATAGACGTGCTGGAAATACTCTGACGTCTGTATCACACGACGGTCTTGGTCCTTGACAAAAGCGGGCTGGCTACCGCTTTCCAGCGCAATCCAGAGACTACCAGCGGTAGGTGTATCATCTCCTAGAAGCTCCAAAGCGTCCTTCACCGCCTGCCCAGCGTCTTCGTCAGGGAAGACGTACACTGTTGCGGGAAGGTGCGGGCTTAATACGCTTGTAGAACGCCATGGCACTAGGCCTCGCTGAGGAAAGCAGACGACTCCACCTTCTTGAAGCACTGCATTGGGTTTGCCTACGCATGGACATGGGCCATACTTAAGATCAGCGGGAACGACAAACCCTCTAGAGCAAGTGTGGGCATCATGGGCTCATGGACTTACCCTGACTGTCCTCGGCCCACCTCTCGCGTGCTAGCGATACGCGTACCAGCATCGACTTCACAAAGTCATGTTTTAGGTAACGTGCCGCCATCTCCTTTGCTCCAGGTTCCCGATCATATAAAAATGCAACGCAGCTGATTGCACCACGAATATAACCAAGCGGCTGAGGAAAACGTCGTCAATACCTGTTTCTGCATAGATAACAAAAGCAAACTTACATCCCCAAAAGATGCCGGAGACTGCGCAGGTGTTAACGACAACAAGTTCATGTGCTGGACTTGAGTGTCGTCTACGACATTCAGCACGGCGACAGATTCTTCTACCCGGCGGAACAATGACTTCAAGTGGTTCTCCACTTCGTCCATGCAAGTATCAGCCACGTCCGTTGCTGCACTCGTCACATCCATAGCAATGCGTGCTAGCGAAATGGGCTCGTTCATGTCGACGAGCGTGCGATACTGCTTAAACTTGACATTCGTCAACGGAGTTTTGAGCACCGCCGATACCATGCGCGCCTTGTTGACATCGGTCACATCGTACCAGCACTGCAGTTCGAATCCACCTTTCGGAGATACGATTGCCAGATAATGAACGGGATCGACGAAAGTCACACTTGCGTGGAGCGCCACCGCCTCTGCGGTAGACCGGAGATAAGGCACTACCCGCGACGCATTGTCTCTAGTCGAAACTACATACAGTCCAAGTACGAAGATACCCCCAGGCAGCAGGCGATCCACTTGTTGAGCAACTTCTTGCACCCACTCGACCGACACGTCATCGAGTCTGGTCAGGACGTCACTGCTTTCACTCTCGGATGGAATTGGCACCACTGCAAGCATGACATCTCCTGCATTCGAAGAGCTCACTTGACCCACCAGCAGACCCAATTCAAAAGCAGGCTTCGCAGTCCGAGACCAGAACTTGACCACTTGGTCATCGACGATCACTTGACGAGGACCGTCCATGGTGTTTCGTGCGCGGGAGATGCTGGACGAAGAACAGGAAGAATGCGTAACTCCGCCCGCGTAGCGACAGGCCTTACCTTGTGCTCGACCAGAGGCGCAGATAAACTATTATAGCGGAGACCGATTGGCTGTTTGTGTGAAGTAGGCGTGGTCAAAAATCGACGTATGGCACTTTTCTGGATGATTAAACCATCCGGATAGTTCGGGCTCTTTCTTTCTTGTCAAGTGAATTGAAAGCCTGTCGTGCGTTGTTGCGTAGAGAAGATACCATGTGTAACGGTGCTTGTCCCGCGTGATCCTCAAGAACGCGCGCTACCTACTAGACTTTCGCATCCATCACATGGGTGATCGCTGTACAGATTTCGTCACGCGAGCCACACCCTGTTGCCGCGTTCCCTGGTGACGAGAACTTCATTGACTTCATACCACCTGCAAGTCACGAACTAAGGCGGATAGCAAACGTGTTCCTACTTGGCTAAAATGATACCAGTCGCCACAAAGCGTTTCGAAGATTTTTAGATTGCGCAGCACAGGGCGGTCATCCACGTGGTTACTTGCATCGGCGAAACCACCACGTAAGCTCAGCTGCTGTCGTTGGCGACAGCGTATGAATCAAGTAACGCGATCCTGGTCGAGAGGAATCGCGAACTGACAACAACGCGTGCTGCAATACAGTGCGAATTTGACGCATGCTGCTCACGGCGCTCGGAGAGTCCCACCGCGCCGCTGACGGGATCACTTACAGGTCCAATGTGAATCACACCTCAGACAGATGCACATTTCACGAGCGTGATAGTCGTCGTCATGGTCTCGAATAGACGAAAGCGAGACAGACCTGCCAACCACCCCGAATAATGGACTGGTCAAGCAAGATGAACGTAGGCAAAATGGAGCACCGTAGCATAAGCAAAGTGTTTCGAGGTGGGAACCGTCGTGCCGCGAGTGGTCAGGCAAATTATCGCGGATGAAGATGTGTAAATTCAGGAGCTACTCTCTCGATAAGGGCGTGACGATCGAAGTAGCGTTGCGTAGACATTATGGATCAATCTTTTCTCGTTCGCTGATCAAGTTGCCTCGATATTGTTAGCGCGCTACCCACTGGTGGTAATTTCGTACCTTGAATGAAGTCATAAAGGGCCTACGGCATAATGCCCTCCGGATAGCGACGGCATAAGCGCACAATGACTGACGTCGTGGAGTAAGCAGGAAATCGCGGCTCCCATGCCGGGACAGCACCGCCTCAGCGTACAATATATCGAGAGACAGCAAACGTCACAAGAAGTTGCAAAGGACAGCGGCATTCGTTCTTGTGTTGGAACGGTCCGATGACGTGTGATCACTCTAGACCGCGCAGGTTCAAACCAAAGCTGGTGTGGGGATGGACTTGGCACCAGAACAAGCTACATCTTCGAGCAACGTTCTCATGAATGACTGCTGCGTGCTCGTACTTGTTCGTGCTCAAAGGTCGGACCAAGCTAGTCCAGATGCGACAGCAATTTTTTAGAAGGACCCGAATAGCGTGGCTACATTGAGACCCTCCTGCGAGCTGTGTATTACGTGTCGTCAATGTTCGCTGTAATAGCGGCGACAGCCTACGGTCTCGTACTCTTTTGCAGGTATGATACGCACGTGGATAGAATGTTTTGCCGAGCTCATGAACCATGCCGTCTGTGTGCCCTTTAGCTTTCAACTCGTCGCTGGCGCCAGCTATCGCTTACACAGAGCTTCTCAACTGCTACAAACTCGGCTTTTCGAGGATCTGTACCATTCACGTGTGATCGATTCTGGACCGGGACCTATCTCACGAGCGCCCTACAGTCCCTTTACGCCCGGGCGCCAATTGGATCGAGTCTCGATACGTCGACGTTTCAATGCGAAAGAGGTATTCCGGCTTTGCGATGCCTTCGATTTTTCATCGAGTATCCCGAGCAGAAAGAACGAGCTCACCGTCGATGGAGAAGACCTCGTACCGTCTCCGTGGATTGCGGCAAAACATTCAGCGGGCAGTCGACCTTTGGGCGTTGGATAGTGCACACACTTCAAGCAGAACTGTAGTGATACCGCGCACTTTGCAAAACCGATCTCTCGTGAATCAATCCGAATCAGCGTGGGGGTCTGTGAACATCGCTGAGGAAACTATGCGGCCTAGTGTCAACAGTCATGACACAAACTGCACCCCGATCTGATGGCCGTCAGTGAGTATCAATGATTGATGCAACGGTGGACGCGAGGCAAGTTGTCGATGGTCTGCTTTGGCAACGCAGCCGGCGTGCGGGAAAGAGAGCCGCGCCGAACAGGTTTTGGACTAGTGTATTGCGAACAATAGTCAAATCACTACCTAGCGTTGTTTCAGCACGAACCTGGTTGAATTCGTCACATTATACTTTTTACGGCATTTCCCAGATGGTTTGTCGGTGGAAGGCATGGTTATTCAGCTGTTCACCCGTTACCAATTACCGGTTTCGGCCCCCGGGGGGGTTCGAACCCGCAATCAGCGACTTGGTAGTCAACTTAATGCGCCACTACACCAGGGGTCTACCCCTTCAGTACGAACCTGGTGGAAAAACATCCTCAAACACTACAACTAACGTTGGGATAGGAACCTGCACGATCGTAATGCCGACGTAGATTGCGATATATCGTGACTGCAAGCACTAGTCTTGTTGGCTTTCTCCTTTTCAAAGCCGGAAATCTCTCAGCTTTACTAAGGCAAAACGTATAACCAAACACACGTGCTGATATTTCTCCATGCGGTGCATCACTTACAGCGTGGCGAACATATAGCTACACATCGTGTGTGGCCTCGAAACGTATATTCGCCAAGACACTTCTCGGTGTTGGAATGTGTTGGCACTGCCTTCAAGTCGTGGCCTAATTTGTTCGGAAATCACTCCAGGTATGCACTTTGTGACTTAAAGATGACTCTCTACAAACTCACCAGGGGTTGCTGCTTGTTTTACCTCGGCGGTAAACAGTCCTCGACACACAAAGTGCAATGTTGCTGTCGATTTACTGACAGTAAGCCAATGCATATTGTGCAAGTAAGAGGTCAGTGACCAGCCCCATAACGACAGCTTTGTTTCTTCGGTCCTGTTCAGCATCCCGGTCATAGGGTCTGCCAGCTTTCTAGTATCGGCCACGGTCGAGAGTTGGATCAGCTAGCACCTATTTTCTGTTCTTGTTTGTTCGGCTGTAGTAAAAACTGCACACCCTCACACCAGCGCGACAGTTCCGTACTGTAGCGCTTTTGTACTGAATGCGGAAGACACATGCTAGTTTTTAGGGTCGAGATAACGTACGCGTGAAGACATCATACTGCGGCCTGCCCGAGCATTGGGACGCTACCTCTCAATCTTGACCTGGTAGCAGTTATTAGCTCGCTAGTGAAACTCCGTTAGGTGACCATGACCGGTTAGCAGCGACTACGCCCAACGTAAATCAGCCAAACTAGCAGCGACTGGTCCACGTGTCAAGTGACAGCCCTTTTTCGTGATTGGGCACACGACCACTCTCGTTGACATAATACCGTGCAACATGCGCGGCCTCTGTTTTCGTGTGACAGATCGGAGCCCAACAAGAGAGCGGACGCGGACCAACTCAGGATTTCCCCGCTGTGCTGTCGATGGCCGAAGCCGCCTTTTTCTCCTGTGCTTCAACTCAAAGCTCGGCTGCCATGCTCGTTTTTGCACATACTCCCGAATAAGTACAGCCAACCCCCCCCCATCCGTTGCAAGAATCGGTCGCCATGTCGACGCCGTTTCGTTCCGTGAGTGACGATTGAACACTTTGCTCGCGTTGAAATATTCGGGAGATAAGGTGGACCGATGTCCAGACAACAAAGCAGCACCGAATCCCGCTCTTGACTGTGACTTTGCCCAGACATTCGGTGAGCTCGTTTCATTGCACGACAGTGGCGCGGAATTCAGACTTGCTTTAGGCTTGATGGAGGGAAGATAGTTCGACAGCATTGCTGTTGTAGACGGACGTTTCCAGTACAGTAGCATCACGTTGTCACGACGGAAGTAGTGAAGGTATTTCTCTATTGTAAACGGCGTGTTATTGCTTTGTACTTCTCACATCGCAATCTCTATCATGAGGCTCTAGTTTACACTTGGGTTACAGATCATTTAGTACATGGCGCTAAAAGACCACTTGGCAGTGTTCCCTTCCAACAGTCGAGGCCCGAGGTCGAAGTTAGCGAACGACTGCGTGTGCAGCAAGTTGTGCGAGGCATCGGCATCGGTCTTGGGAAAGGCCAGGTTCGGCTGTTGCTTGAGCTGCTGGTTGACTTCGATCTGCCGCAGCTTTTGCTGTGCCGTCAGCTCTTCAGTGATTGCTTGCTCTCGGACGAGCTGGCGCCCAACCACCGCGTCGTTCATGGCGCGGATGGTGCGGTTCACGTTTTCGGGGTAGATCATATTAGACTTGCAGTCCACCGAGCAGAAACCCGAGTGCTGGCTCAGTATCTTGAGGAAGACGTGCTCGCAATTGATGCACTTTCCGCGCTTGCTATCCCAATAAGCGACACGGCGAGGCATGAAGGATGCCATTTCTTCAGATGAGGTGGGCGTGGTAGGCGTGGAGCCCTCGCTGGTCTTGGATCTCTGCAGGCAGGCGTCCATTGTAGTAGAACCGGGTTTCTTGGGAACACAGAGCAAATCCGAAAGTGAACGAGCAGCTTCGTAGACACTTTTGGGTCCTGGATGCCCCGTGCACCATCTGCTGCAGCAGGATCCTGGCTACAGACTTGTACTCAGCAATGAAACACGACCATATGCAGTGGGTACCGAGACTAGACGCTCAAGACACCGTGGCGTACGGTCCAGACGTGTACTGTGCTAGCGTCGAGTAGACCATTAAGACAAGGCGCGATAGCGTCAACCAATTAGCGGCTCCTAGCGGAAAGCATAGTTCACTCGATTTATTCTAGGATCACTGGCGTACAAGACTGTCGCGTGCAGTGTTCCTGCCACTTCGCAGTCGTTTGGACCGAGTTACTATCTGTGGATCGCCGGCTATTCAGCCAGCGTTGCCATGGCAATGCACACTGCCCTGTTCTGGAGACATATTGCATACTGCTGGAGTCTGAATCAAATTTCTGGACGATATCGAGCCGAGAGTTAAAAACGTCTGAAGGCTGGGACCATCAAGCGTTAAAGCAGGCTTCATATTCTTCTCCGGATCCAGTTCTCGGTGCAGCGACATTTCTTTTGTCGAACAATCGCGGAACACGTGGCATCGTTGATCGAAGTCACATTGCAGCTGCAGCGAGCAAAGCATCAAGTGGGCGATCTGCCACGCGGGTACAGGAGATCCATCGAGATCAGGACGGCACTATCTCTTCGTTTTTTTCTCACCTGTGGTTACTCCGCAAGACTGTTCTGGAGAGACACGACTGAGACTCATTTTTTTGGAGACGACCGATTGTGTCGTCGATTGCGCGCTTGCTCATGCTCTATACTCAGCTGGTAGCCGGGCGCTTGACGACCATTTATGTACTGCAGAATGTACAGTGTACGCTGCAAGAGGCTGTGAGCAGGAATACACCGTACGGCGCTTCCAGAGAACCTGCCCGTGTGCTATGACGTTGGTGTTACGTGAAACCATTCACCCCACTGAACACTATCACACCACCGATTCCACTAGCCGGCTCCACCGGGCACGCCCAAGATTGCGCTCTGGTACGTGTTTGAGCATTCAAGTATCGCTCGAATTTTCGCTCTTGTATGCTACGCTTGCAACCAACATCTTCCGCTTGTGAGTGTTCGTTCAACTCAGTATGACTGTTGCAAACACCGCTTGGGCTTTTGCTTGGGCTGGTGACATGACGAGCAGGAAAAAACCCGTGCAAAGAAAGAGTGCCATTGTTACACTACGAGATTCACTGTTGGCAACGCGGCCGCTTCCAGATAGAGATGTTAGGACAAAGCTCCGTCATTTTTCTAACAGTTAAGAAAAGGAGCAAGCTCTGGAGCCCGCCCTTTGATACAAGTAATCCAATTCATTGAACTGGATCAAATTGCAAAATACTACACAACCGTAGACACTGAAGAATGAGAACAATACGTATGATGTCCGTATTGAACCTGCACAGTAAGGTCGGGCAACGCGATCGGTCTGTACTTATGAGCGTCCAGCATTTGCTGATGTGATCATTTTCACCTTTGATCGATTTTAGGCCGATCACGTGCGTGGGGCACGATAGTGACGTAGTCGAAGAGTGACTTCGAATCTGCCAATAATCCTACGAGAAGGGGAGAGGCGAGATCGCACTTAGTACGGGTAAGCTACATCTATCTGCGTGATAGTTACACACACACAGCAAAAGACACAGCAAAACACACAGACACACACAGATAAGTACGTTTAAAAAGTTCGGGCTTCAAACTAGCGTACACTCACTAAAAGCTTCACCCTTCGAGATCGCGAATCAATGGCACCACAAAGCAGGTTCTGTAGCAAAACGACCCTTACTCTTTTGTCGGAGGAAGACTTATAGACTCGTAGAGTCGATAAGAGCGTGCTCATAAAGGTAATTGATACATTTGTTGAACCCCTCGTTGAACGTCTGTAACGGGGTGAACCGTTACATAGCAATTTGTAAGAAATTGTTAATAGAATATAACTATAAGAGTTATATTCTCACAATATTGTCATAAGGACGAATGTTCTGCAGCACTTACGAGTAGTTCCTAATTGGTTGATATAGGCCATTATATCAACCAACGAAGACGCGCCACGACAGATGCACGCAATGAGTGGTGAGCAGATAGTTGATTTACACGTTTGTATTTAGACATAGTTAGATGAAGATAAATAGTGATTTATTGCAGACATTAACTATTATAAATACAGTTCTACTTTTTACTTTAACCAAGTACTCGCTTCTCCTTACCGTCTTCCTCTGCACGTACGAGTGTACGTGAAGCTCCGAGGCACCGCCTAATCCTGTCATCAGAATAAATAGCTTGTACTGTCATCAGTACAAGCTTGAGGGTGCCCCGTTACACCTGGTAGCACTTCGTAGTCCGTCCAAGGACCACGTTCACATCTAACATGAATATGTTAGATGATGAAGATGACCAAAGCTTTCACGCTACGCGTGACGGCTACTACCATTTGAGCGATGTCGAATGGGATGCGGTTGAACGGATGGGTTCAACCATGGGCATCCATGCTGTTAGCGTCATGCTAGAGGCTCTCAATAGAGATGCCCAACATGCTACTATCGCCAAGTTGATTCAAAATGAACTTGACGCAGAACGCGAGAAAGTAGCCTTGCTTCACCAACAAGGTTCTCAACAAGCAGAGTTGTTGAGAGAACAGGGTGCTCAACAGTTTGAACTGTTGAGACAGCAGCAGGCTGCTGCTGGTGGGTCGATGCACTCGCGTCGACCCGAAACCTTGAAGATTGACATCTCCCAGTATAGGGGCGTCGAAGAGGACTCCCTCTTGAGATGGTTTGTCGAATTAGACGACGCCATAAGGGCGCGTCGCATCGACGATGGGGAAATGCAAGTTGCATTTGCCCAGTCAAATCTGGCAGGCCGTGCCAAGCCTTGGGCTTTGGGACTCAAGTTGCACGACCCATATGCGTTTGGGTCGTTAGAAGTCTTCAAGTCGCGGCTCGGACAAACGTTTGAACCGATGAGAGCTGAGTTCAGAGCTCGAACCGAACTCTTGAAGCTCAAACAGGGTAAGCGTGATGTGCACGCTTACGCACAACATGTACGACATCTCACGAGTTGTATAAGTTCCAACCCGGTTAATGAACACACGTTGGTTTCGGTGTTCATGAAAGGTCTTGCGAATGGTCCCGTCAAGACTCACCTGTTCCGACTTGAGCTAGATTCACTAGAACAAGCCATTTCCATTGCGGAACAGGAAGACTTCAGTCTGAGACAGGCTCGCGCCAGCTCGACATCATATCGTCAACCGAGACGATATGACAACGGAGGTCCAGAGCCGATGGAACTCTGTTATGTAGAGAGCGAGAAGGCTCGCTCTACAGGCTACAAGAAGTTGCAGAAATGCAACAGATGTCAAAAGACAGGACACTACGCTTACGAGTGTAGTGCCCCTCGTCTAGTGTCTCGCAACACTGGTCGTAATGACCGTCCACCCCCGAGAAAGGGGAAGGGACGCGGGTCCGCTGTTGGTGCAAAGATGCAACAACGGGATGGACTGTAAAAAAACGGACAGGATCAGTAGGTGCGGAGCACCCTACTGGTCCATCAACGTCAAGAGAATTTGCAGGCCTCTTGACGAAGGTTGCTCCCAACACACAAACGTTGTGCGTTGCTGCTCTAGGTAATGAGATCTCACTCATTGCCTTGAAACTCGAAGTGGCAAATAAGTTGTCCCTTCGAGCTCTAGTCGATTGTGGGGCGTCCAACAATTTTGTGCGACGCCAATCACTAGAAGATGGTCACTTTAAGTTCAGTGAATGTGACACACCTCCTACGAGGATGAAGGTACGTCTTGCGACATGTGCATCCGTAATCGTCCTGAAGCGTATAGTGAAGATTCACTATACGCTAGAAGATACCCAATATGACGATGACTTTATCGTATTGGAATTGGATGACAAATTTGATGTCATCCTTGGAATGCCGTGGCTCAGAAGGTACGAACCACGGGTAACTGGCAACATCGAACAGTAACGATGCCTGCCGCTTGTTCATCAGATGGCCATCTGATGAACGTTTTGGAGCAACCACAAGCGTGTGGATGTACTTCGAGTGAGTGCGATGGCCTCACTTGTGGTACGGTCGTTAGTACGACTGCCCAAAACCTTAGTGTACCAAACGGTTGCACGTTGGAGCAAAGTTCCGGCGGCTGTGAGGAAACACAGGCTGCGCCGAAGGTCCACCACTCGAATAAGTCGAGTGGACCGGTACAAAGATGTATCCCTAGCGGGGAACATCTAGAAGAGAAACCATCGATCGCTCAGGTTAAGCGAAACGATTATCCTCGATCGACTGGAGAGTCTTTCGTAGAGGATCTCGATGTGGTTGCGCAACCACAGCTAGAGGAAGCAAAGGGAATAAGTCCCGATATTACAAATACGGCGGAAATAAGTTCCCCGAAACCCGAGGGATTAAGTCCCCGGGAAGCCGAAGGAATAAATCCTTTGAGGCCTGAGGGAATAAGTCCCCAGGAAATGACAGAGACTTTGAATGTCATAGTCAATGATGGATCAAGTGTAGGCGCTTATACACTTGATCTGATTGCGCCTCCGAAGTTGACTTCGGAGATCACACAGTTGCCAGCGCTCGAGCATAAAATGTTCTTGCGTGATCTGTGTAGTGACAAAATCAAGCAGATCTGCGTACTCGTCGCTGACGACGAGTGTGTAGCCGACATATGGTCAGCAACAATGTTTACTGAGAACGAGAGAGTTTTCAGTAGTTCATCGATGGACGAGAGTGTCCTCGATTAAAAGACACGAGTTGAGCGATATGACTCCCAATCGTGGGAATCGCTCAAGACAAATCCTCTCTAAAAAGATTTGGTTGAATTCAAGGATGTATTCCCTGAAACTGTTCCGTGCGAATTACCGAAGGATAAAGGTATTCGACACGAGGTCGAGCTTAAACCAGGCTCGAAGTACTGTGTCATGAAGCAGTGGCCACTGCCTCGTGAACAAGTACTTGCGATCGACAAGTTCTTTGCCGATCGTTTAGCAGCGGGCCATGTGAGGGAATCAACTTCCCCACATTGCTCTCTGACCTTCTGTGTGCGAAAAGCAACAGGAGGGTGGCGGATAGTGCATGCTTTCAACAAATTGAATGCTGCAACGGTACCGGCTCAGACGCCGATACCAAGGAAGGACGTAATCATTGATGGTTTGTCAAAGAGTACCATCTTTTCGTCCATGGATTTGATGGATGGCTTTTATCAAATCCTTATGCGAGAGCGGGACCTACCCTTATACCGCAGTTAGCACGCCTAGCGGTATGCTCTGGGAATGTCTAGTAATACCACAAGGGCTTAGTAATGCCCCTGCCACGTTCAACAGATGTGTATCACATCTGTTGAGACCAGTACGAGAAGTCGCACCGAGTTATTTCGATGACGTATTCATCCATAGTCGGGTTATGGATGTAAAGTCCGACGTTGAGGTTCACAGGTACCACGTCCGACAGGTTCTTACAATCATGCGAAAGCATCAATTGTATGCAAACCTCAAGAAGTGTATATTTGCCGCAAGCGAAATACCACTTCTTGGGTGCATCGTTGGTAAGAACGGTGTACGTCCTGATCCCGAAAAGATCAAGGCGATCACCGACTGGCCTGTGCCGGTTGATGTCAAAGGTCTTCGAAAATTCCTTGGGCTAGCGGCGTATTTGCATAAGTATTCACGCAATTACGCCGAGATGACTGTGCACCTCTCTCGTTTGTTGAAAAAGAACGAGAGGTGGTTATGGAACGCTGAATGTCAGCGCTTCTATGATAATATCAAGCAGAGCTTGATACAATCCCCAGTCCTAGCAATTGCCGATCAGGACAGGCCATTTCATGTGGTCTGTGATGCCAACGATTTCGCAATCGGCTGTGCATTAATGCAGTACGATCTTGAAGGCGTTGAACGCGTCGTCTGCTATCAGTCGCGTCAGATGCAACCAGCTGAGCGGAACTATCCAGTGCATGACAAGGAACTCCTTGCCATGAAGTATGCACTCGCGAAGTTCAGAGTCTATCTATTAGGAGATAGACCCTTCATTGTTTACAGTGACCATGCGTCGTGGCGCACGGCAGTAAACAGCCCGCACCTTTCACAACGAATGGCGCGGTGGTTGTCATTCTTTGCAAAATGCAACTTTACGGTCGAGTACAAACCAGGACTACTTGTGTCGTCGCTGATGCACTCTCACGTCGGCCCGACTTTGAACAAGTCGTGAAACCCAACAGTGAGACAGCCACTGTTGCGGTTATGACGTCCTCAGTCCCATCTTCAACGTTACATGATGATGTGAGGCGGGCATACGCCCAAGATGGTGAGATTGTGAAGTTGTTGACACATCACTCACAGCCATCTCGAGAATCGTTGAAACGATTGTCGTCTGCGTATCGATCTGCACTAGATCGATACACTACTCGCAACGGTTTACTGTATCATACAGCCGTTACTGGTGACACACCACGTGTTGTCATTCCAGATGATACTGATCTGCGTTTGCGGATCATGTTCGAGTATCACGATGCTCCTATTGGAGGACATCATGGCGGGGAGAAACACATTTCAAGGTGAGTCGAGACTTTTACTGGCCCCGCCAGTTATAGTTTGTGCGCAAGTATGTTCGCGCATGCGAAGTCTGTCAACGAGTGAAGTCAAGTCCTTCACTACGTGCACCTTTACAGCCTCTACCAGTTCCGGCAGAGTGCTGGGAATACATCTCAATGGATTTTGTCTTCGGGTTACCCAAAGCCGCTTGAGGTAATACGGGTATTCTCGTATTTGTTGACAGATTCAGCAAAATGGTACACCTTGTGTCTGTACCAGAGTCAATCACAACATGTGGCTGTGCTTGCGTCTTTATCGACACCATCTTCCGACTTCATGGGCTACCCCGTGAACTCGTATCAGACAAAGATCCATGCTTCACAGCTGATTTCTGGCGCTCCGTGTTCAAATCACTCGAAACGCGCTTGAAGATGTCGACATATGATCATCCAGAGTCAGATGGTCAGACGGAACGAGCCAATCGTGTCCTCGAAGAGATACTTCGAGGATACGTACACTCCTGTAAGAGTTGGAGTGAGTTCTTGCCAATGGTAGAGTTTGCCACAAACAACTCGGTGCATGCGTCCACGACACACACACCGTCTTACGTAAATGGCTTGAGCCATCCGCATGTACCCACCTTACTCGAGTGTAACTCTGGTTTAAGGGGGGGAGGGACTCGCGCGAGCAAAAACCGATTTGGTTCACGCTCATCACGCTCTGATGAAGAGGTCATTGCGTTTGATGCCGATATCGACAACATCGACATCGAAGAAGATGATGCCAGTGAGAGCGAGGAAGCCCTCACTGAAGTAACGATTGATGTCGCTGCAGTGCACTCACAGCGCACTGAATCTAACGAGTCAGCAGATGAGTTCATACTGGCTCGTGAAACGGTAGTCCGTTTCGAGCAAGACTCCATCGCCGAAGCGGTGGATAAGCAAAAGCAAAACGCAGACAAGAATGGAAGGGCAAACACTCTTTTATTTAATAAAGGTGACTTAGTCCTAGTGTCTACGGTTAATCTACCATAGCACGTAGTGACTAACGTGGGTAGCAGTAAACTACTACCCAAGTACATCGGTCCATTTCGTGCATTTCATCGCCTAGGCAACGCATACACGATCGAACTGCCACATAAGTTGCGAACGCATCCCACGTTTTACGTTGGTCGGCTTAAGCCGTACCATCAGTACGCTGTTTCTTCCGATGAAGAACGCCCTTGCGCTCAAGCATCTCACAGAGAGCCTTGTGCTCCCGATGGTAGGCATCAAAAGGGTCTGAAGAGCAGTCATCTCAGCCCGAAATCAGTCAATATCCATACGAGCTACCCTTAGCTCGTTACGCAGAGATGTCAAAGCTCTGTCGTTCTCAAGCTGAGCAAAAGCATACTCAGCTCGATGCGTCAAGACGGTGTCCGCCAGTTGAAGATGCCTGTCCCGCCCATGCTCGGTGTCGTTGCGTAACGCAAGAGTTACGCGATCAAAGAAGCTCTCGGAGACACACGCTCGCCCACGATAGCTTGGAGAGCGTCTTTCCTCCTCCTCAACCTCCATTAGAGGACTCTCGCGGTGGCCAGCGCTATCTAGTTGAGCAGCTGTTGAACCACCGCGATGTGAACGGACGTCGGACGAGTTACCTCGTCCGGTGGTGCGGTTATCCCCCGTCCTGGGATACTTGGGAGCCCCGCTCCCAACTGATGATTGACGTACTGGGCCTGGTCGAGCAGTACGATGCGACACATCCTGTGCCGCAAAAGGACCGCCGGAGAAAGTCTTCCTGGCACGGTCGTAAAGGGATTTCAGGTTGTCAATCCCTTCATACATCTCACTAGAGATACGTACGCGCCACCACGGGCTATTTTTTTAGGGAGGTAAGCCTCCTTAGGTGCTCGTGCAGAGTTGTTCACACAACATGGGCAAGAATCTCCCCAGGAGAGACAAGGTAACCCATTCTCCCTAGACAGACGATGCAGCTTGTAGCGTGCACCTGTCGGGGGGTTTTTCTTAAACTTATCACGAGCTTTGATAAGTTTGTCATTCCAAGCGTCACGATCTACATACTCAAGGTTATGGATGTAGGCGTTCCATGCTTAAAGCAGTGAGGGACCATCACAAGTGTGTTTACCACTGTACCATCGATGTCTAAAGAAAGCATCGATGAAGAATTCATTCTCAGTGCGATAGTTTTTCGCGCTGGGGTCAAGGTGATGAATCCTTGACGAATCGAACAATCGTGTTCGATAACGATCACTCGTCGTCGCCGACAAGTGATCCATGACAGATTTGGGAGGCATCCATGCCTTCTTCTCAGGAGCGAGACGCAAGACATTGCGGTCCCGCTCTTCCTGCGATGTGCCGACAGAAGGACTGACACCTCGTTGCGAAGTGGTGTCCATAGGAAAACCGACACCACTGTGAGCGCCCGAGTCTTGCGACTTCGAGCGCCTTCGCTTCGGCGATGGTTCATCTGATTCGTCAGATGACCCAAAGATGCTACGACGCTTAGCATCATCCATACCACGCTTGGCAAGAGGCTTGGTTTCAACCGCCTTCGGTACAGATCCCTCTTCCGTATCAGGAGAGTATGAGACACCGAGCTCATACTCTGTGAAGACATGAGTGTCTTCATGACGAGCGCCTGCATCACCAGGTGATACAGGCTGAGACGCTTAGCAACCGATGACACAATTGTTGCAGCGCTTTCTGCTTCGGCGTCTGCACGTATCTGTGCAGACGAGCTCCTAGCGGCCTTGTTTGCGCACCGCATGGGCTTGTTTACCATGCGATGAAATTTATGGACTGTCGAGTCGGACCAACAAGTGCAAACCCCGTCCCAAATGATTTGGGACGAGTATCCGTTTAGTCAATCAGTCACTAGAGTGACTGGTGGTTAAGGGGGGTGATGTAACGGGATGAACCGTTACATAACAATTTATAAGAAATTGTTAATAAAATACAACTATAAGAGTTATATTCTCACAATATTGTCATAAGGTCAGTATTCTGCAGCACTTACGAGTAGTTCCTAATTGGTTGATATAGGCCATTATATCAACCAACGAAGACGCGCCACGACAGGCGCACGCAATGAGTGGTGAGAAGATATTTGATATGCACATTTGTATTTAAACATAGATGAGGATAAATAGTGATTTATTAACAGACATTAAATATTGACCGATTTTTCTATTCATTTTAGCAGCTCTTTCTAGTAAACGTGAATGTAAACGAAAAACATTACCAGGATAAGCTTCTCGACCTGGAGGTATTCTTAATAATAAAGACATTTGTCTATATGCTACAGCTTGTTTTGAGAAATCATCAAAAAAAATAACAGCGTCGTGTCCAATTTCTTTAAAATACTCACCTAAAGCACAACTTGTATATGGGGCTAAATATTGTAATGGAGCTGAATCAGACGCAGTAGCTGCTACAATAACAGAAAGGAACGTTGCCTTTTTTTCTCCTATAATTTTTTTGTTATTTCCGCGATAGTAGATCTTTTTGGCCTACTCCTGCGTAAATACAAAATAATTGATTATTTTTTACCTTTTTTAAATGAGTTTATCTTTGATTAATTATTGTATTAATAGCTCTTTAAGATTTACCTCTTTGTCTATCCCCAATATTTAATCCTCGTTGACCACGACATATAGGAATTAAACTATCTACAGCTTTCAAACCTGTTTGTACAGGTTCTTAAACACTTTCTTTAGGCCAAATACCTGGAGCTTTTACTTCTACTCGACCTTCTAATTTACTATATATTTGATATAAACAATGGTTTGTTAACAGACATTAACTATTATAAATACAGTTCTACTTTTTACTTTAACCAAGTACTCGCTTCTTCTTACCGTCTTCCTCTGCACGTACCAGTAAACGTGAGGTTACGCGGCACTGCCTCATTCTGTCATCAGAATAAGTAGCTTGTACTGTCATCAGAACAAGTAGCTTGTACTGATATCAGTACTAGCTCGAGAGTGCCCCGTTACAACCTCTGCCTGAACCTGTGATTGATGCTTAAATAAGTGAAAGTACCTCTCCGAGGTACATTAGAATTTAACAAATAGTTGAGCAAATAACCCGGCACTTTCCAAACACTCAGTTATTGCAGCTAGTACGAGTGGCTGTAACGGAGTAGCCCGTTACATGGTGTAGATACCGGACGGTGTCAATAGAGAGGTTGTCTAGCGTGACAATTCCCTATCAAAATTATCCGGGATGGATATTATTGTAGGAATACTATCCTTTTTGTAGGATGATATCCATGCGCTGCTCAAAGATTGGTCGATAAAGACGTATCAACCGAGCGTACCATCTGCAACGGGGCACCCTTTGTCGGGGTGTCACGAAACTTCACGTACAATAGTACGTGCAGAGGAAGCTAAGCTACTTGAACGACTCGATCAAGTAAGGTAAAAAGAGAACTGCATTTAATATTGTTAAGCTATTAATACAATTTTAATCTTCATCTAATTATATTAATCTACCTTGTCGTATGACGACAACTTGCTCTCCACTCATTGCGCGCGTCTAGCAGCGATTGGTGGTAATCCATGGTTGACATGTCTTTTACATACCAATCTTGGAGCAGCGCATGAATATTATCCTACAAAGGGGATGATATTCCTTCAATAGTACCCATCCCGGATAATGTCGGTAGAATATTGTCATACTAGACCATATTCAAATTGACACCGTTTGGTGTCAATTTCATGTAACGGGCTACCCCGTTACACAGGCCGCGTGAGGCAAAGCATCTTTGGATGTTTTAAATCTCTTCTTTCTTTAGCAAGCGGGTTACCAATCATAGTATCTGGCAAATGGTGCCCAAGCAGCGGAATGAATTGGCCAAGTTAGGAATGGAAAGACAAGTTCATACGACTCTGTACAGTGATTTATCCGCAAGTAGCCTCCACTTTTTAACAAATATTAATTGCGAAAATCTGGGGCTCGTTGAAGTTCTAGTAAGTATAACAAAGAGAGGTTATCAGCTTATCTCTCTTGCCCCACGTCGGGCCAAAAATTTGTCTACAACTACAAGGGTTATTATCTAATAGAGGATTAGCTATAAGGGGATTAGCTATTAGGGGATTAGCTCTTAGAGGGTTAGCTATTAGGAGCTCTGCTGTACTACGTACCACCGTGCCGAACGGCAATTTCGAGGACCGCTTCCAGGAGGATCGGGGAGTAGCCGAACAAGTATGAAAAAGACTTTGGCACATTCGAGCGACGAGGTGTCAAACAAATGTGTCGACCGACGGACGCTGTCTACAACGCTGCCGCGATCGACCTATCCAGAACTACCTAGAGCTTTCGGACCTCTTGTGTATGTCAAGTATGCACGATAGCAACCAGCGAGCACCGGAAAGAAGCATCTGCCGTTATGGGCGCTGTGCTGTTTGCCGGCATCGAGCTACCCGGACGCACCGGAAGGGTTCCCAGTCATGTTTGGGACCAGCCAAAGTCAACTCCCGGAGAAACCGGGTCTAAACTCCTGGCTCCGCATTTATAAGAGATCTTGTACGTAGTTAACACCGTGTTATAGACCTTCTGAACTGAAAACAACGGCACGTGAACCTGGCTTCAGCGTTTCGCTTCACCAATAGTTTAGTCGGGCGCGTATATCGCAACATATTGCTTTCTTATCTGTTAGCCAGCTGCTCGTGCATGTGTCCCTTACGATTGTAACCGACACCGCTGAGTTATTTTTTTCAGCTGAGCAAGGCGATCGTTGAATCGAGAAAACGTTTCGGATTTCGACGAGGTCTCGAGGCCGATCGGAGTCAAATGGGTCAATCCTCTGACTGCAGCTCATTTTCGCCAACTTTTCAAATCAAGTCAAACGTGGTGCTAGCAACGTCGTTGTGATGTAATGATCATGGCTCGTGGTGCTGCTTTTTTCGTCACACTTGCGGCATTGAACCCAAGAGCATAAGATGCCTGTTCGTCCAATTGAGGCGATTCATTTTGTAGACGATAATAGGCACGCTCCATGTGTCGGATCAAAGGCGTCTGTTTCTGCAGCAAAAGTATCGATATCCATAACGCCCGTCCGCCGATTCGTGAGCTCCGAAAAGTCAGCCTCGAGGACAGGCGACACGACTCGAGACAGAGAAGTGGTTTTATCGTACCACGCAAGTCTGGAGAGCCACTTTTGATTTTGCTTTGCTTCAACCAGAAGTGTCCTTACTGCTGCTGTTGAACACACTTCAATAAAGTCGAGACAATGGTCGCAGCTCGCAAGATCATTATCGCAGTCAGTATCCTCGTGGCCATTGGTGTGGCCATTGGCATTATCGTTGCAGTCACAGGAGGTGGTGATGACGAAAGCGCGAACACCACAAGCGGTGGAACCACGACTCCAGGCAGCTCTGGATTGGAAAGCACAGCAGACACAAAGTCCAGCACTTCCAGTGTGACCGAGTCGGACCTGCTGGCCAACATGACGTCAAGTGGCAGTGGCTCGGCTTCGAACGAACCGACCAGCGATCCGGAAGAGGCCAAGGCTGCACTAACCATGCTCGCAATTGGAGACTGGGGTTCTACGACGGACAAGCCAGGGTCGTGTTGCAACAAGTACCGTAAGGTAGCAAACGACTCGCTCGAGATGAAGATTGACTATTGGGCCCAGATGAACGTTGCAGAGCTCATGGCTCAAGCTGCTGGTGATATCAAGCCTTCGTGCATCATTGGCCACGGTGACAACATCTACTGGAACGGCGCGGGTCCCGATGACATCGACTACCGTATGGAGACGACGTTCGAGAGCGTGTACGACCAGCCTGAGCTCGAGGGTATTCCGTGGATCAACGTGGTTGGCAATCACGATCTCGGTGGCTCTGAGTACATTTGCGGTGACAAGGACTACAACTTCCGTGAGTGCGAGAGCACGGACGAGCTCCTCAAGTACTTGAATCTGAAGTTTTCACTGCAGCAGGAATACACGAGCGCGAACAACGATCGCTGGAAACTGTCGGACCATTACTACGTGGAACACGTCGAGGATAACGGCGTGTCGGTTGACATTTTTAACGTCGACACTAACTTTGCCGACTCCCACGGTGTGAGGCAGATCTGCTGCCAGTGCTATGGGTACGTGAAGAAGAAGAAGCTGAGCGAGGCTGAGGCTAAGAAGTTGGGCACCACTTGCAACGACCGTATCCCGGGTGATGAGCTGTGCGCGGGCGGCGATACAGCAATGTACAATGCTTGCTCCGATACGATCAAAAAGTGGTGGGACGATTCGCTCGTTCAAGTGAAGAAGGATTTGAAGGCGTCTACCGCTACGTGGAAGATCATTAACTCACACTACTCGCCGCACTTCCACATGAGTGAAGACAAGATGAAGGAGTGGTTCATGATCACGAAAGAGGGTGGTGCTCACGTCTGGTTGAACGGCCACACGCACGGCTTCAACCACGATATTAGCAACTGGGGCACCCACTTTTACGAGAACGGCGGAGGTGGTGGGATTCAGTCCGAGACGTCGGGCATGCCTCCTGAGGTTGCTGAGAAGTACGTCGAGCACGCATGGATAGCCCCTGGTAATCCGTACGGGTTCTTTATGCTGCACTTCTCAGAGGATTGGCTCAAGACGGAGTTCGTGACGTTTGACACCTCGTGGACTTTCAGCGTGAAGAAAGACGAGATTGTGAAGGGAGGGTACCAAAAGGGCCATTGCTGGCACATTCCGGTGACTGTCGGTACCGGGAAGGAATGCGCCACGAGTCTATAGACACTGGAGATTCGAGCTTGGTCTTCGTAACGCAGTTCTGCATTGCGTCGGGAGCTTGCACCGAATGTAGACATCGGTAGTCTACACTCGACCACAGTGGCGCAGTTCTAAGCTGTAGTGCATGTATCTTTTGGCTTAGAATGACTTCTCGTTCAGCTTTGCACGACGCGATGAAAAGTAGGAAGCTGTGCTGTGTACGGTTAACCATAACTCGATGCCTGAGCTCATTTTTCATCACTGTGGCCATTTCGAGAGAACACCTGCTACTACTGCTTGTCCAGCTGCAACACAAAGGTGGTAGTCACTACTTCAAAGATGGTCGATGTATCGACAGTCAAAACCATTGTCTCTTTGTGTTGTCTCTCACCGCTGAAACCACTTTGTCGACTCTATCTTCGCTACGACTTTGTCCGGATTAATCCAGAACAATCAGCTAGTCTTTTTTCGGAACAAGCAGTGCTGCTGGTCAAAGGACCACGTCACGGTAGAGAACGAGCACAACTGGCAACACTAGTTTTGCTCGCCCATTTATTCAGAGAAGCCTGTCCTGCCAATGTCTCAATGTGTTGCAGAGAAAGAGGTCTTTCATCAGAATTCACATCATTCGCTACGAAGAAAGTGAAAGACGCGTTAGCGAGTTTGCTGCAAGATTCGAGCTGCAAGACAGTATTAGTGCAAGATTGTCAGAAGCGAATCACGACAATGGACATTTTCGTACCGGCAAGAACAGCAGCACCAAAGCCGTTGTCGATGTTGACTACGCCAACGCCAGGTGAGCAAGCATTGAGCATCGTCAGTAGCGGAGCCAGTCCGCCGAACGCTGCGCCGTAGCCGACACTCGTAGGTACAGCAATCACCGGCACGGACGTGATACCTCCCTGCGCAACGAATGTACAGCACCATGATCAGAAAGCAGAAGGACGAAGAAACCGTGACGACAACTAGAGCCCAAGATGGCAGCAGATTTTTCACGTGCCACTACACCAGGTAAAGCACCGTCCATCCCAGCCACGCATATGGCGACGTCCGATGCTTGCAAAATGTGCTGGTTGCGCAGCAACCGGTGGATTCCAGCCACGCCCACATCGTAGAGGCGAGTGACGCCGTAGTGAGCCAGCTCTGAAAATTCCACACACGTTGGTTTGGTCGTGCCATTACAGGTCCCCATAAATACGTACGCACCAAGAGTTACAGCAGCTTCTTCCGCGACTGGAAGATCCGATGTGCCGGCGCACAGTACACACACTGTGCGTTCCTTGCACCATTTCAAAACACCAGGTACTAAGTGCCAGCCAAACACATTGCCAATACACCTGAGACAAAAGCCGCTTCTTACCTTCTCACCAGTATCCGTAAGTCTGTTTCCGACGCCCTTTGCTCGAGATGCCGATGATGCCAAGATTCGAGGCACCTCGTAGTACGTCAGATCTTGATTCTGTCAAACACGTACGCACACACCCAATCATCAGTCGAAACTTCCGGAGCGAGAGATCTCTCGATCCAATTCTCTTACTGGGATCAAGGCACGAATTCTCGCAGCAGCCTTTGCCGTCACACGGGAAGCCATGACCGTATCGTCGCTTTTGTCCATCATCACTTTCATAATAGCTGCCACTTGGTCGGGCGTTTTGCCCTCAGCGTACACGGCTTCCGGAAACCCAGTACGAGCTTTGCGTGTTGTGTCAATCTTGGCAAACTCTTCGACTGATTCGTACGTTGCAGCAATTGAACTGCATTGCTCCGCAGCCGCTTGAGGTGACACTTTTCCATCTGCTACACGCTGCAGCAGCTGTAGCACCATCGACATCTTGTCGTCTTCACCCGTTGAAAACGACGAGGTCGACAATGCTGCCACGCGGAAAGTGCTTGTCAATTGACGGTAATCGCCTCGTCTAGTTGAACCAGCTGGGAAACGCATCGAATGGAGACGATAGGGACGCAGAACGAATCTACGAAAGGTCATGGTCACGAGCGACTTGGTTGTCGTTTTTCGAAAAACGCCACGCGACGTGAGACTTTCAGATGCTACTGCAAATATTACACTGCGACTTGATCTATTGTCACAATTGAGGTATTCACGAAATGAGCTCCTCGACTGTCTGTTTGCGCTGCTCGGCGTTAGTTAATCAAGTAGCTGCATTGAGAGCACAGAATCATGAGCTTCGTGCACGACTTGAGACTCTTGAGAAGTCACAGGAAGTGGATGGGAAGCAACAGCCAGAAAAGAACGCGGCGGTGGTGGAGGCTGTTGCCGAAACTTTAACGTACTCGCGATTTTCGAAAGTTGAGCTGCAGCGATATGGACGGCAAATGCTTGTGAAAGAGTTTGGAGTGAAGGGACAGCAGAAATTGATGGCTGCACGTGTGCTGTTGATTGGTGCGGGTGGACTCGGGTCACCTGCTGCGATCTACTTGGCTGCTATGGGTGTAGGCACGTTGTCGGTGGTAGATCACGACTATGTCGATCGAAGTAATTTGCATCGACAGGTTCTGTATGATGAACAAGGAGCGAAAGAGAGAGAGAAGAAAGTGGATGCAGCTAAGAGAAGATTGCAGGAGTTGAACCCTTTGCTGCAGTGTGAGGTGTATCCGATACGGTTTACAGCTGTGAACGCGCTAAAACTTGTCGAAGAACACGATGTGGTCGTTGATGCCTCAGACAATGTTGCTACTCGCTACCTCGTAAACGACGCATGTGCGCTTCGACGCACGCCGTTGGTATCGGGAAGTGCGCTGGGTATGGAGGGACAGGTAACTGTGTTTACTTATCAGGACGATGAGAATGCGACTGGATGCTATCGCTGTTTATACCCTAGCCCACCCACAGCCGCGAAGAGCTGTGCGGAGAACGGTGTGCTCGGTGTTGTACCTGGTGTGATTGGATGCATCCAGGCCATGGAGACTGTCAAGCTTATTTCTGGTGTAGGAGAACCTCTTGTCGGGGTGCAGTGCTTTTACGATGCATACGACGGTCAGTTTCGACACCTCAAAATTGCTATGAAGCGAAACAAGGATTGCCTGTCTTGTCGAAAAGGCGCTGATATGTTTGGGAAAAGTAACGTGGCATCATTTGATACGTCGCTACTGGTCGAAGGCCGCTGCACCGATGGAGCAAAGCGTGTTGATAACCTCGGCCCTGAATTTCGTATCAGTGCTGAGGAATTTGCAAAAGTGCGTGAGAAAGCAAAGAAAGAAGAAGATCAAGATGCTACAAACAGTAGTTACGTTCTGCTCGATACACGTGCACGCATACAGTTTGAGATGGTGCACTTCCCGGAAGCAGTGAATATTCCAACGGTTGAGCTCATGAGACAAGATCCTGAAAGTTTCAGTACTTTGCAGGTTGAAAGTGTGAACCCAACTGATTCTCCACCAGTCACGAGTAAGCGAATGTTTGTGATATGTCGTCGGGGTGTGGATTCTGTTAAGGTGACACGGTGGCTAGTTGACCACGGTATCAAAAATGTGTTCAATATCGACGGAGGGTACACTGAGTATGCTAAAGAGGGCGGTGTCGACCCGACATTTCCGATGTATTAGAAGAAGAGCTGACACAACAAAGCGCAGAGAAGACCCGACATATTTTCAAGCTTGCTGCATCCGGACTGCAGCTAGAAAAGATGCTGAACTTGTCACGATACTCTTGCGCACGAGTAGGACGCACGGACATCTATGAGTACAGGCCTTCGTGCATGGAACGGTAATCAACTACCCCACGCTTGCGATGACTGCGGTTCACGGATAACGGTTTTGAAACCTTGTCATGCGATGTGGCCGCGGTAGTTGTCCGTATTTGATCCGAAACGCCTTGAACAGACTCTTGATCACCTTTACGCTCGTTGTACGACTTCTCTTCATCGTCGTTATTCTCGTCCTCATCAGATTCACCGCTATTACCTTCTTTGGCCTCGTAATTCTCGTCATCTTCACTGTCTTCGTCTTTACCAGCAAACATGAGGTTGTTCAGCTGACGATAGTCCACATCGTTGCGTTTACGCTTTCCACGAACAATCAGTGCCAAGTCTCCCTCAGATCGATCATCACCTTGGCCGCCGTCGTTCTCCTCGACCGCAGCACGGTTTATTGCAGCCTGAGCCTTGATGCGCGTCAGCAGCTCTGAGCTTCCGTCACGGTAGTCAATACGCCAGCGCGAATATTTACCTTGAGACGGTGGCTCAAGGTCAGCGACGACCCCAAGGACAAGTCTACCAGTTTTTCGGTCGATCTTGGCTGCTAACTCACCAAGAAGACTTGGCTTTTTACAGCTGGGCTTTGGTTGTCGACTAGCACCTTTTGACCGCATCGATCGACTGTGAAATAACACAACCACAGCAACAAGGACCATCAAACTCAAGTATACGAAGTGAGAGCATCAGACACGCTTACTGATTCGGGTCGATGACGTCGTCCTTGTTGAGAAAAAACAAGTCTTGGATACCTTCGGGCACCTCCTCGGCCATTTCTTCTTCTCCTTCGTTGACAACGTCTCCTGAAGTCGTATCGTCACTTTGCTCATCATCCTGATCCTCTTCGGATTCTCCTTCATCACAAACAAAGTCCTCGTCATCCTCTTCATCCTCATCCTCATCGATACAAGCAGTAGCACTTTTTTCGCCTGACTGGGCATCGCTACTTTCATCCGTTGCTACTTGTTGTTCGGATTGAGCAAGCTCGGGAATGAGGTCGTCTGTGCTTTCGTACGTCGTACCAAGCACCGAGTTGATCGCCTTAAGACACTCAAAGATGGCAAGACACACTTCACAAAACCAAAGCTCGTCGCCTGCCGGGATATTGGCAGTTAAGACGATTGGTGTCTGACACCGCTGGTGGTATGCTCGATGACAACCAGGACTGTCACATAGTAAGATGTCATTGTCGGGCTCGATATCGGTGCAGCCGCAGTGAGAGCAGTGCACATCCTCGAACACAGCCTGCGGCGGTACGGGCGGATCGCGTGCATTGAGCTCTTTTAGTTCACGTAGACCATCGATCAGTGCACGCTTGCCTTTCACAATCTTGCGGTGTTCTGCCTCGAGTTCTTTGTTGGGTCGAAGCTTGTCTCGGCTCGATTTGCGCCATCCGTCTGCTTCATAAGCCTCGATAAAGGCCAACGGGTACCGCAATCGATGAGCCTAGCGAGTCATTCCACCGCCAATCAGCTTTGTGAGCTGCACACACCCGAGTATCTACACCACTAACAGCTGATAGTATAATTTTCGTACCTGCGATTTCACCTTGTTCTGCAGTCGCTTGTGTTCTGGACGAGGAGGGGGAGCAGTAGTGGGGAACGAGGTACCTATAACGGCCGCGCTTAACTTCTCAAGCTTTCGACTTTTCCGGGCTGTGGTGTCTGCTCTCGGTGAAAACGAAGTAGGGGCTCGACGTTGGCGCTGCTCCCGCTTTTTCACCTTCCTGCAGATACATCGGACATTATGTGCATTATTTGTAAGAACTTCGAGATTGAGCAATAGTTGGAGATCGGATTGAGGAAAACCGGCATCTTGTACATTGATGGACTTCGAACGGGAGCTGATGGTGCATGAACGTGATCATCGTCTGCTGCTATCGAAAGAGCTTTCTTCTTCATGCGAGGCATTATCCTTCAGTTGATGTTTTCTTCGTATGGTCGTGATGGGGTGACTGGATGTTGATGTCGGCTGGCTGGTTGTGTCCTATGAGTATTCGATTCAGTAAAGTTAGCAAGTGGACTCAAAGACGGGTAATCGACCGACTGTTCAAGAAGTGGAGATCGATGCTCGACACTCCTAAACGACATCTTCCAGTCCAAAATTCATGGTATCTCAAGCACATACCCGAGCTTGTCGACAACAACTAGAACGTTTTGTTCGGCTCAAAACTACCACAATTTCGCTCTCGGATTGCTGTCCTGGAAAAAAAGGAGCTCCTGGTTGTGTCGCTATGTGATTGGCTAAAAGCGAGCTCTTTTCCCATCGACGACTGGTCGAAAACATTACATCGTAAAGAGGTGCTGTCTAACAGCTGGCCTCGCGAGTCGCTTAGGCTGGACAAAGTCAGTCGCGAAAGACGACGACCGGTAATGCACTTTTTGCCACTGCGGATCAACTTGACGACAATGGAGTTGGTGTAACCGATTGACCGAAGCGAAACCTTCGCTCAAAGTGTCGTCACGACGACAGGCGAAGGTGCTCCAGGAGATCGTCCGTTGATGGAAATTTGACCACTCTTGACACCATTCGAACAGGTACGTGTTGCACTGCCGTTGGATCGGTTTGGTGGTTGTAAGAGGAACACTGCCTCTGCCTGTATTGAATGTACCTTATTCATTGCCCGCACAGCAACTAGCTGCCTGATTGCCACCTAGTACGTGCTTACATGCTTTGTTCAAAGTAATAAGCTTTACTTGCATTTAAGAAGGCGGAAGTAGACGATCTATCTGTAGATGGCTGTCGGTAAAACAACCTTGACGACACCACTGCCGATTGAGAGTTCTAGTCAATCGAGCCACGTCAGATGAAAAGCCCGTGGTTGGAGATGCAGAGAATACCGCCGTCTTGTGTTTCTTTCGGCCAGACCAAGTGGAAGCTTGGCCACAATTCGTACCTCCATCACGAGAAGCTGTCAACGGTTGGAACAAGAATGAAAAACAGGGCGGGCGCGTCAGGACGTCAATGGAACCAAGCAATACGTTTTAGGTATGGATGAATTCCACGAGAGCGCACATCATCTATTACCAACTTCGCCACCAATCGCTTCCTACGACAATACTAATGTTGTGAACAAGATACGTGCATGCGGTCTACAACACAATCTTATACCACGAACCACCTCGTAGAGGCTTCAACCAGAACCAAGACACACCAACCTTAGTCCTATAGATGATTATCTTAGCTGCAGAAAAGTTCAAATCTTAAGCTTTTGGCAGCACCTGCATGGACCGTTGGCGTTGGAACGAACCAAGATGTGAGGTGTTAGACGGTATCCTGACTTAGATGCTGTACAGATGGAAACGAGTAACCGCACAAGCCCCAAACGATGCGATCTTCGAAACTATTTAACTACTCGAACCTTAGTACGACAGGGGTTGATGATAGACGCGACGTGATGATGACTGGAACCGCAAGTGATCGATGAAAGCTGCATACGTTGGCAATACGGCGTCTGTTGGAAACGAAGGTCACACTCCTTTTTTCATCACGATCGTAGTCGACGTTCGCGTCATTCGCTCTCGTCTTTTTATGCTTCTGCAAAGCCTCGACCGACGATTGAGCCGGAACGGGCAAATGCACATCTGGGTTCACTCTTATAAGTGCATGTACTAGCTAGGAACTCGATCGTCCATCATTCGGATGTCTTTGGGTAATCTCGGTAAAGGAACAATCGACACTTGTAGCTTCTCTTGGTTCTTGGACTGTCGGATGTCCATCGATGTGTTGGCCAAATGTTTAGGATTCAGGCGTGGCAGTGCGAGGCGTGTAGTGAATTCAGAGGACTACTATTTCGTCGGTAAATACATTTGTGCTCGTCATGCGAGTAGCTAAAGACACAGGGTGCTACAAACTACATAGCCACCGTCTCTAAAAACGCGGCCACCTCATCGTCGCCAAGTGCATGCGCCATCGACAGAGCAGTCTCGCCGTCGATGTCTTCGATCTTGGGGTCCACTCCTTTCGTAACGAGCAGCTTCATCAGCTCAACACAGGAGCAGCCGAAGAGACAAGTCTGGCCAATCTTGTTTAACGCATTCAAATCAATCGCCTCGTCGTCAACGAGAAGCTCAACGACTTTCTGCATCCCAAACATCACTGAGACGTGCAGAGCACGGTCACCATTCGAAGGCAATGCAAAGTTGACGTCCACGCCCCGTGCAAGCATCTCCTTGATGACACTGAACTGACCAAAGCGGCAAGCCTGGAACAGTGCACAGTCCTCGTCTTCCGTGTCATTATTTTCTCCATCTTCGGTGCTGATAGAAGGAGTCTTGACCAGCTTCGTGGCGGATGCAATAGCACCGCTCTTAAGCAGCAATAAAGCTACAGCCGTGTGCTCAGACTCGACAGCCAAGTAAAGAGGGTTAAAAGCATTCTTTGCCGTGCCGCTGTAGTTCACATGAGCCTTACGAGCCACGAGTAGCTCTGCCAATTCATATAGTCCAGCGTTAGCCGCTTGCATCAGCAGCGTCCATCCGTGGCGGTCCACCACACTGTCTGGATCGTTGACACCCAGACGCTGCAACAGCGCCATCGTCACCTTGCCGAAACCCGTCAGAATTGCTCCGCTTCAGCCTCCACATTTGCCAGATCCTTTTCCATCTCATTGGGCTCGTTGTGCTCCTCTGTATCCTCCTGGATGCCCAAAACATGAACAAAGGCCTCGTACTCCTGCTGCCAAGTGTGTAGCCAATCCATGAGGTACACAAGAGGCGACTGGCCTCCGAGATCACCCACGGTCACGAGAAAACGATCCACATTGCCTGCAATCACGCTCTGACGCACAGCATCCAGTTTCTCGTCGATTGGGACGTCTTTGTCCTGCAGCGATAGGGTCGCCACCGATAGAGCGTCTTCTCCTCCAGCCATCGTGTCAACGATACCAGCGTGCGATGATTGGATGGCACGGTATGGCTTCATTTTGAGGAGCTTTGATTGGCTGGAGGGTACGCGGCCATGTTGAAGCCGTCACCAATTCTTGTAGGTTCAGATGTTGGTGGTGCAAGTAATGAACGAACTATCTCGGTGGTGCAAAAGGGTTTTTGACAAGGGCTCGTCTCGTGAGAAGCGTGTGGCCATTTACATTTGCAGTCATTTCAATGGAAGGAGGGCTTTCATGTGGCGTCTGTCGTGGAGAATCGATCGATTCGGTGCGTTGTATCGACCACACGAAACGAAAGACCAGGCATGCGATTGACCTCCGTACCCGCCACCTACTGAGAAAACGATGCTCTTCGGATCACATACATGACGGATGCAGTCGTGTCTCTTTCGCGTACTCGTTTCTCCTGCATCCCGGTTCGTGTAAAACCATTGCGGGAGTACGAGCACACTTCAACACGACGTTGGTCCTGAGCGCTACAGGTGGTCTACATGCAAGATGATCGGAGTGCATGGCAAACCCCAAGCGGACGACATCTCGAGCACCAGCCCATCCGAGAGGATGGCATTTGAGCCAGGCCACGCGATTGTCGGGCCATTGTCAACATCTTTTTGTCTACTTCGACGTCATATTCGACAGCAGACGTCACCTGACGATTGCGACTGGATCGACCATCGAACGTGGCAGTATCATCGCAGCCACACGGTCTGGTTTCTCCATCCGTCTCTACTTGTCTTCAAAATCTTGGATCCTTTCTCGGAATGTGCTTGGTTTCCAGCCCGTCCGGATCGGATATTGCAGTCCACTGTCACTGCCTTGGGTCATCTTTCACGCTTCGCTTCCCAATTTGCGCCTTCAGGCAGCAACGGCCAAGCGACGAAGACCACCAAAGAGCCGGGCGACCGGCCCCTTTATTCTGAGTGGGAAGTCCCCTATCGTGGGGCCCAGATCAAAGAGGGGAGGCCTTGTTGCTGCTGCGTGCGCTACGGGAGGCAGCGCAGCGTGAAAACCGAAAGGGAGGCAACAACCCAGACACCTCGAGGTGAGGGGTACGGCAACAGCGGTTGTCACCCCCTCCCACCTAGTACCTACTATTCTACTTCAGCCTTCGAGTTGTCGGCCCGTCGCCGAGCTTGACTCCCGAGCCCCCACGAAGCGAACTTGCCTAGAACGTGATCAAGATCGGCCCAGTCCAGGTGCGTCAGCGGCCCATCGGGTGTGATCGGTCTGATCCCCGGCATTCCTGCGACTTCAGCGCCCTGACTGCATCCCGGACTGGATATCCGATTCCACGTGCCCTCTGCAAAGTGTTCTCCATGATGACCGCAGAGCCGAGCCAAGCAGACTAAGCCAGCGATGATGTAGTTCAGGCAGCAGCATACCGATGTCGTATAGGGCATAGCACTTGATCGACGTTCAGGATGTACTACTAAATTTCACGCTTCGACTTCAAGGTCAGGCAGCAAGACAATGGGGAAGACCAGGCAAGCAGAAAGGTCACTCGACGAGTAACTCGTGGATCGCACTTGCCGCCTCTGCTCTTTGCAATCGACTCAGTCTTTAATTTACCAGCTATCCCGCGTGAAGCCCTCGCTGTTCCGACGAAACCTTCTACGATTTGTAGCATTTACAGCTTAGCATCACGCGAAGGGACTCAGCTGCGCTTTGTCGAAGACAGATTGCCCATAAGGACGACAACAAGGATGCTAATAGTACTGAGAATGGTATTCGTACGACTCCAAGTCTCAACCATCCGTGAAAAAGTGCTTCGGCGGATCCACTGTGAGCATGGTCAGAGATGACCGATTGTTATCGCATGGAATGTACGAAACTGTAAAGAAGGTGAGCATGACAATACGAACCTGCCAGTGGAGGTCGCCTCAGCGCAGTCTTGGTAACCTCAAGTTCACCTGCACGGAGCTTGGCTACTCTTATCAGTAGAGCTGCTACGACAGGGCGCGAATATGTAAATTCGAAGGACGTTAATCCGTCTCGTGGATAACCAGCAGCGACGAGATATGGCTATTGTCGTGCTGTGGAAGCGGTGAACGCAACGGGTAGCACTGATCGAAAGTGCATTCTGCAAGCACGCCAGCTGCAAGCAATCATGTGAGAAGTGATGCAAGTGAGTATATCTTTTTTGCGGTCTTGCACCAGCATCAATCTTCTGACAGAAAAACAGCGGATGTGTGAAGCATGGATGCAGGCCACGGCCAAGCTGGGATTGGGAAGACGTACTCTATGGCGTGCCGAGCTACTTGAGCAAAGTATCCACGTTGTGTTTATAAAACGATGTTGGACATCGCGCAATTTCTCACCCTCACTGTCTACAACTCTTGGCGTGAGATTTCGCTCTACGACGTTACACTGCACACTACAGAGTCGGAAGAGTCTCCAAGAAAAAAACTGCAGGAATGATCACGTGTAGCAGCACCAGCAACCCGCAGCTATCCATGAATCGAATTTGCAGCAACGACATTCGTTACTTGTTATGGTACCGACCATGCAGTTGACCTCTCGAAGCTCTGCTTTATATCTTGCGCGACTCTGAAGAAAAGAAGATCCTGAAAAGAGGACGGCGTGTCGACCACATGTCAGCGAGACCTGAGTAAGGACGTTGCAATCAGGATTTCATACCGCCAGACAACAACGAAAAACGACGAACGTGTCTGACAAGCAAGCGGTGAACAGCTTCAAAAGCGCAATGCCTAGCCAATTGATTGAGTTGTACATGCTAGAGATGATGCGCTCTGTTCCCTCGAGTCGCAAATGAATCCCACTATCGCCAAGCTCTCGACTTACACAACAGCAAACGAGGATGAACGCTCTTGATCACAGGCTAAACCCGCGTGTATTTGCCAAGCACTCCTCAACTTCCAACGACCGTTTTCAGCCACCTCCTTCATCCTCCTCTTTTCGTTCGAGGTGCATGGCACAAGTAGGTGGACGTATGAAAAATGCCGTCGGATGTTTTGCAATTGACATGGAAGCAAGCTGGTCCGAATTCACAGAGACGAGCGCGACGCAATCAGCGTCAACGCAGCTGCTCTTGGAATGCGCAGTGACTGCTGCAGATTGGTGAGGCATTGCTCGTGCAAGTAGTCGCGCAGCAGCCCTTTCAGCGAGCGACAGGCAAACTGGTAGAGCTTCTGATGGCTCTCGGGTTGCGTCACGAGCTGCGAGGTCGACACATGGAACTCGTGGAGGCACAAGTTGAGCCACAGCTGGTCGTCACTGCCCAAGCGGTACCACGAGTGGCACACGCTTCGTGCCGCGCAGAGCGATGGTCCATCTAGGAAGCTCAAGATCGCGTGAACCGTCTCGTCACACGTAAAGTCCACGAGACTCCGCCGCTCTTTCGAGGTAAACGAAGCGGACAAAAGAGCGCACAGCCACTTGGCTATAGCATGATCTTCAGGTGAGGATTGCGCGCTACTCAGAGGGGCGTGAAGGGGATGCAGAATCAGTGCACGAGAAGAAGAGCGACTCATTAGATCGATGGATGAACCGTTTCGCGAATGTCGAAGTTGCGCGAGCTGCAAAGAAAACCGTATTTCACGAAAATCGGTATCGATATATACCGGTTTGAGTGCAAAGAAAACCGTGATTCATGAAAATCGGTGTCGATGAATACCGGTTTGAAAAGATGTATACATCGAAACGACTCGTATACACCACCATCCACACTCGCCCCTGCTCTCTCGTGAGCTTTTGAACTCCAGTCGTGAGTAGGGTGCACATCGATCGAATCAACGGGACGGATGTCGTCGCCTACATCCACAGCTTCGACCGTATCCCCCACTCAAGACGAGACACTGGGGATGTGCTTGAAGACGAGGCAATCCACGTCTACTCCGGTCGGAAGTGCTGCTTCTACTGGTGGTCGCAAACGAAAGAAGGGGACGACCAGTACGCCGCCACCAAGCAGCCGCAATAGCAGTACCACTACGCCAGTCTCGAGTAAAAAAAAGAGGACGCGAGGGTCGATCGGTACTCCGGGGAAAGTGACGCCATTGGCTCAAGTGCGGGAGAAGGAGATCCACCGGACGTTTACGGATCATGAAGTTTCGGAGGTTTACAAGACCATCCGCAAGCAGACAGGAAGTCTTGGAGGCAATGCAGCAGGTGGCGCCATTTATGGTGAAATCACGCAGGCCTCTTTCCAACGGGTGGTGGACTACCTCAAGGACCATTGTGAACTCTCTGAAGCCAGCTGCTTTGTGGACGTGGGCTCGGGACTTGGCAAACCAAACTTCCACGTGTCCGTGGATCCAGGTGTTCAGGTCTCGTACGGCATCGAGCTTGAAGAATTACGCTGGCACTTGTCGTTGCATAATCTTCGCAGCGTGTTATCACTTGACTCGCAGCGTCACAAGCCCCTTTCAACAGTATTCACGGCGGGGGACATTACGCACGCACATACGTTTGAGCCGTTTTCACACGTGTATACTTTTGACGTGGGATTTCCACCGGACGTGATGGACAAGATGGCCGAGATGTTCAACCGGAGCTCGGCGAAATACTTTGTCAGCTTCCATTCACCGCGGAAAGTTGTCGAGACGTACGGGTTCTCGGTGACGAACATTGGACGAGTTGCAACGTCGATGGCAGGTTCGAGTGAGGGGCACCAATGCTACTTTTATCGGCGCGTGGCGGTGATAGAGGAAGAAAGTGAGTTCGAGAGGGAGGAAGTGACTGTGGAGATGGCGCCACTGAACGACTGTGTAATTTGTCCACCGCTGGCTGAAGACCCTCTCTTCAGCAAAGGGATCGAGCTGCTGAAGACCGGCCGCGAAGGCATGCTATCGTGGATCAACGACTTTTTCGACCAGGCGAATGCTGGACGAACTCGTCACCAGAAGCGCATATTGCGCGAGCGCCCGATGGACTCGTACTATCCCACCGTCAAGTCGCACGTTGTTGCAGCTTCTTGCAGCGTACCGCAGAAAGGGGAGAAACGAACGACGAAGGCGACGAAGCGCAAGATCAATCTCCGTGCGTAAGCTGTCGTGTCGTTTTCTGCTGTATTGGGCGGCATGAACTGCTGGTGTCGTGTAACTACTGCCTGCTTCGAGGATTGCAGTACAACAAGCACAGTGTTAGCTGTTTGTCACATCCAGGGGGACAATGAACTCAATAGACATCCAACGTTGTGTGCACGCTCTACAAGCTTCCAAGTGTTTCGTCCCTACAGCTTTTTGCATTCATCCCCGACATTTGCCTGCCCGTCGTCCGCTCGACTCGTCCGAACCGATTCAACAAAAAGCTGTTTCTGTAGCGGCGTGAAGACGTCGCCGCCCGCATGAATACACGAGATTAAATAAGTCACATCCTTGCTCTCAAAGCGTTCTTCCTGACGGAAGGTGTCCAGTTCGTCACCGAACGCCGTGGAGAACTCCTCCATATACAACTGGCGGAACTCGTTCTCCACGACCCCCGCCACGTCTCCGTCTAAACGCGCGTCACTACTGGCCAAATGCTTCTGCAAATGGCACGCTGCCGACGCCAATAGGTCCTGACTAGCACGAGCAGTCTTCCGTACAACACCCAGCCGAGCAGCCTGACTAGCTGCATCCGCTGCCGCATCACCCGCAGCCACAAGGTCCTGCAGCAACAACGTCGTCGCCTCCGTTCCCTCCTCGTCGCTGTCCATCGCCTCGTCCTCGTCGCTTCCATCTCCTTCTTGGCTGCACTCGTACGCGCGCTTCATCGTCTTCTGCAGCTTCTCCAGCGTCTCGTTCGTCTCCAAACTCTTGGCAATGAGCTCGGCACAGCGCACACTCGTGGCCGTCGCCGTCACGAGCAGCTGCCGTCGCTGCTCGTCACTCGTTGCTGCCCCGTCAACCGCTGCTGAAAACGCCTCGTCCACTCGAGCATACACGCCACCATCAGACCCGAGCGCCGCGATCAGACGGTCGTACCGCGCTGCCAGTCGAGCCCCTCGTTTGCCGTCATCGTCCATGATCTCGTTCCACAAAAGATGGCTGGTCCGTAGTCGTCCACTGTCACTCGAACGAGGGCCAACACACCATCCGTCCGACCAACACGCAGACCCGTCGTTTCTATCGCTCGTCGTACAACTTCGCCTCGCATTTCTAACCCGTCGCTCCAACCGCTCTCTCGGTCGCCAGCATGACGTCCGCGCCGCGCTGGACGTGGCTCGACGCCTCTCGCCTCGCGTCCACGCCGAACCCGTACGCCGTCGGCGGCGTTGCGGCGCTCATTGTCGTGGCTCTTGTGCTGGGCGTGCTCTTTGTCTGGGTCGCGTCCCGTCAAGTGCGACCACGGAAGAAGACACTGCCGCCGGCCAGCACCAGGACGTTCGAAACGCTCCGACCGCCGCCGTCGCCCACGTCCAAGCGCCTGCGACACGCGTCCAGACAGCACTCGAAATCGTTCTCCGATCTGATCCAAGTCGAGCGCGAGCGGCTGCAGGAGATCCGCCAGCTGGAACTGGACGACCACATGACGTTCCCGCCGCAATTGCGGCAGAGCTGCGGCCCTGAGACGCTCAAGAGCATTTACGAGACACTGTCCAAGGTGTTTTCGTTTCTAAGAGGGGAGTTCGTCGCTCCGTTGGCTCGGGAGCTCTGTATCGTGCGCTTCGCCAAGCACGAGTCGATCTTCCGGCCACAGGAGCTCGATGGCTCGATTCTGCTCATTGTTAATGGCTCTGCAACGCTGACGATCCATGAAGAAGAAGAAGAAGAAGAGAGGGGAGAGACGGGGTTCTCCAAGGTGCTGGGACGAGGGGAGACGCTCACGTCGTCGCTGCAGTTGCTGACTGTGTTGGTGAACGAGTTGCAGCACGGTGAGTGCCAAACACAAGTGCAGAAAGTGTGTGGAAGGCTGTCTGCACGTGCGGGCGAGCACGGGACGAGGCTGGTGAAGATCCCGCCATATGCGATCAAGCAGGTGCTGGACACGTACCCGGAAGCGTTCTATCGACTGGCGCAAGCAGCGCTGAGTCAAGTGGAAAAGATCACGGCCAAGTCGTTGATTGATCACTTTGGCTTGGCGTCGAAAATTATCCATGCGACGCCGCTCGTGCAGGTGCTGCCTCTTGTGGTGGATGGAAAAGATGAGGTGGTCATTGACACGATTGTACATGACGTTGCTGACGCAATCGGGTTGATGGATCTGGAGCTGCGAGCAACGCTCGCTAGCAGCGTGCAAGTGATTAGGCGTTTGAAGGACGAGATGATCCGGGAAGCTGGGGATTCGTCGAGTGCGCTGGGCGTGCATATTGTATTGGATGGAGCAGTTAGTGTGCAAGTGGCAACAGCCCCGAAGACGTTCGTGGAGCTGTACAAGGCTACGAGAGGGAGTGAAATCGGTATTTCCACGTGCTTTGTTGGCTCGCATTTCGTTGCGACTCGCAATGTGTGTCTTGAAGACACCACGTTGCTGTGCATTCCCGACGCACTATTCTGTAGTCTACTGCAGATCAACTCGGTTGCGGTCAAATGCACGCGCCATCTGATTGAGCAGTACTCTGGCCTCGTGTGTGTTGCCGACACATCATTCGAATGGCTGCATCTTCACAGCGGTGAGAGTTTGTTTGATCGTGGAGACGTGTGCGATTCGGTGTTTACAGTCATCAGCGGTCGCCTTCGTGCCGTGCAGACGCTATCTCATCGTGGCAAAGAGTTGGAGACGACGAATGATCTTGTTCGCGGCGCTACTCTTGGAGCGATGGATATGCTTTCGGCTGGACCTAGCAATTCTTCAGTGTTTGCAGTCCGTGATTCGCAAATCTCGCAGATGTCTCGTAACGTGTTCGATTATGTTGTGAGCAAGTACCCTTCCGTCTTAATTCACTTCACGAAGAACTTGGCGCGTCGTATGCCAACTCCTCGAGTGAATTCCCGTAAGGCTGATGCCAGTAGCGTCAAGACCCGCAGTAACTATCTGCTTTCGCTTGGATCGGGTCCCTCCTCCACGGGCGGACAAAAGATGGGCAGCAATTTGCCAATTAGTACCATTGCCGTCCTCTCTTTGACGAAGATGACGAAGATTCAGACCTTTTGCTCGCATTTGGAAATGTCACTGAAAACTATAGCCTCGGTGGAAACAGTGTCTTCACAAAAAGCCAAAGCTTTTCTGGGCGACCAATGGATTGATAATTCCCGCGTTGCACGTGCAAATCTCGTAGCCTGGATGGGTGACATTGAGAGCTCAAATGAACTGGTCATTTACGAAGCTGACCCTCAGTTGACAGCTTGGACGAAGCTCTGTATCCGCCAGGCAGACCATATCTTGCTGCTCTGCTCCGATGCACACCCACAGCAGGCGTTTGTGAGTGACATGGTGTTGATTTTAGAGGGTGCGTGGGACAGACGAGATGCCAAGATAAACGTTGTTCGTATTCGTGAAAAGGACTGGACGCTGGCGGCATTGAAAGCGGCTGCTATACAAGAGGCTAATGGATCTTCGCGTTCCTACGCGTTGAAACGAAAACTGTGTTTGCAGATGGACAGTCCACTACTGCCGCGCTTCATTCTTCCTATGGAGAAGTACGAGTGGATCTGCGGTTACCATAATGTACAAATTCCGTTTGAGGAGCATTCCTCGGACTTTATGCGTCTGAGTCGTCGAATTACTGGAAATGCTGTTGGCATAGTGCTTGGTGGTGGCGGCGCGCGAGGCCTTGCACACATAGGCGTGCTTCGGGCGCTCGAAGAGTGCGGTATCCATGTAGATGTGGTTGGCGGTACCAGCATCGGCGCGTTCATTGGCGGCATCTTTGCGCTCCACCCAAACAATTTAAGCTTGGTTGAGGTTAAGGTACGGCAGCTATCAGCTGGATTGAGCAGCATCTTCGAGAAGCTGTGCGACCTCACTCTTCCGATCTCGTCCTTTTTTAATGGCACGCGTTTCAACAGAAGTATCCGAGCGCACTTTTATGACCTCTCGATCGAGGATTTGATGCTGAATTACTTTTGCGTGTCCACGGATATCGCGAAATCACGTATGAGTGTACACCGCAGCGGCCCGGTGTGGAAATACGTGCGCGCATCGATGAGTTTACAAGGCTACTTTCCTCCGATTTCGGAGAATGGCTCCTTGCTTTTGGACGGCGGGTATATGAACAACCTTCCTGCCGACGTCATGAAAGAGGAAGGCGGTATCAAGTACATTTTCGCAGTGGACGTGGCCAGTGAAACCCGCACTCTGTTTTATGAATACGGCAGTGCGCTGTCAGGATGGTGGCTGCTGTGGAATAAGCTAAACCCATTTGCAGGAACTGTGGTCGTGCCTTCCATGGGCGACATATCAGCAGCGTTGGCTTACGTTTCATCGGAACAACATAAGGAACGTGTCAAGGAGGAATGCATTGATCTCTATTTACGTCCACCGGTCAAGGATTACGGCACTTTGGAGTTTAACAAGATGGAAGAGATTATTGAAGTTGGCTACAAGTACGCGCTGCCCCGAATACAAGCATGGACAGCTCGGGTGCTGGACGCTGAGCCTGATGCCGACATTAAGCGAACGAAGCAAGCGGCGACGCCATCATCGACCTTGTCGAAGCTGAGCTACGCTACGTGAGACGTATATACCATTGTGGTAACACACGGAGAGAACAGCACGGCTGGTGCTCGATACGCCATGGCGTCAAGTCTATCGAGTCTTGCTTGCGAATACGACATGTCTGTTGAGATGCACGATCGAACAGTGAGCGATCTGGCCATGGTATGCGTGCCGTCAGCCTTGCTGTTGGATGCAAGTAAATTGTGCAAACCGTGCCGACCGCACCCGCACGCGCACAAGTCTGTGCTGCTGAGAGACTCTCGCTAACAGCAATAAGCTCACATCTGCTCGTGCCAGCCGTCGTATCCGAGCTACGTGAGGCCTTGAAGCAGCTCCGTTCTCGCATATTGTATGGTCCCTCTCACGACAAATCGCTGGCCAGATCCTCATGATCACACACCCACCCCTTCGAGTCGTTTGCTGGCGGTAGCGCCATCTCTTGCTGCTGCATACGCCTGGACCGTGTAAAGTTCTTTCCTGACTCGGCAACTCCGTGATGGAACCTGCGAAGTCACCGCATGTCACTTTCGCTGACATTTTCGTCCTTCGGGTACTTAGAGTGAGATTCGTCGCTTTTGACGTGCATCGCTGATACGATACACTATGACGCAGGCGGCTACCACGCATGCTCTTCACTGCAGTCGTCAATCACTTGGTGAAGCTTGAATCGTCCTTGCAGCCCGTTCCAGTGATTCTACTGGCAGAAGATCTCGATCAACCAGTTGTCTTGTCGTCCTTTGTGAACGTCGATGATTTTTTCTCGTGACGCATTGCTTATGCGATTGCCGTGTGGAGGAGCTAGCTGGAGTTTCCGGATGATGGCTCGTCAACATTTGCTGTCATCTACGAGGACCAGCAGGGCTTTCTGGATCTACAACGGTGGTATCTCTATGGAGCTGTTAGTACCAACAGGTACTTATTTACTGGGCAGGACTATTGCGATCATGTGAGAGCTTCGATCGAAAACGATCGATTGCCCAGACTTTCTTCCAGGTCTTGTTACACGAGCGTGATCATGTGCATGCACACTACTGTTCAGGGAAACAATGCAAGCTCGCTTGTAAAAGAGGTGCTGCCTTAAAACAGCTTCCAGGGCGAGCAGCGAACACCTGGGCATGAAATGCTATAGTATATTGCCGGACGCCCGAGTACGTAAGTTGAAGCACGGACTCTACCAAAAGAGACACGTACGAGAGGATGCGGTGGTATCCAAGTACAGCTGAATCTGCTACAGAGGACTTGGGTTGACATCCGACGGTAAAGTGCGTGATTTCATCAGAGCAGATCAAACCAAGACCACCAACAGAGAACAACTCCGGCTTCATACGACGGCAGACAGAGATCGCGCATGTGAGCGCCAACACTTGCAGCATACACACAACATGGGAAAAGAAGCAGAATTGGCTGATGTAGCAATGATGTAGCTCCATCGTGGCAGGTGATGTTCAAGTATTTCAGAATGTGGTACCGGTTTACAATGGGAAGCATGTCGAAACACGCTAGTGACCAACATTGAAAAGTGGCGTACGACTGCATCCACTAGTTGCTGTCGATGCACTAAGTCGGAATTTGGTCAGCATTTACAGCTCTCGCGAGTGCATCGTGCGCTCGAAGACTGGCTATCGTCATCGCAATGTAGTGAAATGGCTGGTGCGTCGCTGACACACTATAAAAACGACAGCGATAATGGGCGCAGCGACCGCAACAGACGGCGCAACTCGGTGGGCTCTTCATTTGGAACTGGAGTTGTGAAGAGCCGGTAGTTCTTGGACTTCCTTCCTAGCTACGACACGCCTGAGACGCTACCACGGACAAGACCTGTCAGCAGTACGAGCTTCAAGGCGATAGCCAGCAGGTGTACACTATTTCACGAGCGGTCCACCGATAGTGCAGAAGGCCCGTTCTGCATCGAGTTTCTCCACCCAGACAAAGAGCCTTTGTAGATTTCGACTGTTGCGTCTTCCCTGTTTCTCATCCGTGCTGGGCCCTTCACTTCTGCCAAACTCATCGTTCCATCGGGCGTCTTCCAAACACGAGTCTCTTATCAATGGCCATGGAAATTATGATACTCTTTGATCCAACCGGTCGCGGCATGCCAGTGCTACTTGCAGTGCTTGAAACCGCTACCCACGCTTGGTCCACGGCAAACAGCCAAAGCATGGTCGAGTCACCCTCACGCCTTCGCATAAAAATCGTTTATTCACATCTACTACTACTACCCATAATAATCGTATCGCCACGGCATCATTTATCGCTTCTTCGCTGAAAAGCAAAACTCCGGACACGGAGCTACCCTCTGGACAAAGAAATGCTCTCGAACGACGAGTGCCGTTGGATGCTTGTAATGTTCTCTCCATGGCTGTCGAACACTGTTCCATCGAGCAACTCATCATCGGCGTCGAACCGCGCCATCCCAAACTCCATCCACTTCATTACCATCACGTAAGCAACGATGTTAACTACACTAAGCGCGCCGAGCGTCCAATACATGTACTCAAAGTGACCGTCATTGAGGTCGTCCGTGATATACCGCTCGAACAGCAGTGTGAAGGTTGATGTCAAATTACTTCCCATAGCAACCATGAACAGATTGATTGCCTGACATGTGCTCTTTAGATACACCGGCACTTCAGTGTAAAACAGCTCATAGGCCGTCACATTTATTAAGCATTCGGCCACAGCAATGAGCACATACATCGGAACCGCGTACGCCCAGGACGTGTGGTTCATCGGCTGGTTCGAACCGTTGTTCGGAATGGTTCGAAGCTCGCCAGTCTCGTCCACATAAGTGATCACGCCACTGTCTCTCCGAATGATTTCAAAGAATCCGGACCAAACCAGAGTCAGCGTTGCCACGATAAGCCCCGTCAGCACTTTCCCAAATGCACTAGGAGGCTGTCCAAACAGCTTCGTCCACACCGGATACACGAAGCCGTCTAGCACCGGAATTAGCAAAATAATCGTCAGCGGATCGAAAATACCAAGACTGGCACCGGGGATCTGAACCGCGTCATAGTCGCTGGCGCTGTTGGCGCCCACACGAAGATCGCACTGCTGTGCAATCGACTGAAAGTTCGCATCCAGCTGGTCGTATGCGCACTCCCACATGATCATGAACGACGCAAACGGCAGCACACGAATCACCATCTTGATCTCGTCCACGGTCTCGTCATTGTACCTGCCGCCGTTCGACGCCTTGGACTTGTCCATATAAGCCGTGTTCATGCCGTATCGAATCCACGCGTACATGCCGAAAGCACAAAAGAGCACAACGAAATACGACAAGTACTGTCCCACGGACAGCCAGTCCGACAAGAACGATGCCAGGAGATTCAACGGGAACGCGGCGCCAAACGCGACAAGTCCATAATACAGCATCCTTGCTTCAAAGCTGAATGCCCGATTTCCCCGTACAATCGTGCACAACTTGGTGAGTGCACTATCTTGCGGTACAAAGTGGACAAACCGCGGCGAGCCAACGAGAAACAAAACGTAGGCGAGCACCATGACCGCGCCACAGATCAAAAAGCACGCAAAGTAGCCATACTCTTTAGAAATCGCGCCCGTGCCTTCTACACAGAGCACCGACAAGTAGCCGTACGAAAAGATCGCGCCGAGATTAATGACAATGTAAAAGTAGCTGAAGAAATGTTCCTTCTGCGTGACTTCGTTCGGGTCATTGGGATCAAATTGGTCCGCGCCAAACGTAATGACATTGGCCTTGATCGCTCCTGTGCCCACTGCAACGCCAGCAAAGAGTCCGACGTGACACAAGACATTCGCCAGAATGAGGTTCCCGTCCTCGGCTTCCAGGAACGTTGGATGGGCCGAGACGGTGAGGAGAAACGCGCCCAGCGTGTACCAGACGCCAAAGACCCAGAGCGTCCGGAACCGTCCCCACTTCTCGTCGGCCACGTAGCCGCCGAGGAGGGGCGACAAGTAGCAGATCGACGTCCACGTGCTCTTGAGCGAGTTCGAGCCCACTTGCGACCAGCCGAGCTGGCCCATAAAGTTCTTCAGGCCTTGGTTGATGCCGTAGTAACTCACGCGCTCGGCAAACTCGAGGATGAGGATGAAGCTGCAGACGTGGAGCAAGACGTTCTGGAACCGCCGGTTGCGGTGCTCCCAGGGGCCTTCGATAAAGTACGACGACGACGACGTGCTGTCGAGGTCTTTGACGCTGGACGTGCGTGGCGAGTCGCCGTGGCAGGCGCCGCTGGACTTGGTCCGCTGCATCCAAAGCACAAGAGAGAGAGAGAGAGAGCGAGAGAGTGAGAGGAGAGAGCGAGAGAGAGACGAGGTGATGCCGCTGGGGAGCGACGCGGGGAACTGGCGAGAGCAGGAGGACGCAAGAGACGGTGACGATGACGACGACGAGACATGCGGAGACTTGGAAAAGTGCTGTTACAGGCGATGCTCAGTTGGAGAGAGCGGGGTGGGGGAGGGTAGGGGGAGGGGTGGTTTTTTTGTATGTGTTTTTTGTGGGGGTTGTTGTTGTTGCTGATGTGGCTGATGTGGTGGTGATGGTCTGATGTGGTGTTTCTCAGCTGTTGCGACGACGGGGGACGGATGGACGGATGGACGGACGGACTTGAAAGGGGTTGAACGCTTTTTGTACGGGCGAAATTGACCGACCGACTGACTGACTGACTGACCGGATCAGTATTGTGGCTGTGTCTTAAGTTCCAGATGTGCCAGCTGGCTGTTGACATGTTGACTGACTGGTATGGAAGGATTGAAATCCGAATTATCGCGACGAGATTCGGGATGGCGATGATGTTGATGGGGATGGATTGGTGTTGAAGATGATGATGATGATGATGATGTACTTGTGATTGCGGATGCTGAGAGGAGGAGACAAAAGACGACGTCGAGGTTGGAACCGCGAGATTCGTCGAGACCGTCGTCGTCGGTTGTCGTCAATAACGTATCGATATGTTTAGCTGTTTCACATGTCACAAAGAGCGTGGCAGCGCTCGTGCTGGTTTTGTCCGTTTTCCTCGTAGTCTGCTGTTCGCTTGCTGAAGAAGCGTCCAAGTATTACCTGGATTTCAAATAAAGGGCAATAATCGCTTTTGCCATGCGAATTCGAAGGATGTTGCAGCTTCATCAGTTGCTGTCACTCGGACAAGGGCTGCTCTTAGACTGTAGGCGAACGATGATTGGGCGAACAAACATGAGGTTGCGTTGATTGGACAAAGACAACTGTGTCAGCTTTAAACAGAGTGTGAGTAACTCTAAATACACCTCTATCTTTAATGCTAAATACACCTATCGGATTCACAGGCTTTTCATGAAGTTTAAATGAACTATGTTGGCAAATGCTGAGAGAGCATCTACTGTTGAACAAGAGAACAGCCACAACTAACAAGAGAACGTCCACTAGGTAGCCTCAGTCAGACCTCTCTTACCGTCTTAGCACCTTCTCGTCGACGTGACGATGAGCCATTATATCTTTACTTCTGGTGGTGCAGCTCACGATGTTGATCATTCAGTCGCTCTTGCATCGATCTCCTTTTACATTCTTGATACTGCTAGTAATGTCGCTGCATACACCGATGAAGACATTACTGATACTGTCAATCCTTTCGCCCCGGCTCCATCATGAAGTCGTGGAGTTATGATGACTCCTACTGGCCGGGCCAGAGGAAGATGTCCGTACCGCGAAGCAGTACGCTTTGCACCAATATTTCGCTGTCATCATTGTCCACACAAGATTGCGCGGCATCAAGCGCGTTTTTCTTTCTTGCTTGCAAAAATGACCATCATAACTCTACGAGCGGTTAATGTCGATTTTTTCTAGACCGCGGAACTAAACTCGTTTGCGGTTTGTGTAAGCTCGCGATCATCTTTGACAAGAACTTGCGCACAGTTGAACCCGGTCGACACTTTGAACAACCGCCACTTTAGACACGTCCGACGTATAAATAATATAAATCTGTCGGCATTACCGGCGGCGCGGCGTGTGCCACGAGAAGGAGACTATACGAAGGCCGCATTTGTTCGGATACATCAATCTGTAGCTGCCGCACAATATGTGCGTGCATGTGATAATGCAAAATACATTTAACACGTGCCCTACCTATTTTTTATGTCAGGGTTACTGAACCACCTGTAGGAGACGAACATCATGACGAGAGCGAAGTGATGTCCACAACCACTTCCAATAAACTATCTTTACGGCTCCGTGCGTGGGAACGGATGCAGATTCTTGCCAAGACCGCGAAGCTTTCGCCTTCATCCGTTTTCGTACCGAATCTTCCGTTACCCATAATGTCGGCATGCTCTCGCTTGCTTGCGGGCAACCCTCAAAACTGAAAAAAAGAGAGACAATCGAAGGTTGTGAAGTCTCCTATACATTCAGCTCCTGCTATAACATATCTGTTTGTCCACCGCAATTTGGATCTTATAGAGGGAGCAGGTTGTATCAGGGGATGTTATCGTTGGAGCTGACTCTATGTGGGTGGTCAGTGTAACGTTTAATCAACGAGGTGCTTAAATAAAATGGATGTTCTCTTGCTAAATGGTGGCTGCTCTCTTGTTCAATAGTGAATGCACTCTCAGCATTTCCCCACATACTTTTTTAAAGCTCATGAATAGCCTATGAATCACGTAGGTGTATTTAGCTATAGAGGTAAGAGGTGAGAGTTGCCCCGTGCAGAGTGCTAGAGTAGTACTTGAGGCCGATCGTCTGGTAACAGTGTCTTAAATGTTGTGGCTGAGGACTGAATGACTGAGAGCTGAAGAATCAATTGACAGACAATGAGTGACGTCTGCTTGTCGTCCAATGCACGTCTTCGGTCATCGATTGGATGTCGATCGAGCTCTAGTTGAGTGATGTCGAGTAAGCATCTGTTTGAACCTCTGTCCACACTACAGAAGTGTATCCGCATTTTAACCAGCTTGTCATTAGCTAGTTTCACGGCTCGTTCGTTCTGTCCACAAACGATCAACACGTTGCAGGCTCGGCGGAATCCCATCAAGCCTTTTCAACCAGGTGCACGACGCGTGTGTCCGTAGCGAAGTCTACTGTTATCAGTCAAAGTCGCTGAGTTTGATCCAGCCACTTTGCTGCGTCAAGTGCCACCAACAAAGAAGTGCACTTCTCTTACACAGTCCAGTCAGTGCATTGCACCGAAGCCTTATGCATTGACCAGTAGACAGACCACTAGGTGACGTACATCCTCCTGCAGTTTAGTCATTTATCACCCGCAGCAGCTCAGTCAGTACCTAGTGAACTACCACAAACGGCAGTAGAACCCCACCATTCAGGATGTAAACAGGCGCAACGGTGACAGACCAACCACGACAACGTTCGCACCCCATCCGATGATGGCCCCCATCGACAATAGCTACACTTGAGACACGTCCACGTATCGCCACGACCGCCTCGTCACGACGTCTGTTCACCACGTGAAGGAAATTATCATCATCCTACTTCTCCCCCACCCAACAGCTCCACTCCAATTCTCCATCTAGTCTCGTCTCCGATATTCCGTTCCCCGCAATGAAGGACGACAGCACAACCGCATGTCTCGTTACCGAAGCTTTCACAGACAACAGCCGCGCCGTTCAGGAGCCGGATGAAGCCATTTCGACAGAGCTGCTTGGGTCAATTGAACCCCCACCTCTTCCTCCTCCTCCTCCTCCTCGATCCGTATTCCACACGACGCTTGGTGCCGCTTCTTCCGCCGCGACGTCCGTGCTGGTTCCATGCGTCCAAGCGGCTGTACACGCCACGTCGGCGGCTGTCTCAGCGCCTTTACTCCAACTGACGAACCGCGTACGTGTCACAATTGCACAGTCTTGGACGCCACCCAGTACCGCAGAGTTGGATCTGGTTGAGGAACTTTCACGGACAAGCACGACGACTCTAAGCTCCAGCAGTGACAGTGACCTGGACATGGAGGAGGTGCAGATACTAGCCGCAGAAGCTCGAGGGAAGGACGACCAGAGCAGCTGTCCACGTGAAAATAGCAGTCGAGGTGGAGTCGCCCAACTGCTCTTCTTGCCGGTGCGGCTGATGCACAGTAGCGTCTCCACGGCCGTGGCACTTCCTGCACAAGTGGTGACCTATAGTGGACGGAAGATAGCAGGAGCCGTGTCGGCGTCTCACGCACTGGCAACGTCGGCAGTTGTTGCGTCGACTGGTGTCGCGACGAGGACGGGAATGCACGTGGCCAATGGGATCAAACAGGGTGCAGTGTCGACGGTGTCGTACACGGCATCGACCCTAGCGGGAGCTGTTGGCACTTCTGTGCGGACGGTTGGCTATGCGATTCCGCCGTCAGTGTCGAACGCTGTGTGGCAGGGCATGGATGTCACTGCCACTGCGTCAGTGAATGTGCTGTCGTATGCCATTGCCGTGCCGTCGTACCGATTGCTGCGGGCGGTGGTGCCTGAAGTGGACAAGCTCTTTTCCGAAGAAGATGCCGTGACTGAAGCTCGGACTGCGGTGAAGATGCTGGTGAAGCTGCTGGGACCGCAGAATGCATTCTATCTCTTGAAATGGGTCTACGAGACGGTCAATAGTGAAGAAGCACACGACGGCTTGTTGTTATGCCGTGATGTATTGCACGAGTCATTGAATGGAGAAAACTACCATCACGCTGCAACGTCAGTGAGTGTTGCTACGGGCTTCACTAAGGTTGTGAACGTGGTGAAGGAGGCCTTCAGTGTGCTGCCATCATTTGACGAGCTAGTGGATGCGGTTGTTCTAGTCGCTGATGTATCGGACGAGGTGATCGACGGCGTTGCTCATGTTGCATCCCGAAACAGCGGTTTGAACGTGCGAAGCGAGACAGATGACGAGACAAGCCCTCCTCGGTTTGAGTATGTGGACGATGACGATTGCGAGGAACGTCGTCCAGCGGAGTTCACGGATGCAGCATTTGAAAGCGCTTCGTCTTCAGACGACGAGCTCAATCCGCTGGTCGAGTCGAGTCTTTCGCTGTTGACGAGAGTTTGCGATAGTGAAGAAGCGACGTCGCTATTTAACACATTTGGTGATTTCTTGGACGCGCTGGTGGACTGAGGCGAGGAAGAGAGGGGCGTGCACAGTTTTTTCTCGGGGCTACCATTTATAAGACAACCGCAGTACATTACGGAGGCCGTACAGCAGCATGCTGGTAGTTGTTACACCAGGCTGCGCCTTTTTGGCAATGTGTAATTGAAAGGTGCTGTGTCCAACTCGAATCGTGAGCTATCTTCGCAATCGGATGTGGTCCTTAATGAGGCTATTGAGTTCGGCAGGCTGTATGGGCGATGCTTTTTGCACATCTACAACAACCCAGTCCAAAGCAGCAATCAGCGATGCCAAGGTTCGTTGTTCAGTTAGCTTCTAAGGCATTCTTACCAGCTCGAAGGGCAAAAGCGAAGCAGCTATCGTAATCACCAGTCTAGAGGATATGAAGAATCATCGATCGTTTCCAGAGTATCTCTGTATTCCTGATAGTTGTGCATACGATTCAGCCGACGTTTTCTTGCCTAGAAACGCGAGTCACGGCATCTCAACTGCGTTAAGCGAAAGATACTTGGAGTGCACATGTATGCAAATCTAATCATGCTCATGTAGATGCTGCGTGCAATGACGTTTTAGTCGCATCGGACATACGGTGGACGGTATTCATCACTTCGACATCTGCCTGTTGTTACTTACATTGAGGCGAACCACTTTTACCTGTAAAAGCTCGGGCAATCAATGTACATGATGAATGACCGCAGAGAATAATCAGGTAAAATAGATTCTGGCTCAGCGTATCCAGAACAAATGGTACCGTTTGAAACGCTATTCGTGTGCACCAGCAAGTAGTTGTTACAGATCCATTGAAAATACAAATTATTTGACCCCGCGAGTGGGATCAATATGGTACTCGTAAATCATTCAAATTGCACCTGGAATGCAGGTCCACAGCATCAGGATCGGCGGTAGGGACCATATTAGATAGAAACGCTTTGATTCCTCTTAACAAAGCGCGTGCGCAAATTACTAAAAGAGCGTTCGATACTAACTGGTTGTACAGCTGCATTGCAGTTACGCTAATGGTATATAGTGTCCGTGCATTTATCCTGCTAGCAAAGTACAATTTGGTCCGAGATCCCTGCTCCTAAAACAGCGGTTGCACACCGGACCTCTCACATTCGAAGGAAGTAGAGGCGGCGCGGGAATGAGCAAGTCTCCTTTACTCGAATTGTATTCTCGGAGCGTTGCAACGCAGGTTAGTGATATGCGAAGCAGCCTCTCATACAGCGGCGTATCGAATAAAATTGCAAACCTTTTATACGCCCACACTGCAACCTCGTTTTACTTGCGACACGAAGAGAGGCTCGACAAGTTTGGTCGTACCTCGAGTCTTCAATCGCTACGTAGATGGAGCTGATTTAGGCGAGCACGTGTTAGGTCTGCATTCCGAGTCAGACGTGAGCGGAATCAAGTGCAATCGAGTGTAATGCTTTCGGATAGAAGCTGCCGGCTTTATCAAGTTGAACCCCACGCGCCATAACGCCACGATGCAGATGTGATTACGCAATAGCAGTACGAGCAGAACTGGCAATCGAGTCGCCCGATCGTTTCGCTTTACCTAGAACAAGCATATGGCCCGATGCGCCCATTGCGACCGATCAGAAAATCTATCGCATCAGAGTCGACCCTCTCTGTATAGCGTAGCACAAACTAGCCGTTACACATGTCACATGGTCAAGCGCCCAGAGCAGATGTAGGCGTTATTCACTGTCAGTCACGGTACTTTCCCCATGTTCAACATACCAATCATTCTGTCGTCAACGGTACTTCCTGCGTTTGCAGCAATGTCGGTAGTGATCGTAGCTGCTGGCGCGATGATTGCGCAAACACATGCACACCACCGATCCCTGGTCAATCCTATCCATCAACAAGCTCGAGCATGGCAGGGAAAGTTGTGGAGGCTGGTGGCTACACTTTGCACGTCCGCAGTATCGCCGGCATTGAATCTTGTTGCTACGTCGACTCTATTGACGTGGCCTTCGACCTCGGCTGCCTCATTGACCGCGTCGTGAACAAGTCGCACGTGTTCATCACCCACGGCCACGTCGATCACATTGGCGCCTTAGTCGCTCATGCTGCGCGACGAGCACTTCAGAAGCAAAAGCCGGCAAAGTATTTCGTACCGAAGCACCTTGTGGGTCACGTGACGAGTATCTTACAGAGTGCACGAGCTATGCAGGGCGACGAGGCGGCGTTTCCAGCTCATCTTGTGTCGCTCGAGGCATTCGATGAGGTGGTGATCTCGCCCAAGTTGGTGGTGCGCGCAGTGCCCACGACGCATCGCGTGCCTAGTCTGGGCTACATTGTATACGAGAAGAAGAGCGTGCTCAAGACAGAGTACAAACACTTGACACGTGGGGAACATGCAGCACTCAAGAGGTCAAGGACCGACGTTAAGAAGGTCGAAATCACGCCGGAGATTGCGTACACGGGCGATACTACCATCGAGACGTTCGTAAGAGCAGCAGAAGATGAGCGGATGATGGACTTGCTGCGTGTGAAGGTGCTCATTACGGAGGTGGGGAGGAGCTAGATAGTGTTGAATGGAAGAGATCAAGGCCCAAAGCTGACTCCGTTTTTGTTGCTTCTGGATGATGTTCTAGGCCACGTACGTTGACTCGGCAATGAAGGCTCAAGACGCGGTGGATCGTGGCCACATGCACTTGGATCAGGTTTGTTGTTTGTCGTCTCGCTGCTGCTCGCAACTGCTTGCTTTGGATGAGGTCGATCACCACTAACTTGATGCTCCTTCTTGTTGCGTCTTGCTGCATGCACAGCTTGGTGCAAACGCGCACTTGTTTGACCAGGTCGGTGCGCTGGTGCTCGTTCACTTCTCGGCGCGCTACAAAGCCAAACATGTGGTCAAGAGCGTCAATTCGCGAGTTCCGCCATCTCTCCGGCAAAAGACGAAACTTGGCTGCTAGGAACACACGCAAGAGGACGACAAGAGGACGATCATGAAGCTTTGGTGGAAGATACGAGCGAAGCATGCTATCAAAATGGGATGTATTCATTTCACGCGTGTTACGTCTTGGCAATAAATAATACGGACATTGCTACGACAGACAAACAACAGACTCACGATACGACGACAGCTATGGAGGAGCAGAAGAAGAAGAGCAACGACAAAGCACCCACGGCGACTCGGACTCTACGATGAAATGCTCCAGAACTCGGAAAAGTTGCGCAACGGAATCGGTCGCGATGCACGGAGCACGAGGATCTCGTCGCGCATGAGCACGGGCATGGGCGCCGGGGATCGGTCGACCACACCAGCTTCAGCAACTTGCACCTTGTTGCTAAAGCGCACTTGGCGCTTGGGCTTGAAGCTCTTGACGGGACTTGGTACCTGTGGCGGTTGACTCGGCATGGCCTGGGTGTCAAACACTCGGTCGGCATTAGCATTGGCCGTCTCGCGCACTTTCGTGCGACGTTGGCGCGAGATCTTGTCGTTGGCCCGCTCGATCTTCTCGAGCACGAGCAACGCGCGCTCCCATTGGTTCTGGAGACACAGGGCCAGAGCGTGACGACGCGAGTTCTGGATGAACGTGATGGCGTAGCGGATGTTGCTGCACGCGAGCACAAAGGGCGACAAGTCCCTCTGTTGTTGCTGTTGTTGTTGTTGTTGCTGGTGACGGCGTAGCTGCTGGAGCTGGTGCTGCCGTTGCTGCTGCTGCTGGAGCTGGAGCTGTTGCTGCTGCTGTTGCTGCTGCTGCATCTGGTGGTGGCGGAACAAAAGCTGCTGCTTTCGATGAGCCAAGACTGCCGCTGCAACCGCGCGAGGCGAGTGGGGTGAGGCGTCGCAGGCATATTTGCTGGCTTTCAAGAACCGCATGTCGTCATCCGCGCTGCTGCGGGCGCGCTTGAGCGCAGTGACAGGTGAGACGGGCACGACGCAGGAGAAGCTCATTGTGGTGGAGCCGGACTGAAGCAGAGGATCAACCGATCGAATGAATGGATGGACGGCCGAGTGGACAATGAAGCAGACGGTGCTTCTTGCGTGCACGAGAGCGTCGAGGAATCAGTGGGAGCAGTGGTCGCTGCTGGGAAAATCGTGCAATGAGAGCGCCAGGAAGGCGGTGGCAGGCTGAAGTCGCGCGTGGACGAGCGATTGGACGGCACAAAAAGGTGAAACGCCACTCGCTCGGACTTTGTATGCCACATACAAAAGTCCAGTCGTGGCTGGCTGTCTGCGCGCCTGTCTGCCTCATCCACGCCATCCGCGACAGCTGCGTTTCTCACGTCGCACCTAAGCGGTACAACGACACGACGGGTGTGATTCGTACGGAGCGGTTTGTGGCATCGCTTTCGGGTCGACCACACATATTTCTATGAGCACGATCGACCGCCATTGCTGGACGTTAAAGTGTCTGTCTCTCCCTCTACCTCCACCTCCCTCTACGTCTCTCTCTCTCTCTACCTCTCTCTCGACTTTCTGTCGGTGTCTATTCGTCAACAAGTTTGCAAAAGCACGATCGTTGCGAGCGGCAAGTTGCGCGCTGTCGTCGGCCGCGACAGTGGCGGCAACAAGTTGACGAGCGGATGTCACGTATGTTCAAATCGTTCAGTGCCGCTGTCGTGATACGCGTGACGACGACGACGAGGCTCCAGTCGAGAATCTTATCGAGTCGAACGGGGTCTCAACAGGCCGCTGAAGCTCCACCTGCTTTAGGATGTCGAAGTGCAGGCAAAACCGAGCTCGCCAAGCGTCGCGTCCTCTATACCTGTTGCAGGTAAAAAAAGGTCGGGACAACATTGCATCGTAGGAACAAACATTACTGCGGATGCTCTGGTCGTACGTCAAGAGCATTCAACTTCTTGCTCGTGGCGCATGTAAGTTGAGACGAAGGCACAGGCGTGACCACTATCAAACATTGGATGCGACATGCTTTTGATTTGGTTTCTTCATCACTCAGCTCGCTGCGTCCGGAGCGCCATCTTCGCTCCATCGGTCGTGTGTGCCAAAAGACTGTTCTCGGTCGGCAGATGGCCCAGTTGACCGGCCCTGCTTTCTGCGGCGAGCTGCGCTTTATGCTGCGTGCGCAACGGGTAGGAAACTATTGGTAACGACGTTCAACACGTGGATATGACAGGTGTGAAGTGCAATGAGCCTGTCGATGCTAGGATACTTGATGGTAGGAATGTCTGTCTGCGTGACCGCTGGCGTCTGTCGGTCAGTACAGGTACGTGCGCGCCCCTTCGGCAGCAGTTGTCAACCGCGGTCAGATGTCTTACTTAGAACGACGAGCAGTAGCACGTAGCTCGATTCAGATTGCTGGACAGAAGGCGTGAGTAGACGAAGTTCGAGCTTACTGCCTGTGTTTGACATCCATGTGACGCGGTCTAGAGCGCGGATACCGCGATCCTTCTATCGGCTTTTTTGTATGGCCAGTTCAACGATGAGGAAGTGCGTTGGCAGGCGGCCACAGTGTTCGTGTCAAGCAAGGGCTCCGAGTCCACCGGCTCACGACTGACTTCCGTGCTCAACGAAGCTGTAACCCTCCGTCTTTGTTAAATCCAACGGCAACTGCTGCGTCCAATACGCTTACGCCGCGAGCATCGTATTTTCGCGCTGACCTTATGCGACACGCGCCTATCGTCGGCGAAATGGACTTGACCCGATTGCACGAAACGCGATACGGCGTGAAACACACGCGCACCGTTGCATCAGGACCTATCTTCGAATCAGTGCTACGTTCTATACTCAGCCGTAACGGAGGTGGCTGGCACCGCCTTTTTCTCGAACAATCGGTGGTGGCGTATGCGACACTGATCGCAAGTGACGCACTGAATTCTCGATGCGAACGCTGTTCGAGCAAGCGGACGTCCGTCCACCCAGCGTGCAAAGAGAGAGCTTGAATACCAAGCTACTACCTACTGGCAATCGAACGTGATGGCCTCGCACTCTAGCGTGCTGCGTATCTTCACAACAAGGTACTTACTTGCCTATGTGAATGTTCGTTCATCTCTTTTCACTGACAGCTCGCCTGATCAGCGGGTGGTTCTGAAGCAAGGCATGTGACAGTTCAAGCGGAAGGCTCTTCTGGTCGCTGCGAGACATCTCGAGGAGGAACTAGAAAGGGATCTGTATGTCGAAGCGTCGCATCTTTTTGTCACAGCCATGGAAGTGGAGCCGCGTAACGGTACCTCGCATGATGCGTGGAGCGTACGCAAAGTCAACGCGTAGAAGCGCTCGAAGTGGGAGTGCTCGCTCCAGCTTTTCTCTAGTATCGACGCTGCCGTGCGCTTTGTTCGTTGATTTCAATGTGATGCGTTCACTCGCTTTTGCTATGCGATCCTTTCGATCTTGAGCTCTGGGCGTCACGTTCGCTCCATTGCATATTCGATCACGCCTCGTCTACGTCCAGGTCAGATGTGTGTTTCGCTCTGGCATGTGACAAAGACCAGGCGCACATTTGTAATGACCCTTTCAAACGGCCTCGATTCTGTCTGTGCCAACAAAGTGGCACTCACTCACTCGACAACGTCGACAAAACCACAAGCAAGAAATTCCGAAATACCACTATCGAGAATCAAACTGCGCGGGCCAGAACAACCGTACCGTCAGCGACAGAAACGTGGACCCCTTGAGCCGATCTTTGTGTCCGCCGACACAAGTCGCAGGCTTTCTCGCACTCTTCTCGTTAAAAAGCGACACAAAACAAAGCCATGAGCCGCATCGGCCAGCCCGTGGGCAAGATCGTGCTCACGAACGTGGCCGTCGTGCGCATGCGCAAAGGCGGGAAGCGCTTCGAGATCGCGTGCTACAAGAACAAGGTCGTTAATTGGCGCAACGGCGTCGAAGAGGACATTGACGAGGTCCTGCAGATCGCCAAGGTCTATGAGAACGTCTCCAAGGGCAAATTCGCAAAGAAGAGCGACTGGACCAAGGCTTTCAACGTGCAGAGCGAGGAACGAGCGTGTCGAGCGATCCTCGATTATGGCGAGCTCCAGGTCTCGGAGGGCGAGCGCAAAGCTGTTGTCGAGAAGTACGGACGCAGGGCTTTTTTACTGACAAAAAGCGGTTTTACTGCTGAAAAGAGCGTTTTTACTGTTCTTTGACTCACGACCACTTTGATGTGATTGTTTTTACGCGTTCTTTATTTATGTGTTTGATTGTGTTTGATTGTGTTTACTTGTTTGATTGCAGCATGTATCGCGATATTGCTACGATCATAGCGGACAAGTGCGTGAACCCTTCGTCCAATCGGCCGTACCCGTACACTGTGATTGAGCGCGTGATGAAGGAGATTCACTATGCGGTGATTCCGAATCGAAGTGCCAAGCAGCAGGCACTGGAGCTGATCAAGAAACTGCCGGAGCACCTTCCCTTAGCACGTGCAAAGATGAAGATTCAGATTACAACGCCAGCGTCCGGTGCAGACGTGATCAAGACGGAGCTGCTGAAGGAAGGCGCGGAGATTGTCGAGCAGACGGGAAGCGACACAGTGCGGATGGTGATGCTCATTACACCGGGGTCGTACCGTATCGTCAACTCGCTTGTGCGGGACCACACGGCTGGCCAAGGATCGTTGGAAGTGATTGATCTGAAGAGCCACGAGGAGGGCGAACACACGATTGACGATGAGATTTCACAAAAGACGGAGCGTCTTGGACTGTCCAGTACTCCTGCTATTACTGCTGCATCTGCTCCAGCATCAGCAACAGCAGCGAAAAGTGCAGCAGCTTTCACTGCTGAGGTGAGGAAGACACGGCCGTGCAGCACTTGCGGCGGCGACTTAAGTGCTGATGCGACTACGTACCGGGAACACTTTCGGTCGGAATGGCACCGCTACAACCTCAAGCGCAAATCAAAGAAACAGCCAGTGATCAGCGAAGAAGAGTTTGACGCCCTGGACACGAACGACGTAGAGGTCTTTCTTTCCTCTATGAGCTGAATCACTGAAGGAGTACTTGACGTGCCTCTGAACGTAGGCAGTTCTGGTTCAAGGTCGGTAGGCGGCTATGCTTGCGGTGCATTTGCCGCTTTTTTTGTCCTGCTAGCAGGACCTGCAGCCACGTAAAATTACTTGCGACTGATGACTTCGATGGCGTCTACGATCTCCAGTTGCTTTGTTTCAAGCTCGTTCTTCTGTAAGTTTTGGCTCAACGCTCAACACGAAGCGGTCATAAATTTGTGACTGTCACCAATGTCATCGCTCCTTCAGCAAGCATGCCTACTGAATGTAGGTACAAGTCAGTAGGTACTTTCATATTGTGTCACTAGCGTCTTTATGGTAAACTTTCTACACAAAACAGCATCGACACCCCCGACGCGTTCTTTTTCGTCTGTGAACGTCCCAAAGACAGGAAGACCAGCAATATGGTCACAAATCTTGACGACTGTGTCAAGAACACACACGTGCAAGATCGTACAATCCTGGCCGACTTTTCTTCCGTTCGGTTCAGATATCGTCGTGACGAAACTGAAGTTTCAGACGAGGACGGATGGAGGTCTGCCTACCAGTACCATCTGCTGTCACGCACGTTCGAAACTTGATCCTGAATCCCGAGCCAAGTCGATTTTAAAGTGCAGGAAACGTCTGCAAGGAAAGAGACTTGATCCTCGATCCAGGCGGAATAGAGGAGACAAACATATGTCCATTACACGCAAGAGCCCATGCTGATCTGGTAATTGCTCATCTAACTGATAGAACAGATAGTTCAGGAATATCGAGAAACTTGCAGGAAAGAGATCGTTACGCTACAACTGCTGTGTCTAGTTTTACAAAACACTTGGTTCGTTTGACTTGAGTTTTCATGGGCTTGAGGAAGTCGGAGTCTTCTTCGGCTTCCGGGCATGCGTTGCGAAGTGGGATTACGTTCAAAGCCAGGATCACCCAGTCATCAGCTCGAACAAAACATCCGATAATTTCGAACGCCGTCGGTTTTGGTCAAAACATACCGGTCTCGTTCCTCTCGATGCCGTCTCACATCGGTGCTCCAGTCTCTTGAAGTAACATTAAGAGAACCAACCGGTATTCTCATTCGAGTAGCGGTATCGACGCCGTTGCGTTCACGGTGGACTATTCGTCCATCGCGTGCACCACCTCAACAACCCTCTTCTGAGAACGCATATTCCACGTGGGACACACCCGTCGTCGGTCCAGTTCACATCGCTGCTCTCGTCAGCACGAACGCGCGCGTGCAGACGCCGAGATCCGCCGCTCATTATGGCGCCCACAGACTTCGTCCACCGACAGTCGACCCCTCGATCAGTGCGCAACATACAGCGCTACCTTTTGGTCTCATTTACACTGCTTTGTATCGTGTTTTCAGTGCTACCAGAAGACATTAACGCATCGGAATGCAGCGCATGTGGATATTTGGCCCGCAACTGCAGCGACGAAGGCGATGGAGTGGATGTATGCGACATGACAGGCGACATCCAGATCGACGACGTCTTCTGTAACGACCAAGAGTGTCGCTGTGCCAACGGCCACGAGTGCGTGAGCACGGGCGTGGGCTGCTCGACGATTTTCCAGGCACGGACTCGACGTCGCTGTGTGAGCAACGCGACGCTCTCGAGGAGGTTCACACAGTGTGCAATCGACCAGAACTTGACTTCGCTCAGTGCTTCAAACGTCGCTGCTGACTGGATCTACTTCAAACAAGGGCACAAATGCCAGTCCAGGGACTGTCTCGCGGTCAAGCTGTTTCACCAAAGTGGTCTCGTGCAATGTGGCAATCTACTGGCAGTGTGGACAACTGCTGCCGACGTGGGTGTAGCTCGGACTGAGCTGCTGGCTAGCAGCTCTGGCGATAGTGACACGGTGTACCATTTCATTGCTGATGGCTCCCGCGCCAAGGATATGAAAGCTGGAACGTTCCTTTACTCGGTGCCGTGGTCGCCAAAAGATGTAGCGCTTTTGTCAAAGCAGGCGCAAAGCACAGCTATTGCCTCGTGCTATGTCCTGCAGACACGGAATCAGCCGAACAGCACGTGTGAAGGCGTGTATTTGCAGTTTGATGCCAGCGTGGAGTTTGCCAACGGTGATGAGTACGTGATGTCCAAACTGAGCTGGCCTGTGTGGCTTGCTGTCATCGGCAGTGTGGCTGCAGCCATCGCTTCGGTTGCCGTCGTTAGCGTGGTGATCTACCGGTCTCGACACATGAACGTGTCGCTGCCTGTCGAGAACGACGAAGATGGTGGTCTTTTGCACGGGAAGACCAATCTATGCGACAGCAAGGACTTTAGCCCCGCCAATCCTGCTAGCCTAGGGACACCGTTGCCAGCTCCAGGAAAAGGCCGCTTGAGTCCCGATCTACGTCAGCGCGGTGCGCTCGACGTCACACAAATGGAGGCCGGAAGCTTGTAAGTCAACGTTGTAAGGAGTATTTGTGGGAGGAGGTGGTATGCATATACACGATCAAGCATCCGTGCTTGAGATGCTAGGGTCTACCGTCTGACCTGGATGTACGAGCCCTGGAAAGCGCTGGGAGAGTCAATTTTGCTGAAACCGCTTGCTAATGGTCTGAGAAGACCCTTGGCCGATGTGATTATCCTGTGCAGGACATTTATCAATCGCAAGTCGCCAGGCGGATGCTCGTGTACCCATCACAGCGAGGGACACGTGCTGGTTCGAAAGGGTAGCTATATGAGCATGCCGTTGGAAGTGGTAGTGATACCAACGCGTATCCACGCATGGCAGCATTGTGTTTGATCAGCTCTGTATAATCGTTCGAGGAGATACTGGTCAGGCGACAGTGGTTGTAGACCGCCGACCTTGCATGCCACCCTAATCATGCGCAATGAGTGCCCTGAAGTTCGTATTGTCTGACAAACGAGTTACGAAGTAGCTGCTGCATTGCAGACGAACGAAGGATCGTCCTTGTGCGACCGATTGGCAGAAGTGACCTGGCATTGCTCTATTCGCTTGACCAGTTTGCACGCGCTTGGTCATAACATGATACCGGCAGCTAATCTAGCTGGAACTTACGACATAGCACGTGCTGCTGCTTTAGTCTGGAGCTCCAGCTGTGATTCGGTCCACCAGCGTGCTAAAATGGGTATCGAACGAGCAGCGAAATGATACAGGAGTTGCTGCTTGCTGGAGACGCGACACACTTTTTGGTCTCTGGCTTTTCTAAGCGGTGACAAGGCATCATCAAGTCTTCATTATTGCAGGTGAAGCCCGACGGAACAGCATGACCTAGTTTATAAATGCGTTTTCCTTCGTTTCGTTTGCAGTGATCTGTAGGTTGTAGCAGGAATAACTCGAGGAAGGGTGAAGGAGGTTCAGATGGGAAGCCGGAGGATCACAGTAGTCGAATGGGGCTTGAGGGCAGACATGTTGCCGGTCGGTCACTGGACCAGGTAAGTTACAAGAGCGGGTCAGCACATCATTAGGGGATACCGTGCATCCTGAAAAGTGCGTCATCGGGAAATGTAGCAGTGGAGCTGTTGTTTAGTCTCACTCCGGATGCCCAGCCGCTCTCGCAGCTGGCAGCATGGCTCGTCTGATTGCTGTTCATCTTCGTCGCAATGGACATGCACCAGCTCCTCTGCCACTGCAGCCGCGTTCCATTCGTCTCAGCTGCTTCAACCTATTTTACACACGTCTCTGACCGTGTCTTCGATACGCTCGGCTTGAGAAGCAGCACGTCGAAACAGCTGCAACTCCTTGCATGTTAGTTGATAGCAACGTTTACCGATGCACTCTATTAACGTCGAGAGCTTCTTGAAGTGACAACAGACATCGCATGCTTTTCACGAGGCTTTTACTACCGCTTGGGCCACCCCGTCCATTTGAATGTCAAGTCGGTAACGTGTCAGAAGGCGGATGCTATCCGCCGATCAGATACTGCGAACGCGTGCAAAAACTATGGAGCCCCTTCGCCTTGATGGTGGCGGTTGTCCGCAAATCAGCTTTCACTCGGCCTTCATGACGGCGTTTCACGCTTGCGGAAGTACCGCAGCGGTCCGGTCAGGTCGGCCGCCATGAGGTCGCGCTCAGCTGGCTGTTGTGTCCATCAGGATGTTGCGGAAGAAAACAGCCAGTCTTTGACAATCGCGCACGGGCTCGTTGCTGCAAGGTTTCGAGACGACCGCAGTGACGACAGGCTCCACGGCATCCGTTTTGACTCGCGCGTTGTCTTCTGTGCAATCGTCACGACTCTGACGATTGCAAAGTGTCGGACTCAAGTGCTGACTCGCTTGCTGTCACGAAAGACATGCTTCAGGATTGATTGATTAGTCACGTCCTACTGAACTTCAGTCAAGCGTAGGTGAAAGGTCGTGCAGCGTGGCTTGCATGACGGACTGGCTCTCTCGCGTACATCTCTGCTCGACCCATCGAGGTTGTATGGTCCACTCGACGGCTCCCCTCCGAGATCTATCTGCTCGCGTCGTGCCTATCGCCCATGGGCGAACCGAGCAGACTGCGTGCATCCAGTGTCCGATCTGAGCGTGGTGCGAAAAATTCGCGTACGCTCCATTCAACACGTCGACAAGTGGATCCACTCTCGAACTCACTATGGGAGACTGACTTTCCTCCACGATCTGTCGAGCCAAATGCCGCACCTCGCTACCACAAGACCGTTACATAGCCAGTCCCACTGATTTCCTTCTCTGTGCCTCCGACAGAAAACGAACAACAGCAAACATACACTCAAAAAAAACAAACGCCCAAAGAGCCGCTCATTCGCTAAATTGCGCTGTTGCTGCTACTTCTACTCCACCCTCAGAGAAAGAGAGAGAGAGAAACGAGCGCAGAAGAAAAAAACGAGTAAAGAAGAGCAAAAAGCCATCGCCTTGAGCTCTGAACTCTGGATTCGGAACTAGCAGAAGAAGCAGCAGAAGACGCAGCAGAAGAGACGGTGGTTGCTATTGCATCGGAGCTCGTTCCCAGTTTGGAATGCAGCGCAGCAGTTCGTTTCTAGCAAGTGGGGCAAGTGTAGAGGCGACTGACGCGTTGGTCGATATGGCAGACGTGGCCAAGTGCAGTCGCAGTGCCTTGCCAGTCCCGGTCGAAGCCAGTGTCGTGAGTGACACGACGACGAGCAGCAGTGACCGCTCGCGCTCGAGCTCCTGCAGTAGCTCTGGCTCGAGCGCGAACGCTCTGGACGACGACTATGGCGCCCACGCGCTGTCGTTGTTGTCGTCGTCAGAAGAGAACGAGGAGGAGGAAGACAAGGAGAAGGACGTGGACGTGCTTGGTGGCGCGCAGACGGGCGCTGGTGGCAGTGCATTTCTGGTCAAACCCATGACGTCGAGACTGCAAGTGTGTCCAGTGGACGACTTGGCGGTAGAGGACGAGAAACGACGACGCCGGTCGCGACGGCATCGAAAGAGTGAGCAGACACACAACAGCAAGAACGTGCTGCTGCTCTGTGGCATGAGTCGCGACGCGGAGAGCCTCCCGTCCACGCCGAGTCCGATTCTGGTCCGTACACGTCGCAGTGACAGCTCGCCAGCGCTCATGGCACCACCAGCGATGGCTACAACGAACACGTGGCCGTCGTCCGAGAGCACTCGAGACAATGGACACGAGTCGACTGAAGCTTCAGCGCCCTCGTCAGTAGCAGAAGGTTTTTCTGCTGCTTCAGAAACGGCCGTACGTGTCCCGGCCGTCTTGCTCCGGAGAGACTCGGCCGCAATTCGACGTCAGTACTGGAGTCAATTGGGGTTTAGTTTATCTCGTAGCGACTTGGAAAAGAGCACAGGACGGAAGAAGGAGCGTCGGGATGGACTGAAAGTCCGGCTCAATGACGTCAAGTGCACGAGTGAACAAGGTGCCAAGGGCGGGTTTTTCCAGTTTATCGCGAGTTGGTACGCGCCAGTGACAGCTGTGACTGAAGATGATCCGAGTGTGCGGAAAGACAAGCGCCGAGCACAGAGTACGCGACAATTGCGGTCGTCTTTGTCCCGCCATTCCATGTCGAGCAACGGCGACCTGAATGACGTTCTCACGCGGCAAAAGGGCGTGCAGTTCAACCAAGAGGCCGAGCTGTTTTACATCCCGCTGCACCGGGACTACTCGAAGCGCCAGCGCGAGTGCATGTGGCCAACCCGTGCTGAGTTTATTGCCATGGTGGAGCGCAACCTCGACGCCGTGTACGACGAGATGGAGCGCGAGTACGAGACGCAGCTCGAGAATGAGCTCTTGGAGAATGAAGGCATGGCCCGCGAAGAAGCGCGACAGCGCACGATCGAGTCGCAGCAGCGGAAACTCGAGGAAGCTGCAGCCACCGAGTCGCAGGGCAGTGTCTCCCCGGGCGCACGAAGTCGCAGTTCGAGCTCGACGTCGTCGTTGATGGGGCCCATGCTCACGTTGTCGCAGAAGCACGTGCTCGTGTCGCCACGCGCCCGTTCGTCACACGACCTTCGCTTTAAGTATCTGAAGCACCTTGGTATACACAGTTAGGTTCGGTCGGGGCGGACACGGTGGGACGGGTTGGGTTGACTGGGCCGTTTCGCGGGTCGTGTGCCGCGCGATTGATGAAATAAAAGCAAGATTGTTTTTTGTCTCGATTTTATTGTTGGATTTTGTTTGGTGTTGATTGATCGTGTGGATCGTTTTGGTTTCTTTTATCCAGTAGTGACACGATAAACCGAATCGCTGCGATCAAAAGCAGCAGAACTGCTCAAAGACACAAAAATTTAGTCTTTTGTGCACAACATCCAACGACAGGCTCCGAGTCCGTCGGATTGTCGTCCAGTGAGTGAGAGCGCGCCATGGACGCGTCTGCCGTCAAGTCGACAGCTGCAAATGAAAAACCTGCGAGCAGTACGTCCGTGTCTATCGATGTAGACAGTTGACACATCTACCAGTTGATGGATGGCTCGCTGCCTCCTCTTGTCTTGCTTTCGTCCTGCTAGACGATGGTTTTTATTATTTATTTCTTGATCAAAAGTAATTCATTGCTGTATTAATTTATCACTTGATTGTTTTTGATTTAATTTGTGCATTGTAGTGACGACGGAAAACGGACCTGTGCTAGTGGCGAAAAAGACGCGTCACCGCAAGAAGAAGAAGAGACATGGAGCTGCTGCAGCTGCTGCTGCTGGACCTGAGGCCACGGGGTCGTCCAGTCTGGAAAAAGTACTGGCGGAGACTGCATCGGGCCCATTGCACAGTGTAAATGGCTCAACATCCGCTGCCCCTCGCTCGTTCTCGCCCTGCAGTGGCAGCAGCATTGAGAAGTTCAGCAGTGGAGATGATGAGGAAGGAAGAAAAGATGAAGTCGAAGATGTTGAAGAGGACGAGTACTCGTCAGAGAGCGAGGACGAAGGGGAAAGTGGGTACAAACCGGGTGGCTACCACCGCGTCGAGGTCGGTGAAGTGTACAACTCGAGATTTCAAGTGCTGGAGAAGCTTGGCTGGGGCCATTTCTCGACGGTGTGGAAGTGTGTGGACCGACAGACGGGAGCGACTGTGGCGTTGAAGGTGCAGAAGAGTGCGCGCCATTACACGGATGCTGCGAGAGATGAGATTGAATTGCTGGAATGCACGGTCCGTGCGGCAAAAGCGACCCAAACTGAGTCGACAATCGGACAGCAGGAGGTGATCAAGGTGGTTTGCTTGATCGACTCATTTGAACACAAGGGGCCGAATGGTTTGCATGTGTGCATGGTGTTTGAGATGATGGGGGACAACCTACTGACTCTTATCAAGTACTATAACTACCGGGGTGTGCCGTTGCAGCTAGTGCGGCGTCTTACGAGAGATATGATGGAAGGTCTAGCTTTCTTGCACGGCAAGTGCGAGATCATTCATACTGACCTAAAGCCTGAGAACGTGTTGCTCACGCATCATATTCCGCAGCTCCCGAAAATTCGCAAGTCGCAGTGGGATGAGTTCCGTGCGACGCGACTTGCACGGTATGGAAAGAGTGCAGACATGTTCCGAAATGAAGATAAATCGACTGGCAAGGTTTCCAACAGGACCGTTGCATCAGCTGCGAGTAGCGCTGAAGTGTCGAAAGAAGAGAAAAAGCGTCTAAAGAACCGGTTGAAAAAGAAAAGGCAAAAGCAGCGAAAGCAGTGTGGGAAGAATGAACGGGGACCTTCTACGGATGCTGATACTGCAGGCAACAAAATGGGTAGCACTGCGCGCCCCAGTCTATCTCCTAGTGATGCCTCTGTCGATAGCTTGAGAAGCAGTTTGTCGCAACTCGCGTTCTCTGCTAGTATTGACAACACTTCGCCAACTGATGAAACCTTCAAGTCCAATTTTGCGGGGCATGCGGTTGACTGCATTTCTGACTCGACCAATGTAACTCGAGTATGGTGCCGCCAGGTGGGACAGCTTGGCGACGAAGAAGAACGAGATTGGGTACACATGCCTCCAGAATTTGCGGCACGAGCAATGCTGCTGCTCCCTGAGGGCCGTGTGGCTGGTTCTAAGCGAAAGGAGCGTGAATTTACAATAGCCTTGGCTGCAGAGTCAACACAATCGCCAAATGAATGCGCAAGCGATCATGGAAAGGATGATGAGGTTCTGGAGACATCGTTCGTTTTGAGATATCTAGACCACGTGGATGACGATGTGATAAAATCGATTCGAGGGCAGGTTTTGGGTCTGTGTGGGCGCAGTGTGTCGCCGAAAAGTGTTTCGACAACCGGAGTGACGTACCGTGTGTGGCGACTCGAGTTCGACGCAAGATATACGCACGCTGTGTTATGTGCGTGACTAGTGCTGCTTTCCTCTCTTTGTTTTCTATGATGACCTTACCTTGTTGTTGTGTTTACTAGACTTTCTGGAACGTCGTATTGAGGGTCTCCGTTTCTTGAATCTAGCGCCTTCTTCTGGTTTCGCGCTTCCTGGTTTCTTTTTACCCAAACCACTTGGCGACCAGGACGTCAAGCGCGTGGTGGAAGACGAGGACACTGGCCATTGCGATTCTGCTGCCGACGTCATTATACAAGGAATCAACCTTGCTTCGTTGGCAGGCTCGTTCGAAAACGTTTTGGAGATAGTGCCGCTTCGACAACGACTGGGTCGCTGGGCCTTGCGTTTGAACAATATCGCGCATGGTGAACTGTTTGACGTGATGAAACTCGATGCTAAGATCTGCGACTTGGGCAATGCGTGTTGGACCACAAAACACTTTACGGACGACATCCAGACGCGTCAGTACCGTTGCCCCGAGGTGATCCTTGGCAAACGTTACGATACTTCAGCAGACATTTGGTCCATGGCGTGCTTCGTGTTTGAGCTACTGACGGGAGACTTGCTTTTTGATCCAAAAAACGGCCGCAGTTTCAATCGCGACGAGGATCACTTGGCACAAATGATGGAACTGCTCGGTCGCATGCCAAAGTCCTTCACCGGCTCTCGGCAGAGTTCGCGTGACTTTTTCAATCGTAAGGGGGATCTGAAACGAATTCGCAACCTCAAGTACTGGAGCCTGCAGCAAGTGCTTATTGAGAAATATCACTTCTCGCGTGTTGATGCAGAATGTCTGGCTTCATTCCTGAGTCCCATGCTGCGCTACGAGCCGTCAAAGCGTGCTACAGCAAGCGAATGTCTTGCACACCCATGGCTTACCCATGTCGACGACGTTGTGGGCAAAAACGAATGATCACAAGTAGAGAGTTTGGTTGATAGAGACGTCGCATAGGGTGGCACGAGAGCTTCACGTTGGCACTGGCTGTGGGCACTGGGTTGTTTGCTCTGGAGCATGAAATCGTGCCGCGTTGATTTTGACGCAGTTTAACGGGGGTGAGTATAACCGTAAGTTGTGCGTCTTAATATGTGGTGCCGAATTTTGCCTATCTCGTTGGTTGTACGTTAAGAATGAACCGGCCGGATGAGATGAAGAGCTAGGCTTGATAATTCGGAACGCAGACATCAGCGCCGAGAAGGCTGGTTGTGTACTTGCTTTCTACTGATGTTTGCGGTGTATCCGGTGTGCCCTCTCTTGAGCAGATGTGTGAGCTATGTATGAGCTATGAGATCTGCGTGGTTGTTAAGCTGTGGATGTGTTAGACTGACTGTCCCCTTGTTTGGTGATGTAGCCGTGTTGAAACGATACAGAGGATCACCAGTTCTGTCGAGAACTTCGTGCGATACAGTGGATCACTACTTCTGTCGAGAACTTCGTATCGCACGGTTAGACTTGGTGCTGATCAGCAGGTGTAGGAGCAGGAGGTGAGCAGGCGTGTAGTAAACGTTGTTCGGGAATGACTACATCAGGAATCCGACGGAGTGAGTCTCAGACCTGAAAGTGTTGTCGCAAGTGGCGGGGGAGTTGTTATCTGGAAGCAGCGCTCTACTCAGTGTTGCATTGACAGGAACAACTCAACACGTAACACACGGTCGAGAAGCATGCTTCATAGCTCACAGCTTTTTAGCTATCGAGTTAGAATGCGAATTCTTGCGAAGCTGATCGAATGGTGCCGTCAGAAATTGCCTGGTGCAACGAAAAGTGAAGCAGATGCGCAGCAAATAGCGTTTCTTCTTGGAAAGATGGGTCAGTCCATGCAGCATGAACTGATCGATGGTATTCACGAATATGCAAAATGCAAACGAGCGAGTGCTTTGTCAGGCTCGCTCAATTTCTGTGCAATACGTCCGTCACAAACGTATCAGCATTCTCGTCTTTCTTTCAGCCATACAACAATCCACGATCTCTAACGAACGTACCGAACATGTACAACTGCTCCAGGTGCTTGATGTGGTCATCATCAATAAACGTGAATTTGCCCGTGTACTTACCACGATAGAAAAGTCCTGATGGAGCTTTCATCCATTCTCGACGGGGAAAGACAAACACTTAGCTCTCGGATCGTGGAGCATACAAACCCAACACGATTCATCACATGTAGCCGGCACCGCTTTCTTGACTTAGTGCAAAAGCACCACCCGTTCACAATCGTCTCATTACTCGAAAAGAGATGACAAAGCGGTACCGACAGCTTTCCGTCAGGACAAAAGGCGTCGTGCCCATCAGCTCCACACGCTCTGGTGTTGATAATTTGTAGACAAGGTCTTCGTTTCCATCTTCCAAAAACTCAATCTTGGACTCCTCGACTGCCACACGACGTGTGTCGCAATCATCTGTCACATACATACCTCACCCAAAAGAGCTTTCTCCTGGACCAGCCACAATGTTCGTATGTCGCGCACACGACAAGGAACATAGCGCTATTGCCATCAACTAGACAGCTAATAGCTGCAAGTATGGCGGTCTGGTAGCGCATGGTGACAATGCTCGCTGGGAACGACGACATCATGGTGATGCGGCCTCCGAACGTAAACATGATGTAAGCTGGTTCAAACATGTGAAACGTCCCTGAGTCGGAGTGGTCCAACAGTGACCAGCCTGCGACTTCGATGGAAGGAGCCACATCGATGGACACACGAGGTCCTATGCGATCCAAAAGCAGACCAACGGGTAGTACACCAGCATTCAATGCGACAGAAGCCGCTACAAAGATGACAATTCGGGCAATTCTCTTGTTCCTTGCACGTGGACTTGCTTGAGGTCGGGCCCAGTTCAGAGTTCAGGTCTTCCTCCCGAGTCGAATGAGCAATGGCGCCTAGCAAAAGATGAGACCTATGAGCAGGACATCCGATCTGCAAACTGCAACTTCGAGTGCAGCGCGACGAGGTGCAAATGGACGTGGTCGCGCAGGCTGGACAGAAGATACTGACGATGTCATATGCCGCTTTTTGCTAGCCAACGTGTTGTCCAAGTGGTGATCGAAGTAATGTGCTTCAACCGCTGATCCTCTGCAACCGTTTGATCATCAACGATAACCAAAGTATGGACACGAGTTGAAGTGCAAGGAAGCAGCCGTCGAATTTGGATCACGTGCCATTACTTCGATACCAAACTGCCACGGCCCGCGAGCAAAGTCCGGTGCACAAACGAAATCAGACGCCTGTTTAACGACACTCAAACGATCAAGGGCGCTTGAGGAGATATTCCACGGGTGGCACATATCTTGACCCACGCTTCTGGAAGCTAGATTTTTCGGAAACCTCTAACAAATTTTTAAGCGTATCTTAGTCACGACGAAGCCCAGACGACGACAACATCTTCTTCCGCGCATTACTTTAAACAATAATACGTCGCTCATGTACACTTTTGACGACACGCGCGTCTGCAGCCACACGCATTAGTGACTAACGGACGAAGAGGTCGAGTAGGACCGGAACAGGTCGAACCGACGGAGATGGATAAGCAGCACTTGACTCCACGACTGATGGAGATGAATTCGCAGCGTCTGACTTCTCAGCCGATGGAGATGAATTCGCAGCGTTTGATTCCTCAGCCAATGGAGATGAATTCGCAGCGTTTGACTTCTTGAACCGCTTCGGCATTTGGTTTTCGGTCCCTTGTGCCAAAACCGCTGGGGTTCTTTTGGAAGGGAGAAGTCGATCAACAATTTTGGAGTTTACGCCTCCCTCCTTCTCACCAAGCACGTTCGTCAAATTATCGGGGTTTAAGACCACCTTATCCACTTCTTTAATCAGCAAATCAGCGTGAGGAACGCCAAACACCTTGGTCAGACAATCCAAGATTTCTTGTCGCTTTAACGGAATAGTTGTGCCGAGCGCCAAGGTGAACTTGAACAAAGAGACCACGTTTTGGTCTTTTAGGACATCCTCCTGCGACATTGGCTTCGACAGTCTGACAGCAACTTGTTGCCAACCTTTAACCAGCAAATCATGCGTTGCCACAACATCTCCCGCGTGGATTTTCTTGAGTGCGACGGCATTCACCATCGACACAAACGATACAATGTCGCGCACATTGCCAAAATAATCCCATAACGTTCCTGCCAGCGTGAACGCTTTTTTGTGTTTCTCGTTGTACTTCTCGATACAATCCTCCAGATGTCCAAGGCTTATAAAATCAATACCGGCAACAGGGTTAGGCCGTGGCCCAGTTAAGACTTTGCCAGTTTTTTTACTAACCCTGACGAGGGCAGCTTTGATCTTGACTTCAAGGATCACCATCTTGATAAGTTCGTCAGGACGCAGGTCGTGTTGTTGCATCTCCTGCTTGCGTTTCTTCTGATCCTCGTGCACCATCTCCCAATCAGCTCGAGCCGCTTGAACCCCAAGTGTGTCCCCATTTCTGTCCTTTTCTTTATATTGTACGATAGCTTTCAATTGCTCGATCTTCTCATCATTTGGCCCAGGCTGCATACTGAGTTTAAGCTCCACAGCTTGCTGGTCGATCTGTTGCAAGCCCTCCCTGACGCCAGGAGGGTCGCATCGGTGCAGACTTTTTACCATAATGCTAACCTGAAATCTGACCGCTGGGTCGAGCTTTATGTCCAGCATCCTCGCCTCACCCCTAGCGCCTTCGTCTGCACCCACCAGCAGCTTGCCCCGGACATCACCAAGGCTGCCGTTATAGGGGCGAACACGAGCCGGGAGGCTGATGCTGTCCGTCTCGGAGTCGGATGTCGTCAAAGAGTGTGTCGTGTGCACGAGTGTCACCGCAAAAGCCACGACGGCAAGGGACTGATGGCGCATCTTCAGTCAGTGCTACTTTCGAGACGAGCGAGGGGAGAGGGGGATTTTGAAGTGAACGAGGACCATCAGTTGGAATCAAAGCTGACACCGAGAGGTTTTTCTTGCAATCTGGTTCTATTGGGGTTTTTTATAACCCGGTAGTCTGCGATCTTCCAAAATTAGGTTTATCAGGTTAGATTCCCCGATGGTCGTACATCTCACGCACGATCTGGCCGACCGCCGATCCCTGCAACTACAAGGAAGCATACCGACATGATCTATCGTCAACTATAATAGCATGATTAGCACGCTCGAGCCGTACTAACTACTACGTCGCAATCATTGTTTCCCTTAAGCCAGTTTGACGAGCATGTCGATAACTTTAACGACGACATTATCGACCTTTAGCAGCGAGACGCGTTGGTCGCCATGTTGGACTTCAGAATGGTCGCTAATGATAATATTAAAGTGTGAGTCCGGCGCCGGAACGGATAGCGCTCGCGCTGTTAACGAAGTCTGGGGCTGGTTTACCGGTGGTGCGTCTCCACTAAATGCCAAGAGTGCAGAATTTATGCACTAAAAGACTCTGATTAATCACCAAACGAAGAGCGAAAAAGCCCAAGGTACACATCAACTTTCGTGGTTTATCGGAGTGGGACTACCGGTAGGAAATTGGTTACAACTGATGACGTCCTGTCAAAGTTTCCGGTAGATGTTGAGCTCCGCGACTCATTCGATGAAACACAAGAGTAGACATTAGTGTTCGGTGTATCGGGTTCGTGGTACGGCGACATTCACTCAAAGCTGAGAAACTATTTGCTGTGTTGAGGACCGCCCTTAACGTGGTTTTTGGAACTAAGCGTACATTTTCTTTGTATGTGTAACGGGGCACCCTTCAACTGGGTACCACGAAACTTCACGTACACTAACTCGCATAGGCAGAGGAAGCTATTCTACTCAACGACTAAGCTGAGTAAAGGGTAAAAGAGAACTGTATTTAATATAGTTAAGCTATCTGTAACGAGGTGAATCGTTACATAACAATTTATAAGAAATTGTCAATAGAATATAACTATAAGAGTTGTATTCTCAGAATATTGTCATAAGGAC